GTCTCAAAATGCACAAAAACTGAATCTAGAAACCAAATTGCCTAGTTTCTCATGATAATTTTGGTGTTCAGACATTCTAGAATGACTCACATGTCCCATGCACTTTTTTGCAGTACGCATAACTCTTGGATGAAATCCGAAGTTTCCACATTTTTTTTAATTATTCTTTGAAAATATCATTTAGACTGATCTTATTTTCCTTAGCTCAAGCGCACCGATCTATGAAAAAAATTCATATCAATACAATATTGATTGGTGTTATAATGAATTTGCTAATCCATCTTTACAATTAATATATTGTTTAGCTATTAAAATATTTTTTTTATGCGTGACAAGAAAATTTTAATCCATGGAAATTATTGGCTCAACCATTTATAGCAGCGTAAGCTCATTTTCAGATAATATTTTGTTCAATTTTAGATCAAAGAAAAATCAATCATCTGGCTCTTTGCAAATGTTTTGTCAGTTTATGTTAGATTTGTTGGTTTCTAACAAAAAAAGATAAGACTAGTCAGTTCATAGACTAAATTTTGTTTATTTTTTAATCGGAAGCTTACCTCAAGGAAAAAACAGCAGACATCAAAATTTTGAAAGACTTTATCACGGTTCAAGTCCATGAAGCTTGCTGTTTCTCTTTGGCTTACCTACTTACACTGTCCCATGAAAAGCATAGCACAATCGTATTCTTCTGTATAGATTCCTGTTTATCTAATCTGAGTAAATTATTACTTTTTATCAAATAGGTGGGTCTCTTCCCAGGTCGATTGATCCGATACGAACTTGATAGTATCCTACCATCCGACAGAGTTTTATAGGATTCCGGGTCGAGGCATCGATGTCGGATCCTCAATGTCGAAAACCTATGAACTTCCGATGACATCTAAGGGGTTTTCATTGGAATTCATAGGAATCCGACACTGAGGATCCGACATCGATTCCTCGACCCGGAATCCAATGATAATTCTGTAAGATCTGACAGGATCCGATAAAAGCCTATTGGATTCCAGTCGGATCGGATGCGTTCTGATAGGTGCCTACTGTCGGATCGCTCGACCTGGGTTTCCTACGAATATCTTTTAGAGGATAAAATTCAGTCTTCAGTCACTTGAAAATACTTACTTATTTTAAAATGAAAGGACAACAGATCTGAAAAAGTTAATGGACTAAACAAAGGTAAAAACTACATCACTCTTCGCTTTTAGAATTTCGAAAATAAAATTGATTTTTGTTTTAGAAGGTTAATATGAAAAGGATAGATCTTTCAAATAAAAATCTAAAGTTTCTAAGCTTTAGAGAATTACTTAAGTATAATTAATAAAATGAACTTTTTTACTACTTAATGATAAACATGATTATGTAGTACTGTATTTATACCAATAAAAATAAAGGATGATGATGATGAACCAGTTGAGTATTTTTAAAATGAAAATAAATTTTATTATTGAGTTTTATTAGGTTCTTCGAAATCAAGAGTCACTTTGAGAGGGTAGAAAGAGAGTTCAATGAAGTAAATATAAAATCGATTTTGTCTTAATTATTAATGTTTTATTTGTTTAAAGAGGATTAAATGCATCCGGTCGTCAAGATATTGATGATTGTGTAGTAATGCAACAGAAACAAGGTCAAATTCATATAAATAATCTTGATTTTATTTTATTTTTTTATAACTCATTTTAAATGGTAAAGATGATGATTCAACATCTGATGAAGAAGATCTTTTACATACACGTGTAAAACGACATAATAGATGATGACCAAATACTTCTGATATAGTATTAAATTCTGATGTAAGAATAATGAAATCAGTTTGTGTTTAATTTCAGTCCTAACATTAATTAGCACGTTTTGGTCAACATACTACAAATAATTCCTCTAAGCCTATTCCATCTTGAACAGCTAATTCAGATTGTGAAGAAAATTTGAAGAATATTCTAGATTAGTAAGTATTTCCTATTCATTCTCTATAGTTTTTCTTTTTCCTTTCGTCCAATTTTTGTTTTACTTGTCAAATATATATATATAAATGTGTACATATCTGTTTCCATTCATTTCTTTTACGATATCAAAAATGTCGGCTGCTGATGAACATGCGTTTAAATCAATGAAAACAGAAGAAAAAAATGAAGAAAACCAACAGAAAGAAGAAGATGAAGAAGATAAAAATCAAGATCGATTATTTCAATTTTTAAAAGATTTGCACCAGCATCGCACCGATGTAAGTAAAAAAATTTTAATAACTAAATTTATATATTTTTATTGATTTAGGCTCGCAAATTGGGTGAAATTCAATCATTAACAATGTATGAAAAGAAAAATGCTGAAACTCCACTTGATGATTTACTTATGAAAGACGATCCAAAAAACGAAGACGAAGAATTTTTACTAGGCAAAGTTGGTAAATATGATCGACGATTTCAACTTGTTAAACGTGCTATTAAAAAAGCATCAGCACCATAAAGTAGGTAATGAATTAAATAAAATAAAAATTTTTTTTTTAATATAATTTCTGTTTTAGTAGTAAATATAACTATACAATATTTCATTTATGTTAATTATTATTATCGTCTTTTTTTAAAATTTTTTCTTCATAATCTCATGCTAAAATTTTAATATAAAAGCTAGTAAAAAAAATAATTTCAAATTATTCTTATTATTTAATTAATTATTTATTTTTCTCTTTAGTTATCAATATTCATTAACGTCTTCTTCATTTAATCCACCATCGCAATTGCCAATTCGTAAAACTTCAATTGATTTAACTTCAGTTTTCTTCTTCTTTCTCTTGTAAAAATGAAATGTATAAAGAATTTCTTCAGTTGAAAATAAAAAGGCTTAATGTTTCTATTAACTCAATATATGTTTTAACTATTTATCAAAATTCAGAAAATAATCGAACGCAGTTTTTATCAATAAAATGCTTTTACTTCAATTAATTCTCAGAGATGTCATAATATCCTAACACTGGGTATCGTCGACATACCAGTCACGATATCCATTCAAGTGGATATCTAAAATGGATACTAAAATGAATACCCATGTTCCTCATAACTGAGGAATTTGAGTACATTTGATGTAACGAGATTGGGTATCCATTTGTATGGATATCTATGTATCATCAGAGCTGAGGAATTTGAGTGCATTTGGTGTAACGAGATTGGGTATCGGAAATTTTCTTACTGTCAGATCCTACTTCAAGCAAATTAATATAAGCCACAATTCACATAACATACATGTGACGATCCACAACAACACCAACTACACAGCATGCTACAGTTTCAACCAGACTTCCTTGAGTCATTGTGATGAAAGTCGTAATAAGTTGTTATCAGGTGAAAATGAAGTTCTTCAACGAACATTTACCTGAAATTGCACGCTATCTGCAATACTCACTAAACAAATCTGTACATATCAATAAACATTGGCATAAAGCTGACTACATGAATACAATAAATTTTAACATAGCATCAGGTTTCCTTATTTATAATTATAAAGTCACGTATTCCTACAATAGGGTATCTGTGCCGATATTGATGGCACGCTTCGATGATTCTCCTTCCTTCTCTTTCTGTTCTCTTTCCATTGTTCTAATGTATCTCTCTCCTGTCTCTCTTCTATCTCTCTCCTATATATACTTGCGTTATGTATGAAGTTGTTACACTCTGGAGATGTCAGATGACACAATACACCATCATGCCGACGGGCATAGGCGATACTCTCTAGTTTTGTCATTACGCTCTGGATAACTTGAAGTAGCCTAATAAACATCTTTGCCGAGAGTGGCACAAACTACTATAATCTAGTTGTTCGTTACAGTACCCTAGGGAATGTACAAGGTTCAGGGTACTCACATACTAAGAAAGCTACATCAGGGTACCTATTAAGGGTACTTAGAAAATTCTCAGTAACCAGACTGTTGTAGTTACTGCATTGGGTACCCATAGCAGTATGTTTCGCTGAAGCAGTACTTGTATGAGTACCCGCACCTGTAATTTTACTGAGGAAAGCTCTACAGGGTACCCTAGATTTATCGCGTTCTGTGTGGCGTCTGTTCATTCACCGTTTTCTTTTGCGTGAACAGCTCCTTATAAACAACTCGGTGAAACATCAGAAAATAAACTTTTTTCATATTTTTTTTCTAGATTATTTCTTGACTATTTATTAGCGGAGAACATGCCGATCTTAATCGTAAATTAAGATCGGACTACCCTGAAGTGGTCGGATGGAGATTCGACCAACTCAAGCCCGGTCAGATTCCGAAATTTGGCCTGCTAGAGTTTTTCAGGATTGGAAAAATTAAATTAAATAATATCGAAAAAATTTAATAGATTGTTTTGAGAGAAAAAAAATGAAAAAATTCGAAGATTAGGTTCGACCATCAACGTACTGCAATTTTGGTAACAGGGTACCTAAGCATACCGTGCAATAGTATCCAGTTGAGTACTTGATCAGTACCTTCAAGTACTCATTTACTAGTTGTTTTCCAGCAGGGTACCTACCTGAGTACCTAAAAGGTACCTGAAAGGACTTTTAAGTACTCCAGTACCATAAAGTTCCTAAGACATACTAGTAGCAGGGTACTTTTTCGGGTACCCTTTGCTCAGTACATGCCCTAGGGTATCCATTTCCGATACCCATCTCGTTACACCAAATGCACTCAAATCCGTCAGCTCTGAGGATACATAGATATCCATGCAAATGGATACCTAATCTCGTTACACCAAATGCACTCAAATTCCTCAGCTATGAGGATACGTAGATGTCCATCCAACTGGGTATTCTATCTGGGTATTCATCTCGATACCCAAGTTGTGGATATTATGACATCCCTCGTCGGATCCGTCGTCGGATTAGTCGACCTGGGGAATTCCTATTCCACAGCCCTTGGGCACCCCTCATTCAATTTTTCGTAACATTCAAGGGCGTGCTTACCAATAATAATAATCAATTATAAATCTCAGTGAAAGGATGTCGTTTAGCGTCATCTTCAGAATTTTATGATTGCAAGAGTATAATTATTCTGTGGCACCTATATTGCAAATTTACAAAATCGCTTTCGAATAGATAATAATAACTTCAATGTTTACTGAATCTTATATAGCGTTAATCAATTCTGAGTGGTTGTTGATGTTGCCAACTAATGTTAGAGGTTGCACTTGCAATCGTAATGAGACACAAAAAACAGAGTGAGTATGAGTATACAGTGTCTTTGAGCGAAGTAATCGATCGAGCATGTAAATACGTGGGTTTTTTTTTCTGTACGTTAGGTCGTTCTTGAAACAGGTAGTTTTTCTTTCATATAACATTGATATATTTAAAATAGCAAATAATACAGCATTAGTTGCAGATGTCGTCTTTTCTTACTATTTGTTACTTATTTATTTGTTTGTTGGGTGTTCTCAACGCAGATGAAAAGAAATATTCTGACAAAGACAATGTAAGGAAATCGTTTTTTTCTATCTTCAATAAATCGATGATAATTATTTTCTTTTTATTAAAGGTGATAGTTTATGTTAATAAAGTTGGTCCGTACTCTAATCCCCAAGAAACTTATCATTATTATTCACTTCCAGTGTGTCGTCCATCAAAAGTAAAATGAATAATTTTCTTTTTATTAAAAATAAATTCTTTTGGTTTCAATAGATCGTATCAAAAGATTTAACACTTGGTGAAGTACTTTCGGGTGATCGAATGGCACATTCTCTATATGATGTTAAATTCAATGGTTGATTTTTAATAATTGAATAAATTTTAAAAAAAAGCTATTTTAACTTCTATTTTGATTTAGAGGAAATCAATAATAAGCAATTGTGCTCATTAGTATTAAATTCTGATGAATTAAATTCTTTGAGATTAGCAATTGAAGAGTTTTATTATTTTGAATTTGTTATTGATGATATACCACTTCGTGGTTTTGTTGGACAAGTTGAGGAAACAAATTTATTCCCACACAAACATCATATCTATGTTTATACTCATCACCATTTTGATTTTCACGTCAATGACAATCAAGTAAGAAAATAAAAATTGTTTAAAAAAAAAAGAAAACTATTTTATATTAAGATTATCTATGTTAATATAAGTACAAAAGATCATCCACCAACATCTTTAGATGATGATTCGTTAACATCTCTTAAACTTGAATTTACCTATTCAGCTAAATGGCATCGAACAGAGTACAAAGAAAATAGATTTATTTACTTTTTCAGTAAAAATTTGATTTTAATTTTAGAACACGATATAAAGATCGTGCAAAATATATTGCTAATACTGGCTTCTTTCCTGAAACACTTGAAGTTTGTTTATTTATCAAGTTTGCTTTTATATTTTAATTTTTAAAATTTAGATTCACTGGCTATCTGTTATTAATTCGATGGTTCTTGTATTTCTTCTTATGGGTTTTGTTGTCATTATTCTTGTAAGTATTATATCAAATAAAATCTTAAAACAATTTAGTTTTTCTCTCCAGTTGAAATAAATATAGATTTGTTGTTGTTGATCGTATATAGTCGAATATAGAAAATTTATCACAATATTATTTTATGATTTGGAAAAAAAAAGTTTTTATTTTCTAGTCACGTATATTGAAACATGATTTAAATCGAATGTCAGATGAAGATGATGATGGTTCACCTGAAGAAGAAAATGGTTGGAAAATAATTCATACAGATGTATTTCGTTTTCCAGTTAATCGTGAATTATTTTGTTCGGTTCTTGGTGTTGGTTGTCAATTTTTATCAATATTCACTGGTATACTTATATTTGCTGTTTGTGGAATGTTTACTGTTCATCGTCATGGTTCATTAATGGCATCAGCTGTTATATTATATGCATTTACATCATGTGTTGCTGGTTATATGAGTGGAAGAATGTATCGACAATTACAAGGTGAACATTGGACGTGGAATATTATTTTAACAGCAAATCTTTTTACGGTACCATTTTTTCTTATATGGTCAGTAATAAATACTGTTGCATGGATACATGGAACAACACAAGCGTTACCATATACAACTGTACTTATCCTTGCTTTTATGTGGCTTTTTGGTAAAGAAAATTCTTCAATAAAAACAAGAAAATTTCTTTCATATGTTTATTATATTTTTCTTTACATTTTTAGTTGGTTTTCCTTTAACAGTTTTGGGTGGAATATTTGGTAAAAATTGGACAACCAATTTTGATGCTCCATGTCGAACAAAAAATATTGCACGCGAAATTCCTCAAGTAGCTTGGTATAGGACAAGTTTTGTTCGAATGTTAGTTGGTGGATTTTTACCATTTTCTGCGATAAGTGTTGAACTTTATTATATATTTTCAACATTTTGGGGCCGTGAACAATATATGTTATATGGAATATTAACAATTGTTTTTATTATTCTTTTATCAGTAACAGCATGTATATCAATTGCATTAACTTATTTTCAATTAGCTGCTGAAGATTATCGATGGTGGTGGCAATCAATTGTTACTTCGGGGTGAGTATTTTTTAAATAAATATTTTCATAATATTTATTTTAAATAAATTTAGATCAACTGGTTTATTTGTATTTCTTTATGCTGTATTCTTTTATTTTAATCGATCAAAAATGCGTGGTGTATTACAAACATTACAATTTTTTGGTTACACATCAATTGCGTGTTACGTATTCTTTCTTATGCTTGGTACTGTAGGATTTTTTTCCTCACTTCGTTTTATTCGTTATATTTATGTTAATATTAAAATGGATTAACAAATCATTTATTCAAATATTGAAATCTCACTTCGATTTACATCTGCTGAACAGTGATATATAGCAGATGTTGAAATATTCGAATCCGCTTTTTTATTATTTAACTAACTTTAAAAATAAAATTATTGCATTCCATCATTTTTTCTTACTTTTTTTCCCTTTCTCTTTCTCTCTCTCTCCTTGTGTGTGTGCGTGTGTCCGTGTGTCTACTACTAACCTTCTTTCTCTATTGTTCGTCGGTATTTTTCTTTGCTTTCTTTTTTCTTATTGTTGCTGATTTGACCAATAAATAGATGAAAAGTAAAAATAAATATCAATAAATCATTGAACACGAAAAAATAAATAAATAAAACCTTTTTCTTCATCCTACTTCGATTGAATAATGACGAATAACTATGAATTTAACTAGACAGGATCTCGCCGCGGTAGTATAATGGTAGTACATCCGGTTGTGGTCCGGATGACGCAGGTTCGATTCCTGCCCGTGGCATGTGATTTTTTTCTCTAGTCTTTCAAAAGAATAGATTTCTAAAATTGACTAGGACAACTTTTAAAACACGCTTCATCTTTGAGATAATGGATATTCGATAGATCTTATGCAGTATAAAAAGAAAGTATTCTCTTCTCTTTTCATTTTCTGATCTTCGTTTTTGTTGAATTATGAGTAAAGAGTCGACGAGAACTTGAATGTTCAAGCAACGAACCGATAACTTCTGCGCGAATAACCGTGAAATCACAAAAAAACCTATCCGAAACTCGAGCTAGAACGACTATATCACGGGTGGAATATTCTCGTTTAAAATAAACACTATAGATTTCATTTCAAAAGAAATGTCTTATAGATTTTACGCCAGTAATTCACTTTTGAATGAATTATTTAGATTTAAACAAAGAAAAAGAGGCTAGAAGACCAAACAATAAGAGATTTTTAAAGTCTCATTTGAATCAAGACGAACAACTATAGGTTTCTATGGAAAATGATTCAGCAATTAAAATTTTTGCATATGCAATTACCCATGGTGAAAGTTCAACAAAAGAAGATGTTTGAGAGAGTACATTTCGCTTATCATCAATCATATGAAATTGATAATTGAATATAAGCATCTCTAAATATTGTTTGACTCAAATGGTTATTCATATTTGTATATTAGCGTGAATTTAATCTTTATCTACTAATTCAATCACAAGCATTTGAATTCAAACATTATTGCATGAATCTCCCCTAAAACTAATATCCATATCTACCTTTATGTCTTATATTCTACTTGTCATTCACGAGAAAATATTCGAGCCAACAAAGTACAAGTAAATTATAAAATAACTAAAGTTGATATTCAATAAGCGCAAGACATTTGTTTTGTTTATTTTTTGTTTTAGATATTTCCATAGAATTATGATTTTAATATTATATTAAGAAACGAAAAATTATTGGCTGATATACATTCAACTGAACAGTTACAATATTTTCACAGTATAAAATAATTTTTTTCCAATAATAATATATTTGGATGATTCTTTTTCAAAAGAAATAAATAAATATCTATAAGATTTCTGATAAAAATAAAATAAATTCTCAATTAAAAAATTGATTATTCATTAGAGAATAATTTTCTATGTTTAAAAAAAATCATAGAACGAAAGAAGCTCTATCAAGCATACTTGTCTTTGTATTCTTGGATTTTAAGTTGAAAAAATTATATAACTGAAGTTCCGCTTGAATATTTTATGACGCATTTGAATCATCGTATACATTAATTATATATAAGTTCAAATTAGTTTTCAAATATGTATGAAAGAAAAACTAAAACCATTTTGAAAGGATAATTTAATTTCTTCTATTGAATATTTACTACCATTAGATTTATTTAATCAAAATAAAATTTACTTTTTATAGTTATATATGTGTATCATTACTAGAATATCCAATAGAAGATTGTTCTAATAAAGTAATCAAATCATTAAAGAAAAATCTATCTTCGTTTTATACTTATGTTCATTTTTTATCATTTTAAATTCTTTCATGATTTATTTTTGATACAAAAATTGAGAGTTATATATAATATTTTATTGCGTTGAATACCGTTGAAAACGATCCATTTACAAGAAATACATATTGATTTTGTACTATTAAGTAACAATTTATCTTGATTTCATTCGTAAATATATGATTTTATTATTATATTTTGTTAGAATTATAACCTTGAAAATGATGACGGAAAAATAAGAAATCAATTTACAAATAATAGATCGTATAAAATATTATATAAATTTATTTAAAATTTGATGTGAATGAGAAACAAAAGGTGTTTTTAAATAATTCTTAACTTTTTCTCATGAATATTACGACTGTTTATTTTCGTGAAATATATTTATCAATGAAAATATTAAAATTTATCTCTAATATCAGTTCACTTGTACGCGTGTGGTTTCCATAAATAATATCTTCAAATAAGTAAACAAGTTCATAAACTGTTTTTATCATGCAATACTAGTGAACATGAGACTACTTCGCATTATTTTAATGTTCTGCATAGTAACATTCATCTAGTATTTTATACTCTCGATGTAAATAGGATAGTGAAATATACATGAATTAGAATTAAATCGACAGGAAAAGAATTGCAAATACATGAGTTCAATTTCGGCAGTGTATATAAAAAAAATAGATATTAGAATATTATTTTACTCATTATAATTAATAATTAAAATAAAACTCGATAAGAATATTTTGTGGCGCGTACTTAACTAATCAAATTGATTATTATAAAGAATATCATCATTCATGTCATCAGCTTATCAAATCTATCGTTCAACAACTATTGGTTTGACTCTTCACGATACTCTTCATGAACTTGTTCAACGTCAAATACTTAGTTCTCGTGCTGTCGATTTTATTTTTAATGTTTTTGATGAAATTATCAATGAAAAATTAATTTTTCGATCAGTCAAAGAAAAACCAGAAGCTTGTCTTTCTTTCAACGGTCATCTTCTTTCCTATAGATCGTGTGATCAAGTATGGACGCTACTTTTTGATTCATTAATATTAACATCAACAAATAAAGATTCATCATGGAAAATGAATTTAGCTAATCAAAATAACAAAATAAAAATAATTAGTTGTCCTGCAACAAAATTAACTTTATCGAATAGCGAACAAATAACAACAGATGAAGATGATTCTAAAATAAAATCAAAATCTTTGAAAAAATTTAAATCTAAATAAGTATCAAATAATAAATTCATATTGTTGCGGAGATATTATCAAAATTTTTCATTTGATCTCCTTACATAAATTGATGTCTAACAATATTTTTCACGAACATTCTGATGTTAGTATTCAATCGATTAAAATCGACCAAACTTTCTCTTGCATTTTTCGGTTTAAGCATAAAAATTTAATAAAAAAAATTATCTTTATCAATCAAACGGATCTAAGTATATTTAGAAATTAAAAAAAACAAATTTCAGATTTAAATCTCATTGATTGTGATATTTTTTCTTAAAAAAAAGAATATTCTATGGTCATTTAATTATCCTAGAAAAAAGTCAGAACTGATTATGGTTAATGAACGAAAAAGAATTTCTGTAGAATTTAATTCAAACAAAACAATATCTCTGTGGAAATGTATGTTTGCATAAAGTCAACAATTAAATCTATATAGCAATCGATACAAGTTTTCAATCGGTCTAATCGTAAAGATTAAAATTAATTGACTATGGTTAACAACGATGCGAACAATTTGATTTTGATCAACATCTTATTTTAGTTTTTCAATGAAATATAATTAAATTAAACAAATGTACTAGTGGAATAGAATTTTCAAAAAGTAAGAATAAAACCTAATATTAAATAAAAGAGTTGCATTACCAATGAACCTATTCGAAAGAAAACTGGCATGCCGATAAATGATCCAAATGATTACAATAAAATAAAAATATCATCTTTCTATATATCGTTAATTTATTCTAAGCTGTATTCTCTGTATTTTTTGTATAAATATACTTATTGTCGCTTATCTGTAGACGTGCAGTAATCTCGATTTACCCATCTATGATCGAATTATTTTTACATAAATCGTATTCATTTATTTTAGATAAAAATTTTTGTTAACCAGTATACCTATTTCTATTAATAGATCATGCTATGTTTGATCTTTTAAATTTGCATTGATGTTAGCTACTTATATTTCACATTTTCAATAGATCAATCATATTTATACGCTAGAATTAATATTTCATTGAATATTTTACGGTTTACTAATATTAACAATCCTATTTTAAATATAATTGAATATTTGAAACTAAAATTGACCATTCTTATTATTAAATATGTTAAAATATATAGAATGAAATAATAGTTACTATTAATATATTTAACGAGAATTATGAAGGAAAATATCAAACGAAATCTACGTTTAATTATGAAAAATTACATTGATTTATTTATAATAGAAAGAAAAAAGGTTAATAAATTCTATAGTAAAACTGTCAATTATTTCAGAAGAAAAAAAAATTTTTTTGTTTTTTAAAAGAATGTTTTAATAGAAAATAGATTGATTTTTACATAAAATTCAATTTTGTTGTTAATCTAAAAGACAAGTTTCTTATCATGTTTTCTCTTTTATTGAAAAACACAAGTGAAATGTAATGAAATGAAATCATTTTATTTGAATTTATAATTAAGAAAATTATCTTGTTGATCATAATTAATCAATAATCTATATTGAATAGAATTATTGTGGCGATATAAAATAATAAATTTGTTTAAATATTAGATTAATATAAACATTAGAATAAAAAGAAACATTTCAAAATTTTCTAAGAATAAAAAATTTACAATCAGATAAGATAATCGTAGTTGAATATGTTTATCCATTTTATTTGTTTTTCTTTAGTAACTTTTTGATAATGAGTGAAAGAAAATTTTTAGAGATATTTATAAATAATAAAAGAAAATATCTTTGAAATCTATTCTTAATAAAATATGTTTGATTTTGAATTCAAATAAATTTTAGTTTTAAAATTTTTTTCAATGATAATTTCTTGATTTAACCTTCAAAAATCATTGTTATAATATCTTGAGTCAGAGTTATTATTTGAAAATTTTATGTCCATGAAATGAAAAGAATCTTTTAAAAGATATTATTATTCATCTTAATGTAAACATATTTTCTATTTTTCCATGCTGAAATATACGGGAGCAATAGCAACAAAAAAAAAGCAGGAAAAAGATTTTCAATGTCATATTTATTGATAAATGCATTGATTAATGTGCGTGCTAGAAGAAAAAAAGATACATGTTGTCTGAGTTGGTTGATCATGTAGAAGTTTGGTTTGTCTATATCATTGATGATTGTATTCTCTAGATTGGTTACTCGTTACATCGACATTGACTATTTAGATAAATGAGTCGAAAGAAGCGAGCATGTCTCAAGCGACTATGTCAGTTGAGGAAAAGAAAAACTCATTATATAGAGACTATGTTAGCGCAAAGAAGACAAATGAGCTTTTTTTCACGATGTATGTATACATTCGTTGTTACTATCGGTCTTTTAACCAGCAGAGAAAGATTTTTCTTTTTATTCTTGTCTGTCTTCGTCGAGAACATGAGAGAAGGAGAGAGGCAGGCAGAGAAAAAAGAAAAGATTATTAATGATTCGCTTTCCTTTCAATCGATGATCAAACGATGCGGTTGGACAAGAAGAAAAAGAGAAGAAAACAGAAAAAAAACAACTTAAATAAAATGTCAAAATGCATGTTTTATTGAAAGACACGACAAACATCTGACGACAACTACAAAAAAAAATAAAAACGAAACGAACACATAAGATCAACGAAATGAATTTGTCATTTATCTTCTTTTTATTCAATTGATCATAGATCAATTCAACAAAAACGACAAAACGATCAACAATGTTTTATAGCTACTTTATTCTTTATGAAAATTGATTTTGAAAACAAAAAAAAGATGTTCATCGCAATTTTAATATTGAAGCTTTGTCGTCGATTGACATGAATTCTATATAAATACAAAATTGACAAAAATGAAAAACAAATCTATTTTAATTATTACACTTTTTCGAAATAAAAAAAAACACTTCCTTGAACATAGAAATTTGATGGATAAAATTTTTGAGATTCTTTATTTTGGCTCATTAAGACATATACAAAACAACAACAACAACAACAACAACAACAAAAACAACAACAAGGAACAAAAGAGAAAAATCATTCACACAAACATCGAAATATGCAAAAGAAAAGTAAATACAAGATATATTTTATAAAAAATAGATGAACATGTCAAGTAAACAATGTCATCCTCAATTAAAGACAAAACAAAAGAAAGGAAAAAAACAATCATTGATTATGTCAATTCGAAGATTCATCAGAAAATGATTCTTCTTTTATAAATGTTGAAATACCAAGTGAATCTATTTCTTGTTCTCGTTCTTCTTTTTTAATAATATGAGGTGATGAAGAATCTGATGATGTTGATGCTGCTGGTAATTGATCAGGTAATTTTGATTTTGTATTTGGTAATTTATGATCTTTTTTCCATTTCATTCTTCTAGCAATTTTAATTATAAATTAAAAGAAATTATTATTAAGAAAAAAAGAAAGAAGAAAACAAACCGATTTTGAAACCAAATTTTGATTTGTCTAAAAGGAAACACGGAGAAATTTCTTTTTCGGTATTTATTTAGTCAATTTAATTAATTATTATTTACCGTTCAGACAAATTAAGCGCATGAGCAATCTCGATTCGTCGTCGGCGAGATAAATATTTTGAAAAATGAAATTCTTTTTCTAATTCTATTTCAAATCGATCAACATGAAAGTATTTAAATAAAAACAAATAAATAATTTTACCTAAAACTTGATGGCGAGTATAAGCAGTACGAGCTCGTTTGGTTTCACCACTTGTATAATTAACAACTAAATTTTAAGAAAAAATAATACATTTTCACTTTGTTATTAAACATCGATCATCATTTTTGTCCATATTTTAGTCCAATTGTCTGGTAAAACATATCGACAAAAGAGAAGAAGAGCAACAACAACAAAAAAAAGAGGATGTTTTTTCTCTCTGATTTTTCCTTAATTTCAGTTATGTATTTATTCAATCATAAGACAATTAATGTTTTAGTTTTTTATTATTTGAAGAATTGTTTTTTTAAATAATCCCAATGGTAAATGCGCTTTTTTATTCAATATTTTGAAAGGCAAAGGTTAAATTTAGATACGAAAAGAGAATCTGACACTTTTCAATGATTCAAGCTGAGAGAACAAATTTTTGACATTTTCAACTATCAACTAGTGTGATATTTACTTGAGTCGTTAAAAATCCATTGAAGTCAATGTGTAACTTGATAAACAAATGAAATCAAAGTTAACTATATTGAGTTTTACGTGACATATAAATAATTAATGATTTTACTTTTTAGTTTTTAGTTTAAAAACAAAAGTCTGTTATCGATTTGGTCCATTAATAAATAACTCAATCTGGTTTGTTGTTTAGCATAGTATTAATGTTGTGATCGTGTGTTTTTGTTCTTCTTCTTTTTCTTCTCCTCCTTTTCATTCAAATCAATAATTGATATGGTGCCTGACTGCACGTGTCTCACATTCAATCATTAATCTTATGCATGTTGCCTGTCATCATCAATGATTTACTCTTTCCTCTTGTTTTATTTTGTTTCTCTCTTACAAAAAAAATAAAACCGAATATTATAATATTCGATGGAACTATTTGAAAGAAGTTCCATATTCTTACCTGGATTATTTATATGAACTTTACGCATCCATGGATAAATTACAGGAGGATTCTGCTGTTTTGATAATGATGGTGATGATGATGATATTGAATCAATTGATGTTGATAATGGAACTAACTCTGAAGAATTTGTACTTGTTAGATGATCTATTGAAGATGTTTGAGGGGATGATGATGAACCATTGGGAACAATTGATGATTGACTTGCTGTCGGAGGAGGACTCATTGATAAACCATAAAGATCAAGATTCATTGGATGAATTGAATTTAACATATCTGATTGCGTTAAACCATTTGATGAAACCGATGAGATTAGATTTTGTTGGTTATAATTTACATTTGAACCATTATGATAAGGATATCCACAGGAACTATTAGAAAATTAGATATTTGTTTTTTTCATTTTATACTTTTAAAATAATAATAAATGCTTGTATCAAGAAGAAGAAGAAGAAGAAGAAGAAAACAGCACCACCACATAACACTATTTTTACTGTAAACTAAATAAAATTTTACCTTGGAACGATGTTTGTTGTTGACGATGATGATGATGATGATGATGGAAGTACATTATATCGATATATATTATTCGTATTATCTTGATAAATATGATGAGTTTGATGAGAATAAAGTGGAAGTGTACGATTTGGTGTTTGATTATATGTATGTTGGTTATAATAATCAACCATGGGTGATTGAACAATACAAGATGAACTTGAAGAAGATTCGTTTGTAACATTAGAACTGTTTTCAGATAATTGATGTGTTGTACCAGAATAATTTGTATTTGTTCCATCACCGCCATAATGATGATTATGATGATGATTATGATGATGATGATTGTTCATCGTATGTAGAGAAGAAGGAATTGGATAGGACGACAGAGAACTCATTTTTTTTCTCTTTTCTTTTTCTTTTTCTTTTTTTCTCTTATTAATGATAGTCTCAGATTGAAGTGAACTGACTGATTATTAAGCTAAGTGTAACGGTAAATGATCCTCTACGTTCGTTGTTATTATTAATGATGGTAGAGAGAGATTCTTCGAGATCGACTGATCAAATGATGAGAGAAAGCAATGTAAGCAAACCCTGTCACACAAAACGACCCATTATATCGATTAATGGATATCATAAAAAAAAGAAATACGAAAGCGAGAACGAGAACGAGAACGAGAACGAGAGAGAAAGAGAGAGAGAGAGAGAGAGAGAGAGCGAGGGAAAAGATCGATTTTTCTTTTTTTTCTTCTTTCACTCGGGACACACCCAATATAACCAATCAACATTGTATCAGCATACTCTTCGTCGATCTTAGTTTTCATTGGTCGAAAAAGAAAAGAGAAAAAAACATGTCAAGTTGATACATCGACATTTCACCGGGCGAACAAATGTATAACATACATTTAAGAAAGAAATCAATCATTTCTTCAATATCCAAAGAAGGAATAGAGACACAAGAAAAAGCAAATACATCGAATTGCGAATTACTTATTTAGTATAAATCTTTTTCCTTTTTCAAATGGATTATTTTTCATTATGAAGAAAATTATTTAACATGATTAGTAATTCTAATTTTCTTGTTTTTATCTATTTCTTTTTACTTTACTAATAACATGGTTCATCATTTATGATTAATCGAAGAAAAGAAACAAATCCTTAGAGACATTGTGTTACTGAAATATGAACTGTATTCGATGGGTTTAGATAATCTTATGATGAATATATAGAAAAAAAATCTTTTTATATTTGTTTCATGGCTAAAAATTTCTAAGTTTAAGTTATCTTTTGAATTTTATAATAATCGAAAAACCATTTTCAAGGAAAAAAATAAGTATTGCCAAAATTCCATCTATTGTATAGGATAAATTTTTATTCTAACGATTTCAATATTAATCAAATTGGTTTTTACGTATAAAAAGAAATTTATCATTTTACAAAAAGGTTCATAGGATAATTAAACAAGTTTATTTGTTTTGAATTTATTGATTTTATACGCATAGATAGACAAAGAAGACACTTGCTCTTTTTATTGTAACTCAAGATCAATAGATGAATTCTCGAGGCAAAGAAGTCATTTTATTTTCCCATTGAAAAAATATACAAGAAATATTTTTCATGTTTATATGAGAGATTTTTTTTTCAAATACGAAGAGAAAGTGAAAAAAAATAGTTTGATGAATGAAATGAATAATGAACGACTAAAGAAAACTCATTGATCTTTCTGTCCAGAATGTGTTTTGTCGGTATTTTCTTTGAATATTCTTTAATGTTCTTTATAATCTATTTTCTTGAAAACAAAAAACTATCTATTTATCATCGAGAATTTTTCATCTTTCTTTTTTTTTTCTATATCAATTTTATCCAAATAATCAATAGCTATCGATTAATGATCATTTCCAATGTGAAATGCGATAAGGCACGTTCTAGTTTAACTAGTTTTAATTCAAACAATATGTTTTCGTTTTTTTTTTGTCTGTTCACTTAAGATTGACTCATCATGTCTCATATCTAAAGTGAAAAATCAATAAATGCCTTTGAGCTATTATTATTCTAAATAACTTTGCAACAAGTGATCTAATGTTATTCTTATTTAAAAGAAAAAAAGAAACGAAGGTTTATTCAAGGATACGGATTGAATGAGATTAATGATCCGATTCATGTTTGTTCGATCCATGTCAGTCAATGTACAACGAATAGTTGACAAGTAAATGACGATTTAAATAGATTGAACAACAGCGCCATAAGTCTGGCACCAACCATCATCATTCACTGAGTATCATCTATTAAAAACAACTTTACTATGCCTATTCTTTTCTCTTTCACTTTTCTCTATATAATTTCAACATATTTCGGTCATCTAATCTCAAATACAAGATTAACCAATCAATGATATTCATTCATGAGAACAATGTCTCGGTCAGCGTTTTCATTGACATTGAATTGTTTTCTGTCACTTTAATTTTTGTATTTATTTGTTTTGAGAGTTTTTTTTTAATTTGAAACATTCGTAAAAATATCTTTTTCATAATATAAAATTTTCTACAGCTTATTAATATTTTGCAAATGAATTCTATATAGAATTCTATGCAGTGAAGAACAATTACCTTTGAAACATTATTTTGAAAAATTTGTTAAACAAAATTTTAAATTAGATTCGATCAATAACATTTTTTCCAAAATAAAATAATTAATTTTACTTAATACGAATTAATTTTTCGACAATTAGTCTAAACTAAGTGAAATAGGTTTTTTTTTGTTAGAGGTGATAATAACTATACGCTTAATCTGCATAAATGAGAATTATTGATTAAATCTGAATCAAGTTTTAAATCTATTATGTTAATATTACTTTGTAGGTCTGTTTCTTTTTTCATCGTGGCTAAATGAGAGGATAGTAACGTTGTACGTGACTATCGTTATATCTTCGAATGAACTTCAAAAGAAACATCAGATGATTTTACTGATAATCATTATTGTAGAATTGATTTTCTATGGAAAAAGTTCTATTAAGAAAAGAATCAATCAATATTCTTTATTAATTTTTATTTGAGAGTGTTTCAACATGCTTTAATCGTTTTAGCAAAAACTAGATTGAAATTGATCCAATCCTATCCGAAAGTTATTATTTTTTTTCTTTCAATTCAGAGTTATAGACGTCTAAACTATCTCTATCACGCTTAAATTATACTCTGAAATAGAAAAAATTCTTTTACATTGTCATAAAATTTTTTTTTTAAATTTTTTTAAAATTTTAGAAACGAAACAGATTTAAATACTTATCTATCTCATTCAAAAATAATGTTTGTGAAAGTAATTCTGAATACTTACATTTTATTAAATAAAAAGCTTTCTCATTTTTTAAATCTAATCTAATAGAAATAGATAAATTAAAATGATTGTTTTGATGCTTTATTGAATTTTTCAAAAGAAACTATTGTTCTCGCAATGTATTTGTCTGATAAATTAGAATGCGATGATTTTTCTTCCTGAACAACATATTTTATTTTAACGATGATTGATTCTAATGTAGAACTTTCTATAAACAACAATTTTGACAATAATTTGATTGTGAGTAACGATAATCTTACTGGTTTTTAAGTTTTCTCTTCTTGTATAACAGGATAAAATCACGTTATAAATTCATAAATTCAATAGGCTTAGTTGAGAAATTCTGAATAATCAAAATCTTCAAAATATTGTAACAAAATAGAGAAATGGTTAGCAAGCACAAAACAGAAAACTTGTTCGTATTTATTACTCAGAAATTTATACTTAACTACTACATATCGATATAGTATATGATCAGAGTGAATTAAAGTGCTATATCTGATCAATGCTGTACAATATTATGAAAAAAACCATTTGATTGAGTGAATAATAGAGTAAAAGCAAACAGCATCTGATGAGATTTACTATCAAAATACTCTATTTGATGATCACTCAATGTGGCTCACAGACTCAAGACAGTTAGCCACAAACAATGCTATTACATGTGTACATACAAGTGTATACTTGCGAAGATACTCAAATACAAAAAATTGTTTTATTTCAGCATTTTAAAGGCACATTTGATTTTTAACCTGTTTCCCATCATAATAATTAAATCCTCAAATGAGAAAGTAATATATTTACAATCAACATAAAAGACTGAGTTGATGTGACCATCTCAAGAATGGATTCGTTAATTTTCAGCTTCTAAGGTATCTTTTTTTTTTGTAAATGATGCCTCGGTAATGAAATCTAATGAGATTGAGAATCTCTAATTGAGTAATTTATAAGAATATTATTTAAAACGCAAAAAAACAAAAAATAATAATTTATTATTTTATTTATTTGAAAAACAAATTATTTTATATAAATTATAATAATAAAGCAGGTTTATGGTAATGTAATTTAAGCGCATATAGGTTAATCATTCAAGCATCGGTATCATTAAAAAGAAAGGTTATTATTATAGGAATAGACTTTCTTGTTGATTTTTAATAATTAATTTTAAACGAATCATCTTCTTCTGAATCACTATCACTTGATTCAATTACTTTGTCAAAATTGTATGAAGGTTTATGATTAATATTAATTCCATCTTCATCTGAATCATGATTAATATTAGTCGTTGTTTCATAGGCTGTTGAATCTGTAGTAAAAACAGTTGTTTCACTTGTTGATGTATTTTTATTTTCATTTTCATCTATTTTATCAATAGAACTTATATTTGTATATGGGAAAGTCACCATAACTTCAGTATTATTATAATCTGTTTGATCATTACATAAACTTAAATAAAGTTTGGTTAGTGGCGTTGAACAACTTTCAATTGTAATTTGAATTTCAAGAGTTGTTTCTGCTTCGGGAACAATATATTTATAACTTTCATTATTCGATGCCGATGATTTATTTACTCGAACACATGTTTCATTAATATTAGTTAATTCAACGATTTGTTTTGATAATGTATCATTGTCACCTGAAATACATTCAATAAAACGATATTGAAGAGATTCTTCTAAAATTGGTGCTCCAAAAATATATCGACTAGTAATAAGTAAAAAGAAAACGATATACGACATGTTTCTTTTTTGACTGATCAGGATAAGAATTCTTATTGAAATGTCTTGCCTGTCGACGAGTCAGAGAGTATCACGAGGAAGAAAAACAGCTGCTAATACTGCTTTCTTAATAAAAACAACAACAGAAACAAAGATTTTCCCAGTTCTAATCATTCTAGAAGATATATACGTGTCATATGTGTAAAAGTACTGAGTTTATTAGCGAAAACATATCTATCTTATCTCTCATCATACGTATAAGAGACAAGAACAAAATCAACTGCTGACTTAAGTTATAAATAGAATAAATGCGTACAGATATAACAATAATCGGATGTATTCTATTGTTTCATATTTTTTGTAATTAATTCATAATCATTATGATTAAAATGACAAATTGATTTTTCTTTTCAATGAAATCTTCTATTAAATACGAATAGTTTTTTTTGCTTTGTATAAATATATTCTATTATAATTAATTCTTATAATTAATATTATCTTGCTTGGATGATAATTAAAAATAAAAGGAACAATATCATTCGAATTTTATTGAAAATAAAATATATTTCCATATTTCAAACACTAAGTATTGCTAATGTAGATGTATTTTTATTTATTGCTTTAAATATTGTTTGTTCTTCATTTTTTGATTTCTATATTAATAAATGTTTCGATTTTATATGATTATCGGAAAGAAAAATTCTAATGTATCTCAAAAAAACTAATGTAAATGATTTTATTCTTTTAATACAAGTGAATTACGAATAGTTATTACGAAAAAAACATTTAAATAAAAAGAAATCTTTCAACAACAACATAAATTGATCGATGAAATTTTAATTCATTATTTACATAAAATGAATATTCTTTTAGTTATTTTTTCAGTATCATTATCATTCAAAATACATATTTCTTGATTTTCTGTCATAAGAATTCGAATAGTAAAATCATTTTCATTTGATTAGATAGTAATAATAAGATAATATCTAGTTTCAATTTTATCAAAGAAAGTTTTTAGAATTTTTGATAGTATACAACTTTAAAATTCAAATTATCAAAGTTATTGTTATTTGTCATGAAGAATCATTTGAACACGTTCTATTAAATCATGAAAGTTGGGTTTCAAATTAACATTATACGATAAACAGGGTAGAATAATATCAGTATATGTTTTTTCAAAACCATATTTAGTTGATTGAGGAAGATATTGAGTAAGATTTTCTGATTGATTTTTTAAAAGCGTTTTTAAACGAATATTATTCGTATTACCAAAAGGTAGTTCACCTAAAGAATAGATTTCCCAAAGTGTTATACCCTATTTTAAATGAAAAACTTTTAAATGAAATAAACAAATAAATAAATAAATATATATATATATAAATGCATACATAACTCCAAACATCTGAACGTGATGTATATTGTGAGAGAAATATAGCTTCAGGTGATGTCCAACGTATAGCACATATTGTATGAGAAGTACCTTTGTATAAACCACACTCAGTTAATCTAAAATAAACAAATAAATAAATCTCGCATCATTATAATAAAAAGATTGAAAAATTTTAAAACTTACTTGGTTAATCCAAAATCTGCTACTTTGAGTGTATCGTCTTGATCAATTAAACAGTTTCTTGCTGCTAAATCTCTATGAATAATACTTCGTTCTTCTAAAAATAGCATAGCTTGAAAAATTTGTTTTGAAAATGAATTTAATTTTAGTATAACATCTTTGGAATCTAATTTATTGAAAATATCTCGACGTTGTTTAAGATAATTTAATAAAGAACCATTTTTCATAAAATCTGTCACTAAACTTAATTGTTTTTCTTTTCCAAAAGAACTAACACCAAGAATACAAAGAAGATTTATATGTTTTAAATGTGTCATTATATGAGCTTCATGAAATAATTCATACATATTAACATCATTTTCTTCAATTAATGCTTTTGTACGATTAGAACAATGCCTTCGTTGACATTGTAATGTTTTTAATGCGACATCACGTGTACCTTTGTATAATGCATGATAAACAGTACCAAAATTACCTTTACCGATTTCATGAGCATTCTATTCATTAAAAAAAGGAAGAAGAAAAAAACAAGAATAGATGAAATAATACGATATTTATTTGTCAGATTTGGAAAAAGATAATTATTGAGTAGGTAAGAATAGAAAAAGGAGTATGTTATTTTTCAATTAAGAATTGTTCCATGAAATTATTTCGAAGGAAAAATCCTTGTAATACAGATGGAAACATTTCATGATGATCTCAATAACTATTTTAAGGTTATTTGAATTGTTCTACATGTAACTATGTTATTAATATTTACGGGAGCGATGCTATTAACAAGTTTCCAACATATTGGTAATGAATCGGAAAGTAACTGAATAGTTAGATTTTGGGCGAGATGAATATTTTCCCGTAGAATACTTTTCGTCTATTGAAACATGAAAGTAACAAAAGTTTTAGCAATCGGCTTATCTGAAATTTCGTAACGTAAAAAAAATTTCTTTGGTTTTAATCAAACTATTTTTCCATTCAAGCTATTCGATACTCAAAATTAAAAAAAAACCAATACACTTATGATTCTCAACACTTAAAGTATTGAAACATTTATATTGTACATTTTGGCATACTATGTGTTATTTTAAATATTTTAAGATATTTTAAAGTAGAAAAATGTGATTATTTTTCTAGTTAAATTTTTCGGATAAAGCACATAAAATTTAATCTGAATTATTTAGATTGCTACACTAGTATTTTCATTATCGTTTTTTTTATTTTTGATTTAAAACAAAACAAAATACTATTTAATAAAAAGAAAAAACGGATAAAAATCTGTATGAAAACCGAATTAACTTTACTTGTAAATCATGTTGCTTAATTAAAACTAATTTCAAATCAGCTGGTATTTGTTGATTTTTATTCTTTGAAGAAATGAATTGATTTGTTTTTATTGTTGACAATGAGTTTTGATTATTTTCATCTTGAAATATATCATCAGACGATTGAGATAAAAATGGTTTATATTGGCGTCTCCTTTGTGAATGACATTTTACTATTTGTTCAGCTGTAATTAGATTATTTGAATGTGTTGGTTGAACGACTGAATGGCTTCTTTCGGATTTAAGTTTTACACCATGTGTAGTATTATTATAACGAGAGTTTTCTTTAGTTAAATGACGAGTTTGTGGCTTTTCAATCGGTGAAGATGCTTTTATAAGACTAGATTGAATTATTTTCTTTTGATCTAAATACTTTTGGCTAATCTGTTTATATTTATTTAAATTTCTAATTTCATAATTGGTAAAACATGATGCATTATGAGTAACAAGACCCGATGAATGATTTAATTTTGCATAAGCACGATGAATATTTTCATAAGGATTTGTATTTTGAGAAGAATTATGATCATGCTCGTCTTTCGATATTTTTGTGCCCATCACGTTAATGCGTTTTTACTATTTCTGCATGCATAATTAAGAATGAAAAAAAGAATCAATGTAATTTCAATAAAATTTTATCAAGCGTGACTACTACGGATCGTACAGAAATTGATAGACATGACTTGTCTTCCTTCTTATTCATGTTTAAAGGACGTTGGAAAAATAATGATGACTCAAAGTTCTATTTTGATTTATAGTACTATTGACTCATAAAAAGATAGTTCAATCTTCTTTTTTATCAAATATTCATAAATTCTAATTAATATCTGCTTCGTAAATGATTGTCTTTTTCTTAATATGCCTTGCATTACAAAAGCATTATTCGTTGTTTAATTGAATAAATGTTGTAGAAATCAATATTAATTCAATAAAATAATTTGGAATTTCTATTAATCAAAAGATTGTTTGTTTTCGTTTTTATCTTTAAAAGATGAATCTCAATAAGAAAAACAAAATTATTTATGAACTCATACACACAGAGAACATTAGCAAAATAATGATCGTTTATCTGTATGAATGTTTTCTAATCAGTTACTTTCAATTGTCAATCAAACAGAGTTTTTCTGATACAAATTATATTTAATAAATCATCCTTTGTTAAATATATATATTTGTAGAAAATAAGATGATCGACATGTGTTAATATATCATAATTACTTTTTATCGATGGTTTTTTCATTTAGTTTCTTTAACTACTGAGGTTTTCACTAAATTTTCGTTTAATCAAATCTTTTTATGTGGAGGTGAAGATTTTTGAAATAATTACAAAAGAAACAAAATTCAAGGAATGTATCTGAAAGTGACTCGATTAATAATTATAACATTATTTGATGATTAACTTCTCTTTATTATTCATTTTGATTTCGTTTCGTTCATTATTTAGTATGAATCGATTTCTAAAATTTGCTTAGAAGCATTTTTATTAACGAATGTCTTTTTAAGTATTGTTAAAGTCTAATTCTAAATAATAATAAATCAATAGTGAGATACTATGTATCATTTTGCTGGTTTTACTATACATTTGATATTCTCTTAAATTACCAGAAAACTTAACTTAAGTAAATTCTTTCGATGTTTTATTATAGGGAATATTTCTCGATATCAACAACATTGAAGTGTTAAAACTTTGATGCTGTTGATATGTCTCTTTTACATCTTTTCTTCTTTGCTTACTAGTCTAATACTATCATTGCAGCATATCTAGTTATTTTCATACTATTGAATAGTTTTGATGATTAAGCAAATTTTTCTGTGTTGTGTTTAATACTCAAAGATAATATTCAAAGTAGTATCAAAATTAATATTTAACACTAAACGCTAAACACATGTAGTCAATATCTTAGCATATTCAAACAAAGAAAATTCATCTAAATAACCTAGGAATACCGTTTCACAAATATGATTAACTCGTTCGTATCTCTTCATTCATCTTCAATAGTATTTATATCGAAATTGTTATCAAATAGGTAGCTACACAACATATTTTATCTACACTTGCATATAAACCTGCCAAGAACAAACAAGAAAAAAACATGATGTTACTACATAAACATTCATTATATCAATGACCAATTTACAATAATATATACATGTGGGAATGTTTGGCAGTGGGTATAATTAGAGCGAGAATGAAATGTATTACTGCCGTAAAGATCATATTTTCAGTATGAAACTTTCTTTATTGAAGAAAAGCGTGTGAGCTTTCGATATCCTACTGGAATCATCATCAGATGCAATACGATGTATTCTATTTTACAATTTTAGTAGGATTCATTTTATTAATCTGACATCTGCTCGAAAGTTTTCTAACAGATGTCATGTTAATAAAATGAATCCTACTAAAATTGTAGAATATAATGTGCCATATTGTGTCTGATGATGATTCCAGTAGGATATCGAAAGCTCATACGCTTTTCTTCAATAAAGAAAGTTTCATACTGAAAATATGATCTTTACGGCAGTAATACACGTCATTCTCGCTCTAATTATATAAATAAAAGCAAGATCTTTAAAAGTTCATAAAGCAATCACAAGAAACTATTGTTAAATAACAAGACGCAGCATTTAACATAAACGAAAAACTTCATAGTTAAAACAGAGATAATCAAGTGACCTTCCCGTATGCTAAAAACAGTAACACTAATGCCAAATAATTCGAGTGCAACAACTTGTGATTCTGAAGAACATTCTTTGCTCTTAATAGTTTATTTTCATATGAATCGAATTACAATGACGAATATTCCGTAAAAAGAAACAAAGAATATATTATTTGTGTTTTTTCAAAGCTATCACACCAGATGTTACACTTTCTGGTCATATTCACAAAAATCCGAAGAACAAAAATAAAGCAGACGAAACCATGATAAGTCGATCATTAACAAGACGTCAATTAGTTTATTTTATATTATTCTCTTTATTTTTCTGTATTTTTATAATATTGATTTCACTTGAATCATCTCAATATTTTAAATGTCCATCGTTTTCTTTTCTAAACAATTCGTCTACATCGAAAAAACCATTTTATGAAATTTTAAATAATACACAAGATGAAAACTTGTCAGTTGATCATTATTCTATCTTTTGTCTTGAAATGGCATATCGTCTTGATAATGAAAAATATTTACCTGAATCACCGTATCTTCGAGTTCCATCAACTAATTCAACTAGACTTCATCGTTTACCTTATCGTTATTCTCAATGGAGATCTTCTTCTCATCTTCATCGTCGTCTAACTCCATGTGAACATAGTATAGTTATGCATTTATTAATTGTTATTGAACGAATATGTCGAAAACATAAAATAGCATTTATGTTATGCGATGGATCATTATTAGGTTCCTATAGACATCATGATATTATTCCATGGGATGACGATATCGATATAATGATACCTTTTGAAGAACGAACAAATTTTATTAATATTGTTCAACAAATGAACCAAACATTGTTAAAATATCATATTATGTCCAATAAGAAAAAAAATCGAGAATATTTCAAACTATTTTTTCATCAAACTCCTTCGGCTGGAGATTATTCATGGAATTTCCCATTCATTGATATTTTCTTATATGTTAAAAATGCAACACATCTATGGCAAATCGGCGATCCAGACACAATTAAAAAAACTGAATACATTTTCCCATTAGTTATGAGACCATTCGGACAATTATGGTTACCTGCACCGAAGCAACCTCGACTATTATTTGATTTCGATCCATATGATGATTGCAAAGCACACTTTTGGAATCATAGAAAAGAAACAGGACAACCAGAAGTTACAATCAAATGTGATGATCTTAAACATGTTTATCCATTTGTTGAACGAAATAATCAATCAGATTCAATTGAAATTCTACAAACAAATAATACCACTATTCATACTATTTTCTATAACTAACTAGCTCATTCACTCTCTCTCTGTTGTTTTGATGGCGCAACATTTATTTTATTGATAATGCGAGAGTACTGTTCAGTTATTAGAAAAATATGAAATGATTCGATTCATACTGACACAATATGTGTTCGCTTCAGTAGTTAAACTATGGTTGTTTGTTAAGCAAATAAATTTGGTTCCGCTAGAATTCATTGTTTCAGTTCTTTAAATAATGTTTCGTATATTTTTAGGTGTTTTTTCTCTTACACTAATTTCAGCGTCTAATTTCGGGCATTTTCTATAGAGAATGTGCAGATGTTTTCAAAATGCTGAAATTGTGTATTCATTTTCAAGACTTTCTCACGAACTTACATTTCAGGCATAAAATTGTATGGAAATTACCAGATTCAATAAAAGTTCGATGATAGATATAATAATTAAACCTACTCTGATTGGCTTAATGTATTATTAGCTTTATCAAATTGAGATATACGTACTCGCATATTTCAAATAAAGACTAAAAATACTGTTCTGTTTCTGTTAAACATTATATAGATCATGATAATTATGCTTATCAGATAAATGCAACTATCAATGAAAATATAATGGAATGAATAGGAAATCTATTGAAAAAACTGAGGGATGTCAAGATATTAAAACTAAATAGCATTCGCAGTATAGTTGTGGGTAAGTATTGGCATTGGTATTGGTATTAGTTAATATTAGTGTTGATATTGGTATTGGTATGAGTACTAGGTCAATGAAGAAAAGGAGTATTTTTGAATTGTGGAAAAGCAAAGCGATACCTGGAAATATTAGGAGTATGTAGTTTCTTTTATTTTTCTAGGTAATGGAATCACAGAAAAGTTATGATCTTGATTTTTTCTCTTTCGATGAAGTACTTTGAAAAACTAATGTGTTTTTATCAACATACGATCAAGAAGAACTTTCGGGATTAAGATTGAAATTTCAAAAATGTAGTAAAGTCATTCGATTCCTAGACTTCGAAAACTTCTCAGAAAACTCTATCAAAAACATATTGATTCAGTAACATACTTCATCGGTAGAGAGTCAACAAATCAGACCAAACCTTTGCTGTTACCACATTACCTAGACATGTAACAGTAAATTTGTGCGTCTAATGTTTCCATTTACTGCTATGGTTCTCTGAAATACAGAAATACTCTGTTTACTATTTGGAAAGATCTTCTACAGTATAAGATTGAACAAATTTTGAAAGGTTTGACTGAACTCTTGTAAATTAAATATTTATAAAAAGAAATTCGACATTGAACATCAGCCATCATAAGCGTGTAAAGATAGAAAGAAGAAAAAAGCCTTTTTATTCATTTGAAAATAAGTAGAAATAATTTGTTTTAATATTGATTAAAATAAAAATTGAAAAGATTTATAGGTTAATGAAAAATATGAATAATATTATCAATTTGATTATAGATATTTAAAATTATTATTGTAGTAAAAGTTTTTCTCGAAATAAAATAAAAGTAATAAAAGTATATAATCATCTGAATAAGATCAATAGAGTTCAAATGAATTCAGAAGATGATTATTTTGAAAGAAAAAGATCAAATAACACTTAAGTATAATTCAAATAAATAGTTCATTCTTTTTGTTGTTCATGTGAAATCATGATAGAAATTTCGATGTGTCACTATCATTGAAATAGAAAAAGATAAGTTCAAATTTAAAAAAATTGATATTTATTATCGATAGATATTATTTAAATGAATTGTATTTGAATTGATTATGTTTTTAACGAAGATTCTATGTATCAATAACAGTTAATATTCTCTTATTCTAATGGTGACATATTGCATGAAAAGAAAAGGAGCTCTTTTATTTTCTTCTGCCGTCTTTTTTATCGTTGATATCACCGTAAGAGCAAAAGAAAGTTCTGTTAAGAAATATATACAATACGAAAGGTTTTCTTTTCTGTTATTGAATAAAATATAAATGTCTATTCCATTTGATTGTTCGTGTCTAAACTAGCTGATGGTGGTCGGGGTCTTTGGAAATCATTTGTTGTTGATGAACCATGTTCATTTATTAAATTATTATTTGATGATGGACTTGAAACAGTTCTTGAACGTGTCAAATTTTGTTGTGATGAGCTTGTTCTTTGTTGACGAGGAAATGCTTTCATTCGTTCATTTAATGCACGTTCTTCATCCATTTCAAGTGATGACTCACTTTCACTTAATTGACGACAAAGTTGTTCGCGACGATCAACCTTTAATTAATTCAAATTCAATTTTATTATTTAAAAATGAGCAAAAAAGAACAAGACAAACTTCAAGTTGTAATTTTCTTTGTAAACGTAAATTTTCATTTTTGATATCTTGTTCTTCTCGAACAAGTTGTTCCATTTTTTGTCGATGTGATTCTTGTGTATGAAGTAATTCTCGTTTAAGTTTGTCAACTTCTTTTTTTAATTGTTGAATATAATCAACATTTGGTAATGAAAGACGATTATTGATATTCGATGATACAAATGAATTTGAACGATTATTATCTTGGCGAATTGAAATATCATCATTAGATATTATTGATGATGAAACAGCAACAGATAAATTATTATTTACAATCGATGAATCAATTGATGATGATGGATGACAAGTCTAAAATCATTTTGTTTTCTTTTCATTTACATATAAATTTCAACTAGCTCATTTGTTTTAGAAAAAGAAAGAAGTTTTTTCTTTTCCGATCAATTTCATTCAAAATAAAAATGTCTTCGATTATATTTAATATAATTACAATAAACAAGAAATAATTTGAATAATCAATAAGACTTAATCAAAAACACGAATCTCATCATTTTCTTTCTTTTCTTTTATTGTCCAACAAAAACAAACCCTTTGTCTTAAGTTCTAGATTAATCATTGATGACTAATTTTAAATGATAAATAACTTATTTTTAATGAACTTTTCATCAAAATGAAACTATCTGTATTAGAAAAAGTTTTATAAAGAAAAATTCTTACGATATTTGTTGAATTTATTGTTTGGTCTGGTTGTTCAAGTTTTAATTGAAGTAATCTTTTATCTGTTTCTAATTTTTCCATTCTTTTCCATAAACGATTAACTAAAGATTCTTGTTCTTTTTCCAGAGTATTTTCTAATTCAATTTTTTCTCGTTTCAATTGTTCCTAAAGTTAAATAAGATAAAAGAAAATCTAATAAAAATGAGTTGAAAAAGAAAATATCTTTTACAAGAGTATTTTGTTTATTGACTGTTTCAGCTTCTAAACGTTTGATTCTTTTCATTAATTTACTAATTTGTGAAGCTTGTTCTTGTTCTAAAGATTGTTCTAAAGATTGTTTTTCTTCTCTTAATTGTTGTAGTTTTCTTGATAAGTCATTAGTTAAAAATTCTTCTTCACGTTCATAGTTATTTGCTAGAGTTTCTTTTTCTTTTTTTAATTCTTGAATTTTCTTTAAAAGTGTATTTGAAATAAATTCTTCTTCTTGTTCAGCTTTTGCTTGCATATGAACACTTGCACTTGAATAAAATAAAAGAAATGAATTATGTTCAAAAACATTTCCAATAGAAAGAAAAGCAATTTTTTACTGCTTCAATTGTTTGATTTCTTGTTGTGATGCTTTTAAACGTAATTTATATGTTTCAAGTTCAACTTTTAGAACACGATTTTCTTGTGTTAATGAATCAATACGTTTAATTAAATGTTCGCGATTAAGTGCTAGTTGATTTGGATTTGTTGTTGATGAATCAGCAATAGATGAGACATCAGATTCACATTCACTATCTGTTTGCATTGAATGAACAGTACTATTTTATTCAATAGATAAAAAAATAAATATATATTAAATGTATTTTTCTCTTCGAAAAATCAAATTTACTTTTCGGCACTCATGATTTCTTAATGGTAATTTTAACATCGAGATATAATTACATTCATTTTTCGAATTTTCTGAACCTCTACTCAAACCAATAAAACATTTATGCACTTTCGTATTGCATGTTTCAAAAAGTTTATTGAAAAAGATTTGTTAAGAAAAAAAAAGAATTAACAAGATGAGAATAGATGCTTTTTTCTGATGAAAATAAATGAATAAAAATAGTTTGTTAATTAATAATTGGTTGAAAAAAATTTTTTGTTGTATTGTTTTTCTTTGTTTATTTTGTGTTAAATCAACTATCGTGTGATCTCACGTGGTTCCAATGAAATTTTATCTAATGAAATATATATATTTATGTTTTAGACGATTTTCGACTGTTATTTGTCTCAATTAAGCCAAAACATAACCAAATAAGCTATGCATCAATATTCTTTTATTACAGTTATCATTTTTGTATGTTAAACAAATATTTTCTTTTTCTAAATAATTGAATTCATACTATTCGTTTAACTGCAAAATACTTCGATATATGTTTAAACTAAAGTTTCACAGCGATCATTTCTTCTTATTAACAACTATTTTAAATAAGTTTTCTTATTACTGATGTAAATTGATAAAGAATCAATGAGATCACTCGAATATTTAATTGTCATTTGATTAGTGGTTCAATCGTTATTTACTAGATTTAATTTATATTATAGGATCATCTCATACATTTTCTATTAGAAAAAATGTTTTCTTTTTGTAGAATCTCATAGATTCCCATTTAAAGTTTAAGATTAAAATCAAAATGTCTGAGTTATCGGAGATTTGATTTAAAAGAAAAATAGATGTTTTTTTAAAGTTTTCTTGTTTGAAAGAATTGATTAACAATAAAATACATATTACAGGTCCTGTTTAATATCTGCTATGTTTGGAGTGGTGCAATACAAATAACAAGTAGTAATATTGATTCAGTTCTTTGTAAGTTTCTCTATACTAATTAAATTTTTGTTTTAAAAGAATCTTTAAACATAATTGATAAATTTAGCTTCTCATCAAGTTGTTTTTATTAATTTTTATGCCAATTGGTGTCGATTTAGTCAAATGCTTAATCCAGTCTATGATCAATTAGCTGATAAAGTTTCTAACGAATATTCTGTATGTTAAAATAAACAAAAAGTTCAAAAATAATATATTTCATTTTTATTCTTTTAGGAACAAGGTCTTGTTGCTATTGGAAAAATTGATTGTGATTCTGAATGTAATTTATATTTTTCTTTTTTCTATTTACGAAATATTTTTTTGTTATTTCTTTTTAAGCATCAATATCAACAAAATATCATGTTAATAAATATCCAACATTAAAATTATTTCGACATGGTATTTTGACTAAACGTGAATATCGTGGAGCAAGGTTTTTTATTTTTACTTCTGATTCAATTAAAAAATTACGAGATATATTGCTTTTTATTTTCCTAGACAAATCGATGCTTTATATGAATTTATTCGTAAACAAGTTGAATCATCAATAATAAAATTGTCCAGTAGAAATGATCTGTCAGGACTTGATTCAAAAAAAAGTTATATTATTGGACATTTTAATGGCGAAAAGTCAGAGAATTATAAAACATTTTCCAAAGTCTCAAATCTTCTTCGAGACGAATGTCATTTTGCAGCATCAACAAATCTGTAAGTTGAGCATTATTATTATTTGATTTTTGAAAAAATATGAATTAATCTCAATATTTTCAATAGAAATAAAAAGCTAAAACAAATAAAAATTCAATATTTTTTACGAGGACTACTTAAAATATCGTAAAATTTGTTTTGCTTTAATAGTTTATAGAAGAAATCTCTTTCATTGAGAAGCATTTATAAGAAAAACAAGCACAGAAAACGGTCTTTATTCACAATAGAACTGACTAAAGCATTGATATCTCGTGTAAGATTAAAATCGAGAAAATTGTCTTTTATTTAATTAAAATAATTATTAATTATTAAAATTTATCTCGAATAAAAATATTATTTTTTTTAGAGAAGAATTTCAAACAGAACGTCCAACAAATGATCTTATTTATTATCGTTCTTTACAAGTAAATTTCGAGCGAAAAAAAAGTCCTTTTTTCTTATTTCAATCAAATATTTTAGTCATTAAATAAAAAAGATGAATTTTATATTGGATTAATGAATAACCATGAATCATTTTATGTTTGGTCAAATGAAAAATGTGTTCCTCTTGTTCGAGAAATAACATTTGAAAATGCTGAAGAATTAACCGATGAAGGTTTACCATTTCTTATTTTATTTCATCATGCTGATGATCATCAATCTGTTTCATTATTTGAACGTGAAGTTGCTAAACAACTTATTCATGAGACATGTAAATTTATTTGATTTTTTGATTTTTTAATTAAATGTGGTTTTTTTGGATTTCGACTTTAGCAAATATTAATTGTTTACATGCTGATGGAGCGAAATTTGTTCATCCATTACAACATTTAGGAAAAACAGCTGCAGATTTACCTTTAATAGTTATTGATAGTTTTCGACATATGTTTCTTTTTCCAGATATAAAACAAATATCGTAAGAAGTTTTTTATATTTAGAAAAAGAAACGCGAAAATTTAATTTAGAGTAAATGGTAAATTATTACAATTTGTTCAAGATCTTCATTCAGGAAAACTTCATCAAGATTTTCATAACCCTCCTCCATCAACAAAACAAACAAAGATTCAAGTAATTTTCGAGATATCTATGAAATTTTATTCTCTATCTGCTTACTTTTTTTTTCTTATTACATATGAAAAACAAAACAAATATTTTCATTCATTTTACTAAGAACACTAATATAATGCGTTTTAAAAGACAACCCATTTAAAACTGAACAACTTGAGTATTCTTCTTATTTGAAAAATTACTATCGAAGATGATTTTCTATTAACAATACTTTTACTGATTTTAAATAAAACATATTTAATAAATTAGAACAACACTTTGAAATACTCAAAAAGAAAAAGAAATAACTTAAAGGCTCTTGTGTGATTGATCTCAAGAAATTTGAATAAGAGATTTTATAGAAAAGAAACACACATAAATTATTATTGTTATTTATTTTAGGATAATGTTGATTCAGCTGTAACTGGATTTTTAAAATCTAATCCACCAGAATCTGTTTTTGTTCGTTTAACTCCAAGCCGACAGCGTTATTCATTCCGTGATGAATTATAGAAAAATATAATTAATTTTACTTTTTATTTATTCTTATTGTTAACAGAAAAGAGAAATGAATCATTTGAAGAAAAAAAATATTCATTTGTTGTTGCTGTTTTTTTTAAATTTAATTGAACGAAAGAGAAATGAAAAATGGTTAATGTATCGTTTGAAAATTGCAATATTTATTTTCATGTGTTTCTATTTAAGATAAAAACAAAACCTTATATATTTTTGAAACAAAAATGCGTCGACATCGGCAAATAGCATTATTAGGTTTTCCTGGTGTTGGAAAATCTTCTCTTGCTCATCATTTTGTTTATAAACAATTCTATAATGATTATGATCCAAGTATAAAAACTAGTTAGTCAAATTTTATATTTATTTTTTAATTGTTTACTAATATTTCATTTGTAAATCTAGATCTTCAACATCAATGTCGTCTGAATGGACAAGAATATGATTTAACAATAATTGATAATGCTGGATCGGATCAATATACACTTAATCATAGTGATTTTGAGAATAGTGATGCTTATATTCTTGTTTATGCCATTGATGATTTACACAGGTTCCTGTTTTTTTTTTATTTTTTATTTTTTATTTTTATTATACTTTTTTAAAATTTGTTTTTAGTTTTAAAATGATTTCAAAAATTCGAGATAAAATAATGTCAACAAGTGCGATAACTAGGTAAATTTTGATTTATTCTTATATTTATTGAGGAGAAAATGCTAATTTTTCATTTTTTAGAATTCCAATGGTTTTAGTTGGAAATAAAATCGATCGAAATGAAGAAAGGTATGTTGGCAATTAAATGTCTGAAATCTGTTTATGAATTTCTCCATAAATACTTTATCTTCAACAGACAAAAAAGAAGAGGGAAATGTTTTGTTTGAAAAAAAAATTCGTTTTTTTAATCTAGTGAAAACTTAAATTTTAACTTATTTTTCAGAATTATTTCAAGTGAAGACGGTCGATCGTTAGCTAATTCATGGAAAATTCCATTTGTTGAAGCATCTGCCATGGATTTTCCAGTAAGATTTAATTTTAATTTATTGATTTTAAAATGAAACTGAATTTAAAATAAATAAAAGGCTGTCCAAGAAATATTTGAAAAAAGTCTCAAAGCAATGGATAGTATTGATTCAACTGAAAATGGAACAAATGAATATTCAAATTCAAATGAAAAAAATAATTCACGTCGTTCATCAAATTCTTCAGCTAATATTAATTCAAATTCAAAACAAACAATAAATAAAAATTTATCTAATAACCAATATCAATCCAATAAAACATGTTTAATTAGTTAAACTTCTTTTCCTAAATTTACTGTAAATAGATTTTCTTATATACGTATATTCTTTTTTGTTCTTCTGTAAATTATTTTCTACCGTTTGTGGAATTGAGAAAGAGAGAGAAGAAGAAAATCCTATAAAATAAGTCTTTGTTTATTGTTTTTTTCTTATGTTGTGAAAGAGAAAACGAAGAAAAATAAAAAGAATTTGGTGCACATTGGAACAGTAGTTATATCTGTTGTTTGAGCTCAGGTGTTTATTGTTTATCTTTATTACCTAGAAAAAATTCCATCGATAAAAGTTTTCTTTATTCTTAAACAAAAGCTCTTCTCGTTTATCTTTATGTTTTTTTTCTTTTTTATACGTTCGATTATATATATATATATATATATACAAAAAAGAAAAACATATGTCAAACGATTCTAATATACACATTTATTTTTGTTTTGTTCTTCTTTGTCTTTGATTTCTTTACAGTGGAAACAATTATTTGTTCGATTTAGATTTAAAAAGAAACGAAGAAGTAGAAAAGTAAAATGAAATAAAGTGATGAGTTTTGAAAATTTTGTTAATTGGACCGTATCAATTGATTGTGGAGCAACAATTGGAAATTATCAAGGGCAAATAAAATCTGTCGATGCAATTAATCAAACATTAACATTAAAACATGCTTTTCATAATGGAATTTTAATTGATCAAGATGGTTTAAATAATGTCACTATTAACGCAAAAGATATAATTGATTTAAATCTTTTATCTCAACCAGGTTCTTCTTTTCAAATTCCAAAAACAATTAATAAAAAATCAAACAATGAACAATCACAACAACAATTAAAAGCTGCGCCTATTGCCAATAATGGTTAGATTACATGTTTTGTTTCTGTTTCTCTTCATTGAATATTTATTTATCAGATTTTTATCAAAGACCATTTTTGAGCTATAAAACTCAAATAAGAATTGATTTGTTTTAATTGAAACATATAGAAGATATTTGAGTAATCTTATTTCATTTGACTGCGTTATAGACTATGATTAATTTCATTCATTTAATGATCTAGAAATAACTTAGCAGATTTTGTTAAATTATCTTTTTTCATTATTTTATATCTGAAAAAATAAAGTAACTGATAATTTAAGAAAAAAAATATCCGACAGTCAAAAATCTGTAGAATCAAAAAAATAGGATTGATCAATTTTTCTGGTTTTGTTTTTTGATTGAATACTATTTGCACTACAGAAGAAGTTTTCAGAGTTAAAGCAAAGAAAATTATGAAACGAATATTTAGAGAGCTTTACAAAATATTAATAATTGAATTTAAATGCATAAAAATCTCAATTTAAGTTCATCTGATTGTAACAAATCATGAACTCAAATGCTTAAAAACAGAAAAGAAATATATTTCTGGGGCGTATTTTTGAAGTATATATTTCAAAACTTTTGATCTAAATAACATAAATAATTACTGTATACATTCCATCGATCTTTTAAAAACTAAAAATACGCTGAGATGAATATATTGAAATAATTCTTGTTCTTATCTAGGTAGTAAATCGAGTATTTCAAGTGGTATAAACGCTAGTCTATCGAGTCGTTCTCGTTCATCAAAATCTTGGTCGGATGAAGCAACAAATGAAAATGAAATAAATGAAGAAACAACGACGAATCGATTTAATTTCGATTCATCAAATCTATCATCAATAAAAAATTCTTCCATTGTACAGTCATATTCACAAATTCAAGATAAATACCGGTGTGATCAAATGATTCTTGAACATAATAATGGGCCAATTGATTATGAACAAATTCAATTACCTGTACCTACAGCAAAAAAATTCTTAACAGGTTACAATGAAAAACAAAAATAAAGCTTTTCTGTTTAACTGATTTAAATATCTTTTATTTTATTAGATGAAGGTCTTGTTGTGCCAGGAATTAACATAGAATTGCGTAATAGATTATTTGCTTCTGCTGAATATCATGGCTATTCATTAGAAAGACGTATTGAATCAATGGGTCGTTGTACAAGTGATATGTGTTTGCATTTATTAGGTGGTACACAAAGATTATTGGTCAAAAATCGTCATCAACATCCAACAATTGTTGTTTTAGCTTGTTTCACTGAAGTTCAAGGTGCTTATGCTATTTCGGCTGGAAGAATTTTAGCATCAAGAAATATTCGTATTTATTTATATTTACCACCCAATACAAATTCTATTCAAAATAGTTTTATTGAAAATGAACTGAAATTATTTCGAACAACACAAGGTATCATAACAAATGATGTAACTGGTAAGATATTTAATAATTAGATTTTTCCGTTTGTTTACCCTTAATATATTTCTATTATTAGATCTTCCTCGTTCACCAGTTGATTTAATATTAAATGGTTTAGATGCTGCAAATAATTCTGATTCAGTTTTATTTGCAAAACCTTGGTATCGTGATATAGTTCAATATTGTTCTCGTCTTCAAGCATCTGTAATTGGCGTTGATCCGCCATTAGATGGTGGAGCTATTGAATGTAAATATTCATTAGTACCTTTATTGCCACTTGTTTCTATGTCTTCAAAAAATGTTGGTCGACTATATCTTTGTGATCTTGGACTTGGACAAAAAGTTTTTCAACATTTACAAATACGTTATGCATCACCATTTGGTGCCAAATCATTTGTTGCTTTACATGATAGTTAACATATGAGAGTGACACTTTTTTTAAAACTTATTCATTTTATGTTCTTTTTGTTTTGTTTTCTGCGTTGTTATTTTTATTAAAATTGATCAAGATGATCAACAAATCACAGCATATTTTTTTTTATTTTTTTTGATAAAAAACAAAGGCAAGAAAGAGACTGAAATTTGTTTATTTTCAAATGAGAAGATAAAAAAACAAACTATTATTATTTAACTAAACTTTTTAATCTTCTCAAATTCAAAAACAACAAGCAAACAAACAAATAAATAAAGAAATTTTTTTTTAGCATGCCATATAAATTAATTCGTTCTCGTTTAATTCATTCGGTGAGTTTAAATATTTTTCTTGTAGATATTAAATGGTCTCTCCTAGTATTTATGCATCGTTGGTTTTTTTCTTTATTTCACTATTAACATATTTTGTTTACTCTCAGATATTAATAAAACGTTCAATGACTTCAAATAGTTCGTCAGACTATTCAGCATGTATTACAACAGTGTCCAGTGATGAAACAGCACGTAAATTAGCACGTTCAATAGTAGAATCGCGTCTTGCTGCTTGCGTAAATATAATTCCAGGTGTTCGATCAATTTATGAATGGAAATCAACTATTCATGAAGATAATGAACTTATACTGATGATTAAAACACGACGAGAATTTGTTTCACAATTAATTGAATTTGTTAAAAAGAATCATCCATATGATGTCCCTGAATTGATCGAGTTACCAATTAATAATGGAAATCCCGACTATCTCAAATGGATTGATGGCATTGTCAAACAACAACCATCAACATAGATCATTTATCTTTAAATTAAAATAAAAACATTTTTTGTACGAAAAATCAAAGCAACATTTTCGAGATAATTATTATATTTAAAAATAAAAACAAATAAACCGATAAGATATGTATATATCTATTGAAAAAGACTTTTAATTGAAGCAAATAACTGAAGATGAAAAGTTTTAACGAAAAACAAAATGGTATTAGGAACAGGTCAATAAAATCGATTCGGTACAACGAAATATTGAGAGAGATATTTTATATAGAGAACAATATCGAAATGAATTAAGATTTAATAACTAATCTAAATGTTATCTGACACGATTTATTAGCATTGATTAAGATAGATATCAATGATGCTATACCAAACTAATCTTTACGATATGAATCACACGAGTTTGTATTTGTCATAAATTTGGAAAAAAAAACTTTTAATATTTAACCTATCGATAAGACTGGTTTGTTTAACATTATTTATTTTTATTTCAATCGATTTAATATGATGTTGATTCAAATAGTTGTTAATTGATCTAAATAGAGCGATTGAAAAGTGATGTCTCTGTTATCAATCAAACACATATTTGGTATTCGAACATGTCTAACTGATTGTATTGTTTATTTGAATGACCATTCTTATTTATATCCATCTAGCCGAAATATTATTTTATATAATATCGATCATAAATGTCAACGGTTCATTAGTTTTGAACATGAATATGATACATTAGAATCATTAGGTGTTAGTTCAAATAAACAATATTTAGNATTGAAAAGTGATGTCTCTGTTATCAATCAAACACATATTTGGTATTCGAACATGTCTAACTGATTGTATTGTTTATTTGAATGACCATTCTTATTTATATCCATCTAGCCGAAATATTATTTTATATAATATCGATCATAAATGTCAACGGTTCATTAGTTTTGAACATGAATATGATACATTAGAATCATTAGGTGTTAGTTCAAATAAACAATATTTAGCTATTGCATTAAATAAATTAGATAAAACTCGCATTATTATTTATGATATTAATGAACCACTAAATAGAGAAATACAAATACAAATACAAAAACAAAAAATTCTTTAATTAAGCCAAAGAATTGTTTGGAATTTTTGTTAACAGGTAATCATATTTATCGACGATACATTTAAATACAGATCAATTATATATGTGTAGTAAACAATCATGGGGATATTTTACAACGATATCATGTGTATGTTAAGTATTTAGTTAAATTCATTCTTAAATAGTGAATTCGAAAAAGAATAAATGAATTAAATAATTTAGCTTTTTGTACATTAAATGACTTTTCTTTTGATCAAAATCATTTTTGTAATGTATGAGATAGAAATATTAGAAAAAAAACCAAATATTTTAAGAATAAAATCATTTCTTCAAATATCATCGACCATAATATTTAATAAAAACCAATCACCTTTAATCGGTTTATCGGAAGATAAAATATAGCGAAGGAATTCTTCTGAATTTTCTTCTAGCATATCATCTGATTATAATTCTACTGAAATCGTTTGTCTCTTACCTTTTTCACGTATTGTTTTTGTATTAACAGCGCAAGTCAAATTATTTATTAGAGCAGATGATATTCTCATAATAGATGAAAGAATCGAGAATAGTATTGAATTGACTGAGGTACGTCGAGTCATTTTATCTTAATGTTATCTTGATGATGTTTTAATAAAAAGAATACACAATCGTATTTTTGGTAGAAAAATAAATAAAAGAAACTTTTCCCTGCAGTTGCCGAAAAAGAATCTATTAGAAATTCTTCATCATTTTCATTTTCATTTGAAACATTAATATTAAATAAAATAATTCGCTAAGCATCATTAAGTTCAAATGAAGAAAGCTCATTAGTCCGAACAAATAAAAATCATTTTATATGAAATATTTTTTCTAAAATGGGAAAGTAAACATTTATGAAAACTGTCTTTAATCAATGTCTATAGGATTATATAAATAAACAAGATAGTTTGTTTCGACATGTTCTTGTTGATCTTCATCAAGAAACAATTATCTATCGCATAAAATTTTCGAGAATATCAATTTTATTTATGCTTGGTATTGGTTAATCTGTTGAAATTCAAATATAGAATTTAGAAACGAAGTTTGTTATCATAAAAGAAAACGACATAAATATTTCACTTTAACGACCTATCAACTCATGTGGGCGAAATCGATCTGCACAACCAGATGAAACCAATACGGCCATCTTGTAGAGCAGCATCGATAATATAGTAATTTGTATTTTCTATCGTTACAGTTCTATCGGCGTTCAAAAACATATAACTTTTGAAGAGGTGCCGTCTATAATCAATAGAAATGATTATATATCATCTTTTTTATTATTTAAGTTTTCGTATCAGCAAATTCACTTTCTCCAAATTCGATCATATTATCTGAAGCAAAGTTTGATTAGCTCTTTATTCATCCTAGCAGGTGTAAGTTCTATCGTTTCTTCAATGAGTTATTCGTGTATGAAAATGAGTCCAAGTTGATGTATGATTCGGTAATAAAAACATCTTGCAATTCGTCTGCAGCGCATGTAAGTAGTTTTTGATCTGATATATTAGTGTTCTAGCGCTAACTTTTTATTCTATATAACATGAGCTTATTCGATTTTTGATCAACATAGCAGCCATGTTGAATGAGTGTGATGGAATCAGCATTCCATGACTAAATCTTTTAAAAGAAAAACTGAAGATGTCGCTTTTTGTGATATCATCAGTTCCTCTACATGTTTGGATAGGTAGAAAAGATTTTAGAACTTCACTGTTGATTCTAGAACACATTTCAATATTGCATTTCAGCGAATAGCATTGTTGTGAAAGTTACTGGCATCATAGTTGAACTCATTTTATATCATTATCTACTCTTACTTTTTGATTGGATAGATAGGGTCAGGTAGGTGCTATTATCCTGAGGGTGTGGGTGTTAGAAGGTGATTACGCAAGGGGGAATAGCGGACTTGAAATAGAAAAGTACGACAAAGTACTTCAAAGTAGACTACTTTAAGTAGCTCAAAGTATCACCCAAGTAGCCCAAAGTTGGAACAAATAGCTTAAAATAACCTCAAGTAACTTCAGGAAAATTTGGAGTTGGAAAGTAATTCAAAGTAAACTACTTCAAAAAGGTCAAAGTAACTTGAAGTAGCTTAAAGTAGCTTAAAGTAACTTCAAGTTCAAAAGTCCGCCGTTTCCCCCTTGTGATTCCGTCGCGACATTTTTTTCTAGCTGTGAAGTTGAAATTTCATATATTTTAAAATTAGTTTTTTTTCCGGATATAGCTCGTCATCTGGGCTAAAACTTTTTTTATAGAAAGCTTTTTTTAGCAAACTTTTAGTTGAACTAGGTTTCTCACTTCTTTATGCACCACTGAATATTCATGCCTATCTGGTGATTTCGTCAAGCGCATATATTTCTGTCATAACTCTGTAAAGGAATGACTAAATCTAATGAAAATTTTATCAAGTGTAGAGCAGCTCGACTTACATTTCTACAGATAATATTAGCCTCATTCGATTTGGTGGTCTTAATATATTGAATAGAGACGGTGAAAAACACGTGATTCGATCACGCTTGGAGAGGTAATTAACCTTTTTCTTTTTATTAATCGAGAATTAAATCACCAATATCACAGTGAACCAATGTCAATGAATATTCATCTAACCGATATTATTATCTGTATCTGATTTTCGAATATTATTCAAATAAATGTTTATACAATTGAACGATTAACTCAATTTTAACAAATAGAAATGCTTCATGTTTCATGTGCATGTAGGAAAAAAGAAAATTTCCAGCTATTTAGTGTTATTCTTCTTTTAAATTTTTTGATCAAAATAAAAGAATTTTTAGTCTATTTTTATTCAAAAAATTGAAATAGAATTGAATTTACAATAATGAAGGAAAATATTGATAAATATCTTTTGAATAATATATTTGCTTTTCAAAAATGAATTGTTTCACATTGAAACAATTACGTCGTGTAGCATCTCTTGCAAATCTTGCTGTAACAAATACCAAGTCGTTATAGTTGACTTTGAACTCAGTTAAACAAGGTAAATATGTCCTTGTTTCAAGTAGAAATTGTACAACATAATCTGTGTTAGCACGACGAAGATCAAGTGATATAAGATGAGAAAATTCAATAATTGAATTAAATGGATTTTTATCAGACTTTAGTTCATTACGATTCCATGACTGAATCATCGTATTAACTGTAGTCAAACGCATCAGCATTGGAAAAGCTCGACTAATTCGCATGAAAAATTCATGTTTCATTAACGTGATATCAAAGAGAAGGAAATGAGTTACAGTGTCGAGTACAATATTTGGAAAGTGGGTTGTGATCTTTTCCAAGCGAGTAAATGTAAATGGTAACGAATAAACATGACATATAGCTTCAAACTTGTGGAAATGATCTATGAAACAAGCCGTTGGACCATATTTTATATTTGTAAATGCTTTTTGAATATCATCACTAGATTTACGATAAACTGAATCACGAGCCATTCCTTCTGTACTTATATAAAATGTGATTGTACGAAGTTCACACATATGATCAAGAAATTCATTAGAAAGATGTGTACCATCGATGAATGAATCTCGCCAAATGCGAAGACACAAAGTTAACTTTTCAAGACGTGTCATACGGCGAAGAAGTGGCAAAACCAAATATTCATAATCATATGTCATATTGTAACTTATTAATGAAAAACACTTCAGACTTTTTAGTTCATCCTATAAAGTACAAAGAATATTTTAGAAATGTATATTGTTTAGTTCAGTAAAGATAAAATATCTATTTGAAACCGATTGAGAAAGTTCTACTAATTTGCAATTTTTTCTTATATTTTTAAAATTTTATGAAATGTGCAATACACCATAATGATTGTGAAACAACAAAAAGATCAGTATTTCTAAAGTTTCTAGTATTGAAAATAGTATATATTTACTTAATAAGAAAACTCAAAATGAAAACAAGCCATTTCATAAAATAGCAAACTTTCAAAGTTTAAATTTAACTCAATCTTTGAAACCTGAATAAAATATTTTTTATATCTTTAATAGGATAGCTTTGATTTCTAAAGTGTAACTGACATTATTACACACTTATTAAGAAGAAACAAACTTCCTCTTAAAATTATTATCATAGATATAGTCTAAGCTCATGTAATTTCTTTTCATAATGTCATTTTTGAAGTTCGTTTATTTTTCGATCTAAAAAGTTCCATATAATATCCTTCGTTCTCTTGAAATCATGATATCAGAGCCGTTATGAGTTATAAGGAAATGTTCGCAAAATACTTATTAAATTTGAAGATTTCCGTGAATAATTTTAAGAAAATTGATTCTGTTCCGTTTACAAATAGGAATATCGATAAGGTATTTATTATTGCTTTATAAAACAACTAATTCCTGATTAGTGTTTCGGATTTTTCAAAAAAGTTAAGAGTTAATGATTAACAATAAATATTCAACAATTTAATTATTATTTGTTATTATCGTTGTGATATTCGTTTTACAAAAATTTGATTTGCTAATTAAAGTGAATGATTTACCAAATAACTTTGAACAAATAAGCTTAGAACATTTATCCTCTTCCGATGTTTTCACAATAGTCAAAAATAATCATCTTGCATTTCGCTACTCTACTATGTAGTAATAATCCGTATACAGCAGTAACATGAAAATTACTTTCATTTTCTTGTCGGTATAATTCTTTAACTTAAAATAATAAGAAAATAGCATCAACTCACCATACTGCTACGAATAAATGATGCTTTGTAGATATTATGAACCTGAATGATGAATGTGGTTAATTGTTTTAGACGACCATCAAGTAATAATAGACAATCATCAAAACCAAACACACAAATACATAATACAGTAAGCGTTGAAGAGAAATAAATAGTTGATGGTAGATTAGTAAATGATAAAGGTGGATATTCATTTATTGATGACGCAACAATTGTCAACTGCTTTAGATTTTGAAAAAGCATGATATGTGCATAGACATGTGTAATATAAGTTTTCAACGATGTCTTAGTGGAATATTTATCATGATTATGAAGAACTAGTTCTGTTATTTGATATTTTAAAATATGTTGCAAGGCGGAATTATCTAAATGAAACGATGCAATGTAATGAATTATTTATGTACTTCGATCTGTTGATAACTATGAGCATATTATGCGCTTACCTGTAAAATATCGATTAACTATTTCTTGTCCGAAATTTAAAATTTCCAAAAAAGCAAGATTTGGATAATCGCCAACAAGCAGAATGCGTTCGATAGATGTTGCTTCGAGAATCAAGTTTTTTACTGAATAATGAATTCGTGGCAAAATAGTAGTGTAAAATCGATCAAGTTTCTTATCAATGATTGATGACGTTCTTCCAAAATTGAGAATATTAGTAAACATGCCATCCTCTACTAAAATGTCAAGTCGTTTATTATTAATTCCAAATAATGAATAGAGAACATCTATATTGTGCAATTTCTTCAAAATAATAAACAATACTTCATCGGGTAGATCAAGAAGGTTAGCACCTGAACGATTCATTATTTTTTGTAACTGTCATTCTTCTTAAAAACATACGTGCATATATATATATATATATATATATATTCGTTTTCTTCTTCTGACCTTTCCCATCGGCGAAGAATAATGCATGACCGCGATGTAAAAAAACAATTGTTCTCTTTGCAACTTTATGTATTTTCCTGCGTTCGCTTCAAAATGTTCACTCGCATGACGGTAGATGATAATGCATCATGACAAAAAAGTAAACATATCCATTACAAAAAATGCAGGCTGAATTCTACTGATTACTATCTAAAATATAGCTGTTGTATTTACTCTCGCACTCGAAAAGTGTCAAATATTAGAGACAAGAAGGACTCAAACTATGACCTTGAGTTGTATTTTTTATCAGACACAGCTGTAGTAAATTCAGTTTTTAGTGAGTCTGGTTCAAAAAAGCATGAATCTACAGTTCTCTGACCACAATCCCCAGGAATCTATGATAATCTATATTATAAATACTGCCTATTTTCATTAAGTGAGGGTATTGCAAGTCTGAAACACATTAACATCTAAACAAGCCTCTTATAAAAAAAGATGGTTTAAAAATAATAGAGATCCCTATGAGAAATGAATATGTTTCATAACTAACTTTGTTGGTGTTAATCAAGATATTTCGTCGGATATTCTGTTAAAACAGTTGTTTCTTCCTTTGCACCCACTAAACCAATAGGTTTTAGCAGGAGAGATTTGTTTTCCACCAAATTTATGTTTTAATTGAAAAGACTAGATTCTTCTCTCACTGTTGAATGTCTGTCGTAATGTTTAAAAAGAATAGTCAATGCATCACGTCTGAAAACCGTCTATACCATGCTGGTTTCCGATTAGTTTTAGTACGTTTCTCAAATATGACGACTCTAACATTTTGAGACTCTAGGTACTTTCTGCAAACGATAAGTAGCGGCGGCGCCAGAATTTTGGATCTAAGACGGGAAGGGGGCTGAACCCTCAGAAAATTTTTCTGCAAAGCTCAAAGAATTTTTTCCGAAGGGGTTTAGCTCCTGAATTTGTAAGAACTTAAAATTTTTCTGGAGGCCCGGAACTCCTCATAGCGCCGCCACTATCGATAAGATCCGCTGAATCTAACAGTCAACATACTCTGTCGAATAGTGATATATAAGTGAAGAATCTGTAAGTTATTATTCAATACTAGGATACTAATCATAATTTTATTCGGAACAACTAACACATACAGAATATCGCTTGATTTTATTTGAACTTGTATCATATTTTAGACCTAAAACATATGTTTTAATTGGCTGGCAAACTAAAATATTTGTCTTTATTTTCAATAAAACAGATAAAAGTTGGTCGAACGAATTTCTTTACTCAACAGGCATTTAAAACTGGAAAAGTTACAAGAAAACATTGGTCAAAATCCGAAGCAATGTCTGATTGAATAAGCTATTCATTGTATGAACCAGTATCTTGATTTAATGCACCAATATCTAATCCAAAAATTTTTAACATTCCTATAATATAATCATATATATTCTGCAATAAATGGTTGTTGGGCGTTTTTATTTCTCCATCAATGTGAGTAATTGTCAATTCAGCAAGTTCTTAAAGATCGACCATAACATTTTTCGTAGTGGCGTAACCAGCGGGGGCGGAGCCCCCCCCCCCTATGGAAATTTCTGCTTTCGAATTTAATAACTTAGATTTTTATCACCTGGAGGATAACACGTATAAGTAATACTATGGCTGATGAACGATTAAGTGACCTTTGCATTTTATCAATTGAACGTGATATCCAAATGAATTTTGAACAAGTTATTGATAGGTTTTCAATTAATCATAAAAATAGTAGAATTATGTTGCAATAATTACATTGGTTTTTATGTTCGGTTTGTTTTGTTTTCATAATAAAGGATTAAATATTTGAACTTCTATATTGTCTTATTCATTGTTTCAGTAAAATTCAATTTACTTTTTCTACTTTAAAATATCTGGGAGCGGAGCCCCCCTACCAATATTTCCTGACTAAGCCACTAATCAGACCCCATCAAGTTCGGATCCAAAACTTTTGAGTTTATGCCAGTAATTCTTCAGCCTGATAGACTATACTTGAAACGCTCTATTATTGTTGTTATACAGAAACATACTGTGTTTTCTTCGAGTGAAGACATCCTTTTGGTGAATTAAAATAGATCAGCTGTTTGAAAACTACGTAGAAACTCAAATGAATATCTCAATGAAGGCAGTTCGTTGGAATATCGAACTTCTCGAAATGAAATTCATAATTCATTCATTTTTTCCTCAACCCAGGTCAATGATTCCGGAGGACGGATACCGTAAGAACCGACCGGAAAGATGCGGAAAAATCACCGTATCTCGCCGGAAAGCACAGTTTTAAAAATTCAAACATAGAAAATTTGCCTGGAAGAGATTATAATTATTTTTATACAAGAAATTTGACATCGAAAGAATTCAAATCAAAGAAGATTTTGATTGTTTTTTTATACAAGCCTATACCGAAAATTAATCGGAATTTTTATCATGCATTGAAAGATTTTTCACAAGATTGACAAAATTTAACTATGATGTTAGATAATTCGATACCTTAATAATAAAATAAGATTTGTTTTTCTAACAACTTATGTTATTATTAGGTTTGAAAATAAGATTGATGGTAAATGATTGTTAATTAATCTAAATAGAGCGGTAAATAAACGGTGAAATCAAGTTTATTGAAAAGTGATGTCTCTGTTATCAATCAAACACATATTTGGTATTCGAACATGTCTAACTGATTGTATTGTTTATTTGAATGACCATTCTTATTTATATCCATCTAGCCGAAATATTATTTTATATAATATCGATCATAAATGTCAACGGTTCATTAGTTTTGAACATGAATATGATACATTAGAATCATTAGGTGTTAGTTCAAATAAACAATATTTAGCTATTGCATTAAATAAATTAGATAAAACTCGCATTATTATTTATGATATTAATGAACCACTAAATAGAGAAATACAAAAACAAAAAATTCTTAAATTAAGCCAAAGAATACGTTCTAATCATGTTTTATCAATTATTTTTTCGGCTAATTCAAAATTAATTCTTGCACTTTGGTAATAAAATAAATATTTATTTAAATAAATAAACAAACAGACATTTATTTCTAAACTATAGTGGTGCACCAGATTACATGTTGATTTGTTGGTCAATCGATCGATTTAAGTATATTGCTATGGTATCCCTTCATTTTCTTCATATTGATCTTTCACATAATCCACTTAATTTAAAAGTAAAATTATTGCTTTTTTACTCACAAATGAATCTTCGAAAATTGTGATTTAAGATTTCATTCAACCCAAAGAATTGTTTGGAATTTTTGTTAACAGGCAATCATATTTATCGACGATATCATATAAATACAGATCAATTTTCTCCGTATGGTTCGGGACAATATCAACGATGTGAATTAATGAATATAACTTGTCATTGTTGGCTTAATGAAAATCATATTTTATTAGGACTTGATACAGGTTATATATGTGTAGTAAACAATCATGAGGATATTTTACAACAATATCATGTGTATGTTTTCTTTTCTTTTTTTTTCAAATATTTATTTTATATAAATCAATAAATAGAACAAGAGGAAATGAAACAAATAATTTAAACATGCGTTCATCAAATGCTTTTTCTTTTGATCGGTTTGATATTCCTAATCGATCAAATCTAAATATTAACGATGAAAACAATCTTTTAAAAATAAAGTCATCCTCTCAATTATCATCAAGATTTCTAAACGATAGAAGATCATCATCAGAAATTACTCTCCGAGAATGCCAAATAGATCAACGAAGTTTTTCAAGATATTCGAGTACAAGTTTACATAAGAATATTTCTAAAACAGAATCTATTAATTCAAATCATATTATTTGTTTGTTACCTTTTTCACGTGGCGTTTTTGTATCAATTGGGTAAGTCTAATTAAAAATAGATATTCAGTTAAATTGAATAAGACGCATATGCATAGAGAAGGATGTATTCTAATGTATGAAAGAAATGAAAATGGTATTGAATTAACTTATTTACGTCGATTAGTTTTACCTTCATATAGTATAAATGATTTTTCAATAAAGAAAACACAATTTCATTTAAATAATAGAAAAAAATTACAAAAAAAAAATTCATTAAAATTATTTAAACAAGAATCAATTAGAAATAGTTTAGTATTTGATTCATCATTGATAAATCAAAGATTAATTTCAAATGAAATTATTTTATCATTATCATTGAGTCCAAATGAAGAAACTTTATTAGTAGCAACAAATTTCAATAATTTATATGAAATAGCTTTTTCAAAAATGGTAATATTATTATTTGTATTATTTTTAATTGTTTGTATTTTTACGAAAGGATTATACAAATAAACAAGCGAGTATATTCACATATGCTCTTGATAGTCTTCATCAAGGAACTATTATAACAGGATCGATATGCCTTCGTAAACCAATAATATTTACTCTTGGTACTGATCGATTTATTAAAATATGGAATTTACAAACAAAGTTAATTATTACTGATTGAAAAAAATTTTAAAAAATAAACAATTTCTTTAGTAATCAAGAATTTCAGTATCAATTCGATATTAAACCATTATCATTAAGTATTCATCCTAGTGGTATTTTTGTTTGTGTATCATTTTCAACTTTGATGCGAATATATACTTATACTATTGATGGATTCTATTTATTCAAAGAATTAGAAATTTCCGATGCTCAATGTGTATCTATAATAGATTTCAATATAAAAATAAATAAAAATAAACTCTTTTTTTTTGTTTTTACTTAAAGATTGAATATAGTCATCAAGGACATATATTAGCTATTGCTTACGATAATCTTCTTCAATTTCATTATCATAATGATTATCATCAAGCAACATATATTCGAGATAATCATGCTAAAGTAAGATTAGACATTCTTATTTGCACATTTTCTTCAACAAATTTAATATGTTTATATTTTCTTTTAATAATTTCAACCGTTGAAATTTTTTTTTTACTTTTTGCAATAAAGTATTGCTATTTATTAATAGATTCGATTGATCCGTTGGTCTAATGATGATTCGTTTTTAATAAGTGTTGACTTTAATGATCTAATGACTCGATGGGATCCGTATAGAAGTCAAAGTTTATTTCAGGTTTTTCCTTTCTATATTAGATTTTCTAATTTTACTTTAATTTTTATTTTTATTAGTATAAAATTTTAGACTTCAGTGTACAAGATTTAGTCATATCATCGAATAATAAATTAGCTTATCTATTAACAAGTGATAAAAAAATAAAAGAGTTTCATTTGATGACAGTCAGTAATTCTCATTTAATTATTTTATTTATCTATTTATTTTATTAATAAAAATTAAATATTTTAGACTATTCGTAATATTAATATTTCCATTGATGATTTTATTCCAACAGCATTAGCTATTGATGATGAAGCAAGAATTTTATTTGTTGGATCAGAGAAAGGATCAATTTATTCAATAAATTTAATGCAAACAAATGCACCAGATGAAAATAATACAATGGACCATTTATTATATGAAAATGTTCATCGAGGAGCAATTACAAAAGTATGAAATCTATTTTTTTTAGATAAAATACAAATAATTTTCTACTTTATTTATAAAAAAATTAATTTTAATAGAGATACTGTATTAATCATATTTTCAAAAGTAAATCACTTCGAGTTTAGAGACATAAGCCGATCAATAAAAATATTTATAAAAAGAAGAAAGATTTCATTCTTCAAATATATGATAGTTCACAAATTAACTTCTTTCTGAACATGAGTAAACTAAATCAAAATTTTGTATTTTATTACAAGTAACGTTTTGACTGCATAAGACGACTCGCTTAACTCAAGTCTACAAGTAATAAAAAACATCGACTACTCTACTGATAGATGTATTTTATGATAATATCAAAGTAACTTCGAAGTCTTTTTTTAATCAGTATCATCATTATTGATATCAAATTCTTCACTCTTCTCTTTGTAAGATGCATCTTCTTGTAGTATATTTTGGATCTATGTCATTTGATTCTCTTGATAAAAATCTACGACAAAAATAATATCCAAAAGATTATTTACTCAAAAAGAAAAAAAACCTCAAAGCTACCACTTCAATCGTATAAGACTATTTTGTAGATTGTGTGTATTAACACAAAACTATCACTAGCTAAAATACACGCATTGTGTTCTTAATTTTTGACCACCAAATAGTATTTTGATAAAAAATTAAGAGGCATTTTTGTTTATTGTTTAACTCGAATAGGCTTATCTTTTAGATCTTATGAATCAAGTGAACAAATCTTACTGTTAAATCATATTTTTGAACTGATCAACGAAATTCTACCGATAGTAAAGCATGAAGCATACATAAATAGAATTTTTCACGATAACTTTGAGTAATCATCAGAGAAATAAATAAAATAATTCAAACCTAGGTAGTCGATTTAATCTTAAAATTAATATTCCATAGATAAAAAAATTAACTTCACTTTGAAAAATTCATGTACCATGATTGAAAATTCTAAAATTTGCAATGGTTAACTTACGAAGAAACTAGTTTTGAAAATTAACTCTATATATCAATCAACTGAATACTATTTGAGATGATTGATTTTTATTGAGAATATAAACTAATGAATTTGTTCGTTTCTCATTGATTAGTACTTGGTTTCATTTCACAACTACGCTCTATGCATATCACACAACTGTAGTTTTACTAAATGAATTTTCTTTGTCAATATCAATAATTTTTTTGTCACAGTTTATTTGAAAATTAATGTAAAAAAGGCTTTATGACAAAGTACGGTTTTGTTTTTGAAAATAAACTATGTGTTTTTAGATCTTAATATCACACAATAACGATTTGATTATTTCCACAGGTGAAGACGGAAATTTAATATTATACAATTTAAATCATTCTCAAGAGAATGACGAGTCAAAAATAATTTTTCGCGATGAAGTACTTGTTAAAGAAATCCTTCTTAAAGAAAAAGTATTTTTTATTTAATTATTATTTTTTGATTAAAATATAGTTTTAATTTTCTCAATACAGAATATTGAATTAAATAATTTGATAAAGCATCAATCTGAAATAACATATGAATATAAAAATAAAGTTGTAATAAAAGAAAAAGAATATATTGAAAATATTCATCAATTTGATCTTAATTGTAAAAAACATATAAGTAAAATGGAAATTAAATTAAGCGTATTACATCAACATAAAATAGATTTAAAAAATGAGTACGAACAAAAACTAAAGAAATTAATTCAAGATAAAAAATATCTACTCAATCAATTCAATCAAGATAAAAATAACTATTACAAAAATATTCTTATTCATAATAATTCACTTAAATATAATATTAAGAAGTTAAATATAAACCAACACAAACAAGTTGAATTAATTTATCATTCATATAGACGTCGTATTGATTCTATTCATCTATCATATAGAGATAAAATGAATAATATTAAACNTTATTGATATTGACAAAGAAAATTCATTTAGTAAAACTACAGTTGTGTGATATGCATAGAGCGTAGTTGTGAAATGAAACCAAGTACTAATCAATGAGAAACGAACAAATTCATTAAAATGAAGAATTTAATAGGAAAATTTAGATTTGAATCAACGTATTGATTATTTAGAGGAAATGAAATATTCTCTAGATGAAGATGTTTTTATAGAATTAAATGATTTAGATCAACAATACATTAGAAAATTAAAAATTACATTCGATAGAATTCAACAATTAGAAAATGAACAAATTTTATTAAAAATTCGAGTAAAATTTTATTTTATTTACTTTTTATTGATTTAAAATTTAGTTTGAACAACTTGAACAAGAATCTAATCGTTTTGAAGGTCAAACAAAAGAATTTGAAATAGAACGAAATCAACTCATTGATCAGATTCAACAAATAGATAAAGATTTAAATTCAGCTAAACAAACAATTGAACAAAGAAATTCTATTATTCAAGAAAAAGTTACTTTCTTTCATTTAAAACTTTTGTCTGGAGGTTTTATTTATTTATGTTTAGTTGAAACGTAGAAATGAAATGGAAAATCGTAAAGATGAACTAGAAAAATTCGCTTATGTTTTTAATTATAAAATTCGAGAATTAACAAGTGAAATGGGTCCTCGACAACGCGAAGTTCAAGCTTTAATGGAACAATTCAATAATGTTAAAATATTTATATATTTTATTAGATTAATTAGTATTCTTTTTTAGATGGATACTGAATATGATCTATTAAATCAAAACAATGAAAAATATTCAATTAAAATATCTGCTTCTAAAGCTCGATTAAGAGCAACAGAAAAAGAACTTCAATATGAAATAAATTCTGTAAGCATTTGTTTTTAGAAAGTTTTTTTCTTCAAGAAAATATTAACCAATAAATACAACAAAATTTGATATTATTTTCTATTTAGATTCGTAAATTAAATGAAGTAGTTGCAAATATAAACGAAGATTTAAAATTATGTTGTCATTTAATTGATCAACCAAAACAATTGATTAGAATAATTCGAAGTGTTTATGAAAAATATATTCTTCAAATTCATGCAAGTTTTTTCTTGTCGTTTTTCATTAATTCACTGAATTCATAAGATTATTACAAAAAGAAAAGATCAACCTTTTTCAATACAAATACAAATAATCATCGAGTATATAAGTATATATTAGAATAGGAATTGAGAATTTGTATAAAAATGTCAAATCGATTTAATTCGATTCGAAGTAAAACATATTTCCGATAATATTATTTAGTAGTGAAGTTATCTTTTAAAGAAACTGTTCGAAGTTCGAACTAATTCGATTTATAACAGTATTAAAGAGATTCTCATGTGCAACCTGTAAAAATACAAAAAAAACATTTATACGTGTTGCCAATAGAACTAAGATTATTTGTATGTGTTGGTGTAACAGCATAAGTTCGTGTTTGTATATATGATCGGCAAATCTATACTTATTTTACACATTTCACATGATCATAATAGTTTATCACGAATATTTCTTTGAATTTAATTGAATTTCGTCAAAGTTTATTGTTTTATTCGAAATTCGACTAAAAATTAAATTCATAAGAAACACATTTAAAGATTTTTATAAACGAGATATTTCTTCTTCGGGATATTTTTTTACTGAAATGCTGACTGAGAATCAGTTAAAATGCTATGAAAATTCCTAAAAATAAACATAATTTATTATTAAAATAGACACAAATCGATTTGGGTCAAATGAGTTTATTTGATTGTGAACGGCAACGAGCCTATTTTGAACGAACTAATCAAAGATTAAAAACAAAAATCTCATTTGATTTTCAAAGACAAAAAATCATACACGTTCGGCGCATACAAGTTTGATTTTTTTATTCCTTTTTTTAAAAACAAACAGAAATAAAAATATTGTAATAGGAACAAATAAGTATGATGCGTGAAATTTCATCTTATGGTTTAAAAGTTATTGAAGTTGAACGAATATTAACCGATTTGGATATTGTATCAAATGTTGCTTTTAGCATGAATGCAACAACGTCAAATGAAATCGTTCATGCACTTAAAATTGAACACGGTTCAGATTTTATTGAAAGCAAACAAATTGAAATGAATTTCATAATAACCAATCAAGTAAAACGTATTGAACAATTAAGAGACTCTATCGAGATATTAGAAGAAAATTTAAGACAAACATCGAAACTTAATATTAATTATTGTATTTCAAATGATCCATCAATAGTTACTTCATCAAATTTAATGCATTGACAAATATCAACAACTTACAAAACATTCTACAGTTTGATGGTTCACTCTTTGAAAGAATCGTTCTCTTTTTTTTCGTTGCAAGAAAAAGAAAAAAAGAAATTATTCGTTCGTTTCTGACATAATGTTGAGTCTTGTAGCAACAGTAATTAAAATAAATATAAATCATGACAAATAAGATACCTACAAAAATCGATGCCGTGAAATTTTTCGATTTAAATGACAAATTATTAAGGAAAGAATTTTTAAGGTGAATTAGTTTTGAAATATTTTTTTTACAGATTAAAATATTACATTCACTATTCAAGATGAAAAAAAATGAAAGATCGTCTTTAACAGTTATTGAAAGTGGAAAAGCTGAAGCATTACAATAAGTTATTTCACATGGTGAAATGAAATGACAATTATGAAATATTTTGAATGAAAACTTGTAGAGATCAAGTAAGGATTATTAAATATTGAAAAAAAAGATAGAATTCAAAGCTCAGCATTAAAAGAGATTGTGGCTCAGATTCACCTAATCGACATTCAACGCCTAAACACAATATAAAAGTACAAAGCTTTTTTTCTTGATAATAAATAATTACACTTGATTTTCTCAATCGTTAATAGCCAAGGTCTTTTTTCAAAAATCATCACCAACTAAATCACAAGGAGAAGTGAAAATTCTATTTTAAAAACATACAAAATTCTGTTTACTGTATGTCCTTCTGGATAATTAAATTTTCCATCATAACCATGTAAAAATTCTAGACCTAATTGATATATTTTTGATTCTATTGATACAAATTTCAATGTATCAATAATTTTTTCAAGTTTATTTTATCTATTAAAAGACAAAAATAAGAAAATAAATGGAAATTTAATAGAAACAACAAAACTATTTACTTTGTTTGAACATGTAACAGTATTGAATGAATAGCACATCGTTGACAAATATTTGTTACGAATGGAGACAAAAATCTTTGGAAATTAAAAATTCTTTGTACAAATTCTGTTACATTAAAATCTCAAATCAAATCAATTTGATTATTGAGGCATTTGCTTTTACAGACGGTTAATTCTTTTACTGACAACAACGAATCTGAAAACACAAATATCTTTAGTTGATTTTCTTAGTAAGTATTTCTCATCAAAATTCTTAATCGACAATGATTTTTATTGCAATAATTTAGTGAGTATAAGGCGAAAAATAAAAGGTAGAATGATAAAGTCGTTCTCTTTTCTCACAGATTGAGAGACACCTGACGGCAAATTTCTTACATTGAGAAAATGCCAACATGCTTGACAATATTGTTACCATAAAGTTTAATTGAATAGTTATCAAACTATATCGGTATTATGGTAGAGAAATAGAAGATTCATGCCACTGAATTTTGACAATGTGTTTTAGTCTTGACACAGTACTTAGTCGAAAGTCAGTGCCGGCAAATATCTATGTTCTACTCTGTAAACAATATTAGGAAATAAAAGGAAGTGGAGGTCGATCTAAGGTAACACTGATGATCTCAAAAAGGTTCGAAAATGAATTAAAACAAAACTAGAACGCAATTTTTACAAATGCACTTAAAATCAAGACGAAACAGAGTCATTGAAATTCCATTAAACATAAAAGCTGATCTCAATCTAGCTATAAACTGTTAATTTCACTTGGTCTAATTATAGCGGATGTCTAAATTCCATTCAAATTTCTCAAAAAATATTCTAACATTCTTTCTAATTTGATCATATTCAACTATAGGATTTGGATCTCTCAATGTACTCACATATCTGCAGTGAAGCATATTTTTCGTAATATGGTACAATGAACTAAGAAACGCATAGGTGAGGGGGTTATCTGATTACTATCTTAAAGTTCTGTCGTAGGCTATGATGAATAGAGTAGCTATTTCTTAAGATTTCTATCATGTCTATAAGAGAGAGAAAGGAAACTTGTATAAATTTGTTCTCTTATACTTCAATACACCTTTAAGATTGTGTTCAAAATCAAAAAAGAAAAGAAGAAAACTTACTGAGTATACTTGACACTACCCATTGAACTATAAGAACTATTCGGATGAAGCTGACCTGACTTAGTTGATGTTGTAAGACTATTGAATATTTGTTTCGAATCAGACGATAACGTTTGAAAAAGTGAATCCGTTTGTGTTTCATCGACTTCTAGAATAGTCGCTGGTGTAGAAATATTATTATTAAATGATAATTCATTTAATCGATGATGAAAACTTTGAATTTCATCATCTTCTTTAAAGACGAAAGATTTTGACGGTTTTTTTTCCATTTCGTTGTTTTTTTTCTTCTTAATTCAATTATAAAAATGAAAATAAAAATATGAATTATTTAAAAAGATTGATATATTTGCTTTTAATGACATTTCTTCATTAAGTAATTTTTACTAACCATGAAAATAATTATTGAATCTTGTTATTATAATTTGAATTTGTTGTTCAAGAGAAAGTTTTCGAGTATTATTAAAATCTTCTAATAAAATATTCAAATTGCTATAATCTTTTTCATTAGATTCGTTAGGAATTAGTTTTCAAATTCCATTAATTAGATTATGTTCAAGTTTAATTTGATGATTTTCATATTGATGAATACAATTATAACCAATGACTTTTTTTGTATTTATCTTGATTAAATATAATTTTTATGATAGAAAAATCTTTATTTTTTTTTTATATTTTTCTAAACATTCATAATCGACATTGTCATGATCTATAAATTTCAATAAAGACGATAATAAAAATTATAGATTATAAAAAAAGAAAAATGACAAACACTGTTGATAATTTTCTTCAAACAGATTTCGAACTGCATCTGTTACTTCGTAATCGTTGCAGTAACACGATGCCATTAGTATATACACAAAAAGAAAATAAATCAAATCTTGAACTAGATAGATATACATGCATCTATACATATATGTGTATTTATTGACCTTCGTCTAATACGCATTTTGATGTTTATTTGTCTTTTTCATTTTTTCACGTATTCCATATCGATAAAATACATTGAAAACAACGAGGAGAATAGTCACTGAATCAAACGAATACTTTTCCTTACATTTCACTGATAAAGAAAAAAAAATTCATTTTAAAATTTAAAAAGAATTCATTGGATATGTTGCAGTAAAATAAATATCTTGTAAACTATATGTGATTTAATATAATTGTATCGTTGCATATTTTCGAACGGTCTGAACTGTTTCCAATTCTTATCATTTTTTTATGAATAGAACCAGAAATGCGCACACGAGAAAGAATCTGACTCTTATTAGTCTAAAAATGTTTACTATCTTTATGTTGTCATTTGAATCGGAAATTAATTTTGATAAAAAAAATGTCGTCGGCCCATTCATAAGAGTTGACTTTGGGTAATGAAACTTTATAAAGATTTTACTAATATACAGAGAGATTCATTATTTCTAAAACATCAGCTATATGTATGGAAAGTAACATAAGTCACTGAGTAAAGGAGAATTTGAATATCTACGCAGCGTTCTGATCAATAGCGCTAGCTTTTCTGGAAGATACAGAAGATTTTCAAATTCTTTTTTTCATTAAAAATCCTCCAAAAGATTTGACTTTGCACAATCATTATTCATTTTAACAAAGAAAGCGTGCTTTTTCTAATTTTTGAAGGCTACGAGTATTATGAAAGAAACATCCATCTCCCTCAACCCACGTGTTGATGTAAAAAAAGGCACAATTATCATTGTTCATAAAGATTTATATAATAACTTTAGTTAAAAACTTTGCTTGTTTTAATGAAAGATATTGCTTCACTAAAATTTTGACGAATTATTAATTCGTTATTTTTTTGTCAAGAATCTCGTTTGAAAGACTTTATTTGAAAATTATGAAAGTTTTTTATATCGAAAATCAATTAAAAATTAATAATTTTCAACACAACCACCGGATTGAACATCACATCTGGATCCTCTCGGACAACAATGGCGACCATCTTCACAACATTGAGCCTATCGAATTAATTCAGTAAGTATAATAAAAAAAAAGACATCAATTAAAACATACATCAGGAAAGCCACAACATGCGTATTCTCCATCAGCTGATCCATATGTTCTACAACATGTTTGATCATATGAACAAGCAACCTCTGATGTTCCACATCGATTGTAATCATTATTTGGTGGTGCCTCTCGCACTAATATTAAGTTACTTAATTGACAAGAAAGTTGTTGCTCATCACAAATATAACCGTTCGGACAACAAACTGCGCCGTTCGAACCACAACATACGCCCTAGTTTTTAATTTAATATAAGATTAATTTATTTCCAATAAAAAAAATAAAACATTTTTACTTTTGAATATGGACAACATGAATAAGTAATTTGATCATTTTCTTTATTAGGACAACATGTTGAATTCGGTGAACATATTGTTTTTCCATCAGGACATTGTTGATCTTTTAATGGAGATAATGGATAGAATCGTTGAATTGTGTTTTCTTTTTTTTTCAAAGCTACTAATTTTCGAGTAGATGGAATTATATCTGTTTTATTCAATGAATCGAAATGGCGAATACATCGTTTACTACTTTCATCACATGAATATCCATTTCCACAACAATGAATCTAACAAGATTTAGTTTTAGTTTTAGTTCTAGTTTATAGGAATTCGACAAACTTTATCGGAACAACATGATGCTTGTGAATATGGACAACATCCATATGCACCTAAAACCAAAAAGTTGTTTTTCTTTTCTTTTTCTTCACAAAATTTCTTGTATGAAACGAACCATTTTTCAATTCACAACAAGTTGTTTCTTCAGGACAAAGTGATTTTTCATCTTTAATGAAATAAATAAATAAATAAAATTGTAAATTGTAAAGGAAAAACTAGACAAACCAGGACATTGAATTGTTGATATAGTTGATTGAACATCTGAAAGAATTACATTTGATAAAATTGAATTTACAGATGATTGTTTTCGTAGAATTGGTATTGATCCAAATAATGTATGATCACATTTAAATATATGTAAATCACATTTATAATGTTGTGGACAACAATGTATATGATCCGAACAACAAACCTTATTTTATATTGAAAATATTTATTCAAATTTATTTCATAAAAGTAAACATACGGCATTTTCTACTGGACAACAACCCCATATTGACTCTGGTGACAAACAGCAAGTTGACGTTGATGGACACAGACCTTTTGTTTTTTTTTTGAAAATTTTCTTATTTAATTAATTTATTATGATTAATTTATTCTCATAGTTACTTGTGCCATCAGGGCAAATTATTTGTGCATTTGGATTTGATGATGAAATTAATTCATGCATATCTGTTTCCTTATCATCAATAACATCAACTAATTCTTCAAATAAAAACAAAAAAAAACGAATGTCTATTTATTACTTATGATGAACATGAAAACAAACTTTGTTTTCGAGGAAATGCTGGTGTTTTTGTAAACCAAGGAATTGAAATTTCTTGATTACATTGGCCTTTTTCCACGTCACAAGTATATCCATGAGGACAACAATGAAGATGATCACCTATTACAATATAAAAATTATGATATAATCATTTATTTTCATTAATAACTTACTACAACAAACAGCGTCAGCTAAACTTTCCCATAAATAATATTTTAGTTTTAAATAAACAATAATAAAATGAATTTACCTAATGGACAACAACCATATTCTCCTGATTCTAACTGACAACATGTTTGGCCTAAAATTATTTTCTGGTTGAATTCTTAGCGTTAAAAAAGAAGATAATCAAACCGTCAGGACATGCAGAGGAGCCTGAATTAATAAACAAAAAAGAAAATAAATTATTCAAAAAAGAAAACTTGAATAATAATACTTACCACCAGGACATGGAACACTAGTTAAATCATCAAACTTCTTTTTACATCGTGAGTGTTCAACATCACAATCATATCCTTGAGGGCAACAATGAAGATGATCGCCTGTAAATGAATTTTTCATTGGCTATCTCTCTGTTTTAGTTTTCACTTACTGCAACAAACAGCATCAACTGAAAAAAAGAGAAATAATTTTCAGTTAATAATTAAATAAACAAAAAGAAAAACGCTAACGATACCAATTGGGCAACAGCCATATTTGCCAGATGATAATTGACAACAAGTATTGCCGTCAGGGCAAGAACTGCCATCTAGAAGAATTCAGTTTTTTTCAGTTTTTTTGTATTTTATTTAATAAAAGTAAACCTGGACATGGGACTGCACTGATTTGATTTTGTCGAACTTCTAATATGAAAGCAGGCTGAATAAATTAAATAAAATTAGATTGATGAATGAAAATTTAAAAAAAAAGAAATAAACAAACAGAAATATCATTTGAATTTGAAGAGCATTGTCCAGTAGGCAAGCATGTTTGACCTTTTGAACAACAATGAAGGCCATCGTCACAACAAAGCCCATCTTCCATAGGACAACATGCCCATAAACCAGTGTCTGTTTGACAACATGTTTCTTTAGCAACACATGTTACCTGATGAAAAATTTATCTGATTTCATAGACTATCAATCTGAAATAAATGAACTTACATTAGTTGGACATCCATAAGAGCTGGCACCGACTCCAACTAGTAACGATAGTAAAAGAAATGATAACATCGAATATGCTAACTAGAACAAAATAAAAACACAATGAAGAATACAAAGTCTTCTAGTCAGCATATTAATAGATAAGAATAAGATAAGACATGTCGTCATGTGATGCACACATCTGCAATTTATCTTTTATCGTTTTGAAAAATGTTCGCACATAACCTGCAGGTAGTTTCGTAATTCATTAATCTATTAAATCACGATCAATAATGACATTTTTTCAACGAGTACTTTTTCTAGTACTAAAGTGCGAATCATATTTGAAATTTAAAAAATATAATATGATGATAGAGTAACAGTTCATCAATGAAAAACTCATGTGGGCATCATGATGAATGATTATTTGAGCATGTAGTTAAAGGAATATATTATCCATTTAATGATAGGTAACGATAGAGGCCGCCTGTCGTTGTTACCAAACTTTTCAATTATATTAACCGAAACAATATTTATAGAAAGTGCCGTATTTATCAATTCGAAAACTAACCTCTCACTTTTTATTTCTATGTTTTTTCTCATATTCGACACTTGGATAACCTAAATATTTTTTAGTTTTTTTTGTTAAAACCTTAAAAATATTCTTCATCACTTAAATACATATACACGCTAAGTTAGTCCATAATCCATAAGCATATTTTTGTAATTCAATTTGTTTTCACAATATGGCATTGATAATAAAAATATATAAGTTAGTGATGACGATCAGTTACTTGTATCAAGTAAATGAATTGCATTTGTATGAACAAATGAAAGATTTTGTATTATCATGAAAATGTCTTCCATACCAAGTTGTTGTTGGTTTTCATTTAAAATTAAAATTATTATATAAATGTTTAGGATCTTTTAATATTAATATTTAATAATTTTCTAATAATATCTGGTGAATATGAATTAATACAAAACTTTTCCATATGATAATTTAAATGTTTTGATCATGCATTATCATACAAAATATTTAAAATAATGATCGTTTCTTGAATTATCAGTAAATAAAAATAAATCAATATGACCAAAAATTATATCTGAAAAACGTGGATATTTATACAAACGAAATGATGTTGTTATTAGTGTTGCTGATGATAATAATATTAAAGTATTTAATGTAAATGTTAGTTCATTTGAAAAAACATATAATACTACTAACTATAATCTTACATATATGCATCTCAACGAACAAAATCATGAAAATTAACCAAAACTGAAAACCGCAATGCTACGTATATATGTACTTCATGATGATCGAGCAATTTTAGGGGAAGAATAATGAAAAAAAGTAATTATCTCGAACTGTTACGCTCACATAATTGCTTAAAGAAGTATGATTAAAAAAATATTATTCGTGACATGTATGGGAATACATTAACATCCTTTGTGTTTGAATGACTGATCACATGTTCAATCGTGACAATGCGCAACGTGTATCAATATTTATTCCATTCAAATGTCTAAAAACAATATGACGCATCTCTCGTCTAACTAGCGTCTAAACTACACATTAGGGTGCAAACACACAAGAAAAGCGATTTATGTTAATTTTGTTTAAAGTAGGGGTGTCGGCTTAGCATGAGTATTAGCGTTAATTAATACGAATTCTAAAAGCATCACACCTAAGGAGAGCAGGATGGAGCAAAATAGTTGCAATAAAAAAGATGCGCAATGTGTACCTGCACAGAATAACTGTGCTCGCTTTATTATGTTAGTGAAACATTTTTTAGATAAAAGAATTATATATGCATTAATTAGTCTTTGGCGCGTTAAAAATTGATATTTCTAAATTATGATATAAGCATCGTTTTCTATGCAGGTGCACCTTGTGCATCTTTTTTGTCCAAATACTTTTGCTCCATCATGTTCTCCTGAGGTGTGACGTTTGTAGAATTAATATTAATTAATGCTAATACTTATGTTAAGCCGACACCCCTAGTTTTAAGTTAACACTCGCTCACAGCGTCCTGAATAAGAATTTGGAGTGAAGTGCAATGTTGCACTTTGTTTCAAGAATCAATGTGCAGCGATTTGCAGTTGCAAAAAAGGTTCTAGAAAAAAATAGTAGGTTGTTTCGAATTCTAGACTTGTGTATTAAAATAAAATAGCAAGGGTATTGGCAGTAGATGTACTGAAAATAACACCCCTGCCCATCCTCGCACAGGGATGACGGGATGTTTCTAAATCAGGTGAGGCTGAATGGAAGTTTTTTCGTTATCGCCAGTAAACTTTCTAGATACAACATTGACACTATAACTGAGTAATGTTCAGATAATAGCTGGTTTTAGGCTACTACTATTGTGCCTTGAAAGGGAATGCAATATTTCTCTCTTTTCTTTACATACGAACTCGAAAGACTAAAGCAAATCTATTCTTTTACAGGTTATATTACGTGAATATTTTTTGCCGAAGTCTTTTAATTATCAGAGCAGCATTTTTACTCGATCAAATTACCGAATGATAATATCAAAAAAGATAATATAGATGTTCAAAGCGTAGGCTTTTCCACTTGCGTATGCGTACACGATTCTGATGATCATGAAGTGAAGGATTGCATGATATTATAGTTGATTTTAATCATTAATTGATGAACTACGAAAGAAGTCGCTTACTTTGCTAGCATACATTTATGATTTTATTTTGAAGAAATTTCCCTATTATTGTACATTTGGAAGCTTTAAAAACTTTTATTTCTAAACTGTGAAAAAAGTTTATACTCCAAAACTTATATGAAATAAAGAAAATTAAAGATTAGCCGAGAAGAAAGCATGAAAATAAAAGTCCATATTTCTTGATTCTGTAAATATCGCATCACATTAGTTGTTATTCATCATTTAAATTTCTCGAAAATCTAAAAACAACAAAAACCTTTTCATAGTATCAGATAGAGATAATATTTTCTGAGTAGTCTGCAACGCAATAGGGTTTAAAAATATCTCGATTGTCACAATTCCGTAATTTTTTAACTACAGAACTAATTTTTGTCCGAAATGAGTAGGGAAAATGCAATAAACAATTGTACTTAAAAAATGGATATAGTCCATTTCACATATTTCGATGCTTTTTTCAAGTATTCACAATCACAGTTGACGAGATTCTTTGATCACATCATTCTTTTACTTTTTGTTAAATCTTTTAAGTCGAATTAAATTTGTTTTTAATGGGACGTGCTTGACACAAGTTTGGAGGATTACCTTGGCAAAAAATGAATGATATTGTTTTCACGCTGAAATGTTCTCTGAAAGCATTTCTCAAATCAGCTTAAAAATAATAAGAGTCACTTTGTTAAGGTATTTTTCTTTAAATCTTTAAGATATGCCGAATTTGCGAGTAGAATTTTTACCATTGGTAAGAATAACAAACAAAATGAATGTCAACAATGAACTAATTTCCGATGCATTATTAGATAAAAATCCGTATTTCTTTATTTTGTTGAAAAAAAAACAGAAACTTTTATACGAGAAGCATTTCTATTAAAACACTATCTATCAATCTGGAGCTGATGATGCTGTTGAAAATATGGATCCTCTCAATGAATCGATTTCGTTTATGTCTCTATGATCTTTAAAACTCATTCGAGTTTTATTCTTTTTTATGATAGCTCGGACAAATAATAATGTCATCAGTCCAATAAATATTATAGCCAAAGTAATAACGGCAAACATGATCTTTTGTGGAGACCAATTTGTCTTAGCAAATGTATCGTAAGAAAAATTCGATCGCTTGCTCGAAGAATCATTAAAACTGAAACGATTGTGAATCGAATAAACCGAAGATTGTATCAATGATTCGTACATGACAGGCGTTCTTTCAGTAACTTAGATTGTTACTAAATATGCTTTTTTTTTAAACTTTTCATTTTACTACAACTTACGTAGAGAAGGAAGCATCGTAGATGTCTTTTTCTAAATAAAATCTATGACAAAATGAAAAAAGAAAATTGAAATTTACTGGTGAGATTTTCGACGAGAAAGCATTGGCCGCATACTCAATGAATGGTGCTGCTTGATGTATTGTCTTGTTTACTATTTGAAAAATATTTGCAGCTTGTTGAGCCGTTTTCTGTATTTTGAATGCATTACGAGTTGTCAAGATCGTGTCTTTCACTTTAATCTACCAGTAGGATTGATATTAAAGGAGAGGTTGTTTTTTCATGGCTGCAACATTTACCTTAGCTGAGCCTTGCCCAAACAACAGTTGTACTGTATTCATTGATGAATTTAATTCTTTTGGTTAATACAAAAAATATACTTGTTGTACTAGAAATATCATATTGGGCATAATCATGACTAAGTTCACTTGCTGTGTAAAATATAAGAAAAAATTTACATCGATTTCAGAAAAAAACAAACAATGTATTCTACAGTAATCACGCGCTGTTTTGAAATTGTAATAAAAAGAAAAGAAACCTCTCTTGAAATACTCTCGTCGATACAATACTTAACACATAATACTAATCGCCATTGTTTGTATTCGAATCTACCCATAATATTCGTTGTGATCATAGAAATCCGAATGTAAAGTCTTGTTTATAATTAATTTTTATTTCCAACACTTATTTCTAATATATATCATAATTACAAATTGAACTAATAAGGAAATATCCTTAACTGATTAAACACCTTTGCGTCGGAGCTAAACGCATCATATTAATTTGAATGAACTATGAATAATCTTAAAAGATGTCAAATTCCGATCTTATTACTATCGGAAAACGACATTTCTAGGATATTTTTGTAATTTCATGCCAACGTTTTTATAAGAATTTTACAAAAATTGAATGATAGTTTTCATTCTAAAACTTTGTATAGAGATAAACCTGAAAACTAATAATAGTTTTTTCATTCTCTCTGGAAAGAAAATCAATCTATCAGCTGATCCTCATGGCAACAATATAAATGGTACAGTTTAATTGAACTGTCTGTTATAAGATACAAATATTGAAGAAATCTCGAACTTTCACAACAAATTGTTCTAATTGACGTCTGCCTCTGTAGAAAATTTCAAGTTGAAGTTTGTCAAGTAGATTTTCAGCTGTTTTTATATAGGGGTGCAATAACGGTCACCTCTAAAATATACTAAAAACGTAGTATCTCCAAAGCGATTAGGAATGATTGTTGGTCCTAAAATGACAGAAAGACCTTTAGATTAGATAACTGACTTGACTATTTTACTTATTTACTACTATTGTAAAATCATTGATTATAAATTTATTAATAATACTGCCATATCAGGAAACTATCGAACAAACAGCTTAATTGTTTTTCGTTAATGCTATTTCTTGAAACATTTTCCTTTTTCATGGCAGCTTTTTGTCTACTAGAATGTTTTCATTCGATAATGTTACAACACCGAAAAAGCAAATAGAACATATTGATAGGCATAGAAATTCATTTAAATTTAATAGAAAGTATCTTACGTGAAATATTAAATCCAAATAGATGTCTTTGCTTCTAAATCTTCTATTTTATGATAAGAAATCACTTCATAGGAAATTATCATTTAAAAGTTCTTTATTCATTATTTTACAGTATTTCTAACTATACGGCAAGTGATTACCTGTGATAAATAAATTAGATTATTAATACGCTCTACAGCTTTAATGATATATTTGAAAATGAACAATTTACTCTTCTTGCAAAGATAAGTGATTGAGTGTTAATGTTTTTGCCATATCATTCGCATTTCTCATATTCTTAAATTTGTCAGTAAATTATGTTTTCTCCACTAAAACATCTTCCAATTCTTTACGTTTGTTTATCGAACTCGAATTCGTCTTGTTTTGTTTCTCTTTTCTGTTTCAATTTTACTTAGATAGAAGATAACAACTCATCGTTATCATTATCCAGTAACTTGGCTCAGTTTTTCTTATCTTGAATATTAGCTATCATAAACAAACCAGAGTTATATTTTATTATATCCGTATATATTTTCTTCTTCACGGTTATTCTAACCAGTAACAAACTATTATCATCGAGCTAAGAAAAGTATCGACAATGAAATCATTTCTTGTCTTATGTGTTCTTATTATGAATGGATATTGTTTCCCTATGCTGGATATTCAATTGGATAATTCATGGTCCTTATTTAAAAGTGTTTTCAAAAAACAATATCTATCCAATGAAGAAGAAACAACTCGGTTTGTTTAAATATTTAAGTAAAAAAAATGAATTTGAGTATTGCCATAAATAGCCGTCAAATTTGGGAAGAAAATGTTGCACTCATTCGCAAACATAATCTTGAATCTGATTTAGGAATTCATTCATATACACTTGAAATGAATCAGTTTGGTGATATGGTATTTAGTTTTTATTTTTATTTTTTTATAATTAGAACTTTTTATTTGATACAAAAAGACAAATGAAGAGTTTCGAAACCAAATGAATGGCTTTAAAATGAATTTAAAAGGTACAATAAATCACGCTGATCATCATATATTTTCAGCACCATCGAATGTTGCTCTACCTGATAGTGTTGGTATGAACAAAAACAGTCGACCATAATTTATATATCATACTTACATTTATATTAAATAGATTGGCGCACAAAAGGTTATGTAACAAATATAAAAGATCAAGGTCAATGTGGTTCATGCTGGGCTTTTTCAACAACTGGTTCACTTGAAGGACAACATTTTGCTAAAACATCGAAACTTGTTTCACTTTCGGAACAGAATCTAGTTGATTGTTCATTGAATTTGGGATGTCATGGTGGTGTTATGGATATTGCTTTTCTCTATATAAAATCCAATGGTGGTATTGATACTGAATGGACTTATCCTTACGAAGCTCAACGTGATAAATGTCGTTTTGATCCAACGAATATCGGTGCCACTGATACGGTATCTATGAGTTGATGTTAATATGAAAATCTAAACGAATCAATTCATTTTTCTATAGGGTTTTGTTGAAATTAAAATGGGGAATGAGACAGATCTTCAAGCTGCCATTGCTACCATTGGTCCAATATCAGTAGCTATTGATGCTTCAAAGAGTTCATTTCAATTTTATTCATCTGGCGTTTATGACGAGCCTCATTGTTCAACATATATACTCGATCATGGTGTTTTAGCTGTTGGATATGGTACCGTAAATTTACAAGATTATTATATTGTTAAAAATTCATGGGGCACCAATTGGGGTAACCAAGGATATATTTGGATGAGTCGAAATAATCATAATCAATGTGGGATCGCAACAGTAGCAAGCTATCCACTTGTTTAAATGGATTGATGTATTTTTCTTTAAATTTATTATCAAATAAAAATTTTCTTGGTCAAATCATATCGACAGAGGATGCATCAGTATCTTTCAATACTAACTATTACATTGATTTCTACAGGTCGAACTATAGTATTCATTGTAAGAATGTTGTAGTGCATCTAATCAAAATAATATTCCATCAGACATTTGATATACGCAATTGTTTTGCTTACGTTAGATTTATTCATACAATGTCAGGTAGTAACGGTAAAAAAGGCACATCTGTTGAACCTCGAGAAGACTTATCAGAAACAGCTAGTCTACAATGAGTAGCAGGAACGACAGCAACATTAACAGTAACAATTGGATGAACTAGTATAGCACCTGTTATGTCTCATACATGAAATCTTGCTCATTCCCATACAGATGTATCTGATCAACGTGTTCAAGAAGTATCTGGATCAAAATCTAATACAGCAACAGGTGATTTAGCTACAGTTCATTATAATCAATGAACAAACGAACATGCTGCTGACAATTTTAAAGTAAACACTTTTTGTTGTTTTTTTTTGCTTTTATAAATAGTCTGGCTTTGACAGATATTTTTTATTTTTTGTACATTCTAATAGACAATAAGATTGTTCAGATCAAATCGTTTCCCAGCTAAGACTGAACGTATGCAACTATATTTGCTGCTAATGAATTTATTGAGGAACAAAACCTTTATCTTTTTATCGACACCTTTGATACTTTATATGGAAAACTCAATCTGTATTTTTAGTGTAAATGAGTACAAATCTATTAAAAGAAACTATGGCTTTATTTACTGAGAGACACTAGCATATTACAATATCTAGAATAATATTCTCAATTACTTTTCAAAAAGTAACAACAAGCGGTGATACATTTAGCATCAGGCAATACGCTTCAAATACGTAGCTATCATTGCAGAGATGTATACTCAATAGCCTAATGTAGCATAAGTAAATTAGTATAAAAATATTTTCTAATTTTCTGCCTAATGTATTTCATGTTAACCAATCCTTATCCATAGAAGTGACCTCGTAATGTGTCTCATACTCACTGATTTGTATATTCTCTCAACTAAAGAAACGATTGTATGAGTTGAAATGAGTTCGATTCTATCGTAACTTGCTGGTCTATACTTGTTTGTCGCATATGTGCTGCTATGAGCTTCGGGTGACTAATTATAATGGCAATTAGTTTGTACGCTATCTTTAATTAACCTGATCATTTAATGGCAAATATGCATTACATCCTTGTTTTCATCATAGAAGCTCAGTACTATCAAATAGCTTTGTTACCAAAAGTGTATATGTGTGCATCTCAATTCAAGACATACGTATGTGGATATAAGACACTTCGTGAAGGTCTCGCTGTATTAGTAGTGAATATAAACAGAATTCCATATACCATATCCTGAATTGTATAATGACGCTCATTACTTTTGAGCACTTGTACTGTATACGATAGATTCTGTATTACGAATAAATGTAAATTATCGAGAGATCACTGCCAATTATGAGAGCAATAGAAGAACGAGCAAAGTGACTAATACATTATGTCATGCGTTCTTTCAAAAGATAAATCAACAAAGATCATTACTGGAGATGTAAAAACTACAGTAAAAATAATTATTCATAAGATCATCAAGTACAATAGATGTATCAAGATTTTACATGTACGTGAGTATAAATTTTTATGACATGGCACCGTAGATGTCATAATACTGTTACATTTGAATAACCACTATGTCGCCCTAGTCATATAACTATATTTTAAAAGTTGAGGAACGTGAGTCGTTGTGATGTAATGACTTCTGCTGTAAGCACTTCGTTATCATATGCATATAACTGCATGGTTAGGAAAATGAAGTCACTAACCCAAAAGGTTAATACACCAGAATAAATGAAACAGCGATTTTTGACTAGTTGTTATTGACACGTTCCGTAATTAAAGGTACAAAGGTCGTCACCGGGTGTAACGAGCTGATACCCTCATTCAACATAGAATCCGAAAAAACAAAATGTGGATCACAATTGAATAAAATATTTTAGTTTTCTTTTAGAATACGAAAAATGATCATGTAATAGAATGAACTATCATGAATAGAAACGCAACAACAGATAATAAAGAAATAGAAACATATTTAAAACAAAGCAATGATACTAACTGTAAAACAAATTACACAATACATATAAAAAGGTTTGAGTGTCCAACTAAATTAATAGACTAAAATCGAATGAAAGACCCAGTTCGATAATGAAATGCCGTATAGAAAGCTCCTTCATATCCTTTGGTTAATTCATGAAGTTTAGACGTATAATTAGATGTAAAAACAATCACAATCCTATCTGGTCTTCTGAATCCACAAATTTTTGCTCCGACATCAAACTCATAAAATCTAAAAGAACCCTTAATTCCGCGATCTGCTAACATTTGTGTAAGTTTCCCACCTTTATCTTGAAAGATGGTAGTGCTCAATTCGTCACTGGCGGTGGGAAAATATTGGTCCGGATTCTCAATAAACCTTTGAAGAACACCATTTGCAACATCGAATGCATCCTGTGGAACTACTTCACCGAATAAACGTCCCAAGTCCATTTCTTCCAAACTATCTAAACCATCTCCTCTGGATACCAGTATTTCTGTTTCAGCTGCCTTGCAACGTAATACTTCTTCTCCAGGTAAAATTGGATTCTTTAGAATAAGACTGGCCTTTACGCAAAGATAACCAGCAAATCTTCCTGCAATGGCTCCTCCAACTCCTTCCAATACTAATTGTAAGGTTTCTATTGGTGTACCTTCTATCTTCGTCAGGACACAGTATGATCCAGTACGGATTCCAGAGCCAACAATTGCACCAGTTATTGTACCCAATGTTTGAATGGATGTTTCTGTTAAACCTGTTCCAACTAAAACTATTCCCATAAGATTTCCAGCTCCATAACCTGCACCAAAAGTAATAATTGTCAATCCTGCACTTACGGCATTTCTTTTTGCAAATTCTTTTCAACTAAAATTTTTATATATACCACCAGCAATAGTTTTGCATTCCACATATTCCTGTACCTATAAGTAATGATGTACTGAGAATTATTCCTGGAGTGGCTGTACCCCCAGAAACCACAATAAGAGCTACACCTCCAATAAAGATAAGACCAGATAGTATTGCTGCTAAAATTGGTTGTAGTTGGCTTGGAGGCATTCGTTGAAAGTCAGGATGCAATTTCAAATATCTTAGAATATCATCTGAGCTTTTAAACTGTTGGCTTGAAAGTCCGAGTTTATCTTTACTTAAAACAATTGTTGAATCTGTGTGACTTCTGCAATGATTGCTTGAATGCTTTACAGCATTGGTTCTAATACCGATATGTTCCGTTGACAAGAGTGGACTATTTTGTGAAAAATTCTTCTTCTTCTTAAGCTTTGTAAGCGAATTGTTTGGATCAGTTTGTCCATTACTAGTTTTGAAATCAGTTACTTTATAGTCAGTTCTCAAATCGATGGCTTTGTTTTCATTGAAACAATTGATTGGTAACCAGTCGTTCTCTTTAAGTATAACTTTACTTTTTTCATAATTTAAACGATCTACCTGTTCGATTGCATTTTTAATCCTTTTATTCATAATATATGATGGTGATGATAAGTGATTATCATTATTATTAAAATTTGATTTTCTTACTGTCGCCATTTTCATTCAAAGAGGATGTTTTGAGATGTTTAATTTTAATAAGTCTAAATAAAAGGTAAAACAAAAAAGACATAATCTTTTATGCAAATAATTAGACAAATAAAAATGATATTTCAAAAAGAAAATTTATTGATGGGTGATCTCATGAGGCCTCTATTACTTTTCTGAAAAATCAACTTTCGATCTTTTCCGAATGAGATAGCCGGGAACTTGACGGAAAATATATTTAATAGTGTATGCGGGTAGCTTGCTCTTAGATTTTTCCTCGATCCACATGATTACCTGGAAGCATTTCGGTCAACGTGTGTTTGTGTCAGACTTTTTCTTTTACATACGGAACCGTTGTATATTTTATCTACGTATTTGTATTCTCTGTATCACAAGGCATAAAATGGAAACCAATGTCAATCGTGGTGACATATTCAGAGTCAGTATCTTTTCTCTAATACATTATTTCATAGGATTAATGCATTATGCATACTTTTGCTCTAAACAGTGAAAAATTCAAATTAAACATTTTTGAAATCTGATTTCGAATTCGTATTACTCACCACTGTAAAACCTTTTTGTCAATATTTAGATTGGTAATGCTGAGGACCAAGTGACAAATGATATGTTTCGATTTATCCGAGCTTTTGACCGATTCGATTGCGTAGTAAAATATCAGTTGATTATTTAACACTCTTTCTTTCAAAATATTAATCTAAAATAGCAGAGTAAAATATAATAATTTTTCAGAAAAGAAACACTGGAAAATTTTGATTAAAATGAATAGCTACCAGTTGAAAAAGAAACACAATAAAGAAAATAATAAATCAAACGTGAAAGTATACAATAATAAAACTTTTATAAAGCTACAGAATATAAATGAACTAATATGTCGACAATTTCTTCTCAGTTCGACGAGACATGATTAGATATAATAATGAATTCGAAATCAGCTAACCATTTACTAGTAAATCGGCAATATACTTTAAATAGACGACAACTTTCATGAAACTCATGAAATAGATCATTCTGACAAGCATGATCAGTTTTAGTCATTAATACATGTACATCTGATACGTTACCTGTTGGATCGATACCGTGATCTGTGATACAACCACGATCGTCGACTACTCCGTCTTCTGCTCTTATTTCTATTCCGGCAGAATTTCCAGTACTATAACCATTATTAAAGCCACAACATACGATGTAATTTCTTCCTTCTGTTTGAATTGTAAAGCTAATATAACCTGAGCTGTCACATGCTGTATCAGACCACTTTGTGTGCAACACAGCAGTGGACGATGGGAGCAATTGATCGGGAAAGTCACATTTTCAGCAGAAATGGACCACCCCCCATAAAGTCATACGTTTTAAGGAGAAATGGTAAAGAAAGAATATATACATATATATATGTATCATTCACTATTCTTCAAAGTAAAATCGTTTCAAACAGAAGTCTTTTATTAATAGAGAGAAATGTTTCAACAAGGAGAAATGGAAAAGAAAGAATCTATGTGTATGTATATACATATATAGATAAATGTCTATCATTGACTATTCTTTAAGGGATAATGGATTCAAGCAGAAATCGTAAACTTGTACAGGGAAATGATTCATCGGGCAAAATGGAGTATTATATAGGCTTAATAGTTTTTAAAAATCTAAAAACTTGATTAAATATTTTATTCACTATTTGAGCAGTATAGTCATGTCAAACTGGATGAGATCTTAATTCTAATAAAAGTTACAATTTTTTATCTGAAGATGTAGAGTGCGCCACTACTTTCAATAGAAAAAGCTGTTCAGTGCAGAGCTACTGGGGCTAAAATGTGGAACCTGCAGACTCGGTGATGCATGAGAAACGAAGTGTGAGTGAGGTAGGACACAGAAAACGTATAGGAGGGGATCAACGGTCAGAAAGATTGCAGCTGACAGTGAGAAATTGTGCCGGACACAAAATGTGGCTTCGGGAAGAGAGAGAAAGTACTAGCAGCCCTGTAGATACCTATCGTTTTCTCCTTAACTATTAAAGACTTCTGCAGGAATTGGGGGATATGGCTCATATGTTTCTCTTTGAAAATAAACGATCCCTACTGTAAAATATCCATTTCTCCTTCAGATATCTCCTTATAGTGAAAAAAAAAGAAGCGCTTCATCTGGATAATTTATCTATTTCGCCTTGACTGTTAAGAACTTCTGCTGGAAAGGGGGGATATGGTTCATATGTTTCTCCTTGAAAATAAACGATCTCTACTGTGAAACATCCATTTCTCCTTGAGATATCGCCTTATAGTGAAAAAAAATAAATGTTTCGTGTAGATAATTTATCGATTTCTCTTCGACTTTGTTAGGGGTAAAGTATTTCTGCTGGTGATTGAACCATTTCATGATTTTAGGCGATATTGTCCATCTCTCTTATTTTCAAAGTGAAATGCATCTTTTGCATCTGGGGAAAAGAATCCACTATATTTTTCATGATTTTTATAAACAAGTGAATATTCAGACTCATTTTTTATAACGATACGCGACATACGATTAGAGTTTCTCGCTTTTCTCAACAAATCCAGTTCATTCTTTACGGTTTGAAAAGCATCTTCACCTTGACAACATAAGTTTTCTCTTCTGTGATTTTTCACGTTGCTAGATTTACTAGGTCTAGCACCACCACCTTTTAAGCAACCGGTAGATATAAAATATTTTTCTTCAATTAAAGGATCAATAACCATACCACCTAAGAGTAGTCTTCTTGGCAATGTCTCTACAGTTTTTGCTAACGTTTTGGATGTTTCAATATTGCCAGATTCATCCAAACGGTTAATTTGAGCAATTCGATATTTTATAAGTTTAAGCAAATGTGACTTATCTTTAATACAATTTGAATGCGAATTTGTGGAATTGACAACGATTGGAATTGAATTCGCATTAGTATTAAAATTTTGTTGATATGATTCATTCGATGTTTTATCTTCTTCAATCATTCTTTCGTTTTTTTCATTTAATTTATCTGATTCATTTTCTATATGTCCGATGTTTTTAATTGAACCTTCGACTCTTTTATTCAACTTGTGTGATAATGAACCATTAGTATTAATATAAATATATGGTTTTGATATTTCTGATGTTGTCGTTTTCATTTGAAGATTTTATTTTTCAGTATTGAATTGTAATGACGCTAAAAAAAGTATTGAAAGTCTAAATCAAGAATATGATATACCCGAAAAAATAACTTGACAAATCGACTCATCCACCTTCTCGTGGATTTCTTAAATCTGAATAAGGCGACTCTTCGAACTATTCGAACGTTGTATTCAATTTCTGTTTGAGATATAGGCCAAGCATTCCAACGACAAGGACTGGTCGTTTATGATATCAAGTATGTTCCTCCTGAACCCACAGGATGAAAAATCCTTCTTCATGAAATTCTAAAAACTACATTCAAAACTTGCATACCTTATTCGTAGGTATCGTCGTTATTATTTAGACTCGATTTTGGAGAGGAGCATGACATGTCCTGTCCTGTGTCCTTACATATTTGATACCAATAAAGTGGAAAATTCCTGAACAATGCTGCTATTATTGGATTTTCCCAAGAGATATAAAAAGCGAGAGAAGGAATAGATAATTGCGTTGTATTTTCCTAAAGTGAAAATTAATAGCTCTATAAAAAAAACAATGCACATGTAAAGAAATGTGTATTATGAAGTAAAATAATTGGTTTCTATGTGCAACACACTGTACGATTATACCTTGTTGACGCCGTTTGTATCTTTCTAGATCAATCTCAAGTTGATTTCTAGGGATTGGATAATCAAGATAACGTCATTTAACACATTCATGTATTTATATCCTTCAAATTTTGTCTAGTTTTCTTTACTAGATCATGTGCCGAAACTAAAATTCGATTGTTGAAGTCATATATATCTTTGTATCGATTTTATGCAGCTAAAGTTAAGAGACTCGACCTTCCGCATATTTATTCTGAAGCAGCTGTGGATTCAACTGATTATAAATAATGATTTACATAATAAATTAAATCGGATTTCATTGAAATCAATCCATTATTATAAAATACATGCCACTGGAAATTCTTCGCTAAGCAGATTAGTTGTTTCATGTTAGATATTGCTTTTACTTAGGTCAGAATTCTTGCTACGCACTCATTTCATATTTTTAACGAAACCATATGCACTGATGATCGTTAAGATATAATTTCCTATTGAAAATCAATCATTTTCAAATCACATATACAATTCACACGTTGAATAAGTCATTTGGTGTTAATCGTCCTAATTTAAATTCAAGTTAGATATTTTATAAGAAAAATATTTGAAAAATAATTTCTTGTCTATTTTTTCTAGAAATATTTTGAATAGAAGTGCATATACTTGATAAGAGCACTAATAGTAGCTTCAAAATAAATTTTTTTGATGTTTACTGTTTTCTCATTTATTGTTATTCATCAAGATAATATATGAATAAGCGGATGGTTTAAAACAATATTAAACACACAAAAAACATTCGATAAATGTAAACAAATAATTTGTGTGTTGTAAATATTTTTGATGTTTATAAACGACGACCACGTCGACCACCTTTTCGCCGTGTACTATCTGATGGAATTGGTGTTACATCCTCTAGAAATAAAAAAAAGAATATTTAATTTACTTATAAATTGTTTAACAAAAATAATACTAACCAATTCGTCCAATCTTAAGGCCTGATCGAGCAAGAGCGCGAAGAGCGGATTGTGCACCAGGTCCAGGTGTTTTTGTTTTATTTCCACCAGTTGCACGAAGTCGAACATGTAAAGCAGTAATACCTAATCCTCTGCAACGTTCAGCAACATCTTGTGCAGCTAACATAGCAGCATATGGTGATGCTTCATCACGATCAGCTTTTACTTTCATTCCACCAGTTACACGAGCTATTGTTTCTCTAGAAACAATAGTTTTTCTTAAAAATATAAAATCATACTTTTAAAAAAATTCTCTTACTTTCCAGAAAGATCAGTGACATGAACAAAGGTATCATTAAAACTCGCGTAAATATGAGCAACACCAAAATTAAGTTCTCCATCAGCTAATTGCGGACCTAAACTAACTTGTTCTTGTTTAGCTGGTTGTTGACCTTTTCGTGGACCCATGATGTTCTTTTCTTAGATTGATGATCAACAGAGAAAGACTACGATCTAAAAATTTTAAAAAGAGTTTCATTTCCGAAGAAATTTTGAAAGAGAAACTGTTTAAAGCGAATAAAATTTTTCTCATGGTCCAAGAACATTCACCAATGAAATTCATTGTAATTAATAACCATTATTTCCTCCTAGAGTTTTTCTCGAAAAAAATTTATTTAAAAGTTTCCAATTGAATATTAATGAAATTTCTAAAAAGAAAACTTCTATAGACTTCTATTATTTTAATAGAAAAGATGTCGTTATACACTATTTCGTTTCTATTCATTCAATTTCAATTGATGATTCATCAATATCATTTTATTGTGTTTGATTTCTTAAAGGCAACTAAACTAAGTCTTTTTTATTAATTAAAATAATGAAAAGTTTGACTCGTTTTGATTGTAACTAATAAAAATAGATCTTAGAATGAATGTGTTACGGTTTTCTTGAAAAACAGATACACCAAGCATTTTGTATAAAACAAAAAAAATGAGTGTATTCCATGATATAATTCTTTAATGCTAAAACAATATTATGTAATTTTTACGGTAAAAGAGTAACATTTAACTTTACCTGATTATGTTGTTTCGAATACTTCCCAATCATCATCTTTTAGAAACATTGAGAGGCATCCTATCGAATGAATAAACGTGATTAATTCGCCTTGAATTATTTTATAGAACTACATTATATTTATTAAGAGAATCTCGTCGTCGTAATGTACCTACAATTAGCAATATTCATTCAATTTATCATTATATTAATTTAATATGGTTAATTATTCATCTAGGATTATTTTTTTTATAACAGTTTTTCTCTTTTTTTTGTTAAATTATTTATTCAAACAAATAATAATGAAAAGTTAGATTTGTTTTTTAATGAAGCCTGTTTAATCTAATTATTAGCTACAGTTACACAAAATGATTATATTAATATTTATATTGAATTTATAGCTTCAATTATAGGTAGATTAAATTCGATCAAAGAATTAATATAAAAATGACTTCAGAATACAACAGGTTTTATCCTTTCTCTCTTTAAACAAATGTAGCTTAAGAGAATTCGAGCCCATACGATTGAAACATATTGACAAAGAATTAAATCAAAAGATTTCATTGTTTACGCTGTTAGAAATAAGTCGACAACGTAACATACTAGATAGCTGTAGAGTCCAAGATGAACTTGAATTTGAAAAAATCTGAATCAATCGAATTTTAATCCAGCAAACATCAAAGATTGGCAGATCGAATAATATTTTCTATGGGTTCTATTTCAGAAACTGATGTGTTTTTGTTGATGTAATGGATCGTAAATTGTATATCCTCAAGTCTGCTTCTTTAAAGAATTGAATTCATTTGTAAATTTTGATGGATTACACATTTTTCAATATGATAGAATGGAATGTTTACATGAAGTTTTTTTTTATATATGTGGCAGACGAGTTTGGAATAGTTTTTTTCTTAATTTTTTTAATAGAATTTTTGTTGAGATCTGAAATTAGAAATTTTTATATTGAGAATTATTCCTTGCATCTTTTTACAATGAGTTTTTAAATAATCCAACTCTGTCTATTTTTTTACCTATGAGGACATAAGGATATTGAATTTATCTGAGAAATATTTCTTCTCTATTTTGTTTTTCTATGATCTATTCTCACGAGCAGAAAAAAAAGAAAAAAATATTTTTCCATTAATTATTTTTGTCGCGCATTCCAATCTCAACTGAAATTCTCATGTCAACTGTGACATATGTTTGAGAATCATAAGTCACAACTTTAAGATCATCTTTTGATTCATTTGAATAATTTCACTGAAATTATATTTTTGATTCTTGTAGGAATTTGAAAAGAAGAGAAAAATCTTTTTTTATTTAATAAAATACCTTGCTTTTCTTAAACAATAGGATTTGTTATTCAGACAATACTGATCATAAAAAATCCGGAATCATCACTTTTATACTATGGCTTTGGTTGTTTAATTTATTCAACTTTAATAATGTTAAGTTATTTTATATTTTTTCGAATTCATCAAAAAGAAGAACGTCGTGGTTTGTTTTGTTTATCATCATTTAGCGATTTGTCAATAACGTTAACGTTGCCATTTGTTGATCATAAACTTGTGAATGAATCGATACAATTTTTCAAACAAGGAATTTCATTGAAAATTTTAACAGAATGTGAAAAATACTTATTGACAGTATTTTGTCTTTTATCATAGCTGTATATTGGAATCTATTTTTTCATGTATTATCTTTCTAACAATTGAAGAAATATCTTTTGATTATTTTCATCAAAATATTTTCAATGAAAAACATAAACCAAACTTTGCTTAAAAATAAAAAATACGTTCAAGACGATCAAATAGTATTGAAACAAATAAAAAATAACCAATCGCTACCAACATCAATTGATATTTATATCAGATAAGATTGAATGTTTTTCAGAGAAATAGATTTTATTTTATTTTTAAATGAACAACTAATATTAGTATCTACGTATCTAACTATCTATAGAGATCCACTCAAAAGAAAAATTTCAGATAGAGATCTAACACGTAAACCAGGTGGCTATGTTTTTATTATTCAGGATGACAACTACATGATGACTATACAACAGAGATCATATTAATTGATTTTCTTATTATTCGTTTTAAACCATAGATAGAAAATTTCTTGAAGGTGTGCATAGTTGTAAAAAAGAGAAAAAAATCAATCTCACTTTAATAGAGAAAATATCCAAGACTAATTTTATACTTCGATTCTTTAATTATTGACGGTTGCGATTCATTGCAAAATCATCATACTATTGGAAATTAACATGAAAGATGAAGCGTCTGATTTAGTTTTTTTTCGTTTCCTTTGAAATATTGTGGTTATCTTGAGGGAAAAATTAATCCTAAATAATTTCAATGCTTAAACCCAATCAAATCTTCGATGCTTTCTATTTACAAAATATATACATTTTCTTTTTCTAAAACTATACAAAACTAAGGTCTAGCTTAGGGTCTTTCAAATCATAACATCTGCAATAGCAAACTTATAATGATAGAAGAAAGATTTAGGCATTCATTAGCTCCTATTATTTTGGGTTTGATTGCGTTCAAAACTCACACGATATTATTGAATTAATCTAAAATGCTGCGGGTAAATAGAATGGAGAAATTAAAGAAGAGTAGATTTTTTAGGAAAAATTCAATTGCACAATACAAACACTCCCTAATAGGCATTCTTTTCTTCTTTCATTTAGATGAACGGACAGTAAAATTAAATGCATCAACATTATTCAATTATTTAGTTCGATTAATAATATTAATATCATAATTATTAATAACTTTTATTATTCCCTATTCATCAACAATAATAAATCTTTTTTTTGGAACAAATCTATTAAAAAATTATAATTTAATATTATATGTTCATTTGTATTTAATAAAAATGTTATTAAATGGTATAAATGGAATAACTGAAACATTTCCAGGTCGATCATCCCGAGTCGTAAACGGCCGTATATCTATCACTCACGGTGAAAAACGGCGATCTTATTTTGTAGTCGTTTACTTTTGTCGTAAACGGTCATCGTAACTACACACTAGCTGTAAATGACTGTCGGATATCACTGTAAGTGGTCGGAGCCGATGACCGTAAACAATCCAGAAAACGATTGCCGTTTTTCTATCGTATACTTTTGTAAGCGATCGTTTACGATGACTAGCTGCTCGCTTAAAGTATGGTAGCATTTTTTAGATTATAGTTTACTCAAGCTATCTCAGTGAGAAGTATTAAGTGGCCATCTGATAGGTGAAGTTAGCACCGCATTCGAGTAAACCTTTCGATGCTCTTTAGAGCTAATTTCCAACGTCCATACTCATATTACTAGTAGAACCTCGTATATCCTATCGAATAGTATATTTCGATTAACTAGACTTGAATCATTCTCCTGAAATTTCGAAAAATTCAAAAATCCTGAAATGCTTTTTTTTGTAAAATCCGGCCATAGTCACTTCTACCAATGTTCCAATTCTCGTACCTATGCTTCAAGTGGAACTCGAAAAACTCCATCCAGTGGAGTTCACATATTTTTCGCAGCTTGACATTAGACGTCAGCGCTGATAAGATAATACTGAAGAAATCTCAGAAGATCCTACTTTGAGCTATGCAAAATCTGCCGAAATCATTGAATAGATCTACTCAAGTTGTGTTTCGATCACGAGTAGAGTACTCAGAACAACGACTTTGGCGAGTATGGTGCTAGAATTCCATAGGGAAAAAAACAGTATTTTGAGATTTTCGGGACCGTTTTCAGCAAGATGAAAAATCTGATTTTACAAAACAAATTCTAGGATTTTTTGGATTTTTCGAAAATTCAGGAGACCGCGTCGACATCAAGTTAATCGAAATATACCATTCGATAGAGCATAAGAAATTCTACTAGAAACATGAGTATGGGTGTTGGGACAATAGTTCAAAAGAATACGCACTGAAAAAAGGTTCCGCATGGAACCTTTTAGTGCCAAAAATAGTTTCGTACATACTACGGAACTTAAAAGAGGTTTCGAGATTTGCAACGAAATCTGAACCTTTTGAAGGTTTTGTAGACTTTCATCGAAACCTTAAAAAAGTATCCTAAACTCTTTATAGATCTTTTGAAAGCATATTAGGTCCATTCGAAACCTCTAATAAAGTTTCGATTTCGTTGCAAGTTAAGTTCCGCGTGGACCCTTCTTTTTTTAGTGCGGGCAGGTTTCACTCGAATACGATGCTAACTTTACGAACGTGTGAAAATCACGATTATTTTCCATGAAGAGTGACAAAATATTATATTCCATGAGGTATCGTTTTTCAAAAAATAATCGAGTTAGTATGCATTTTGAACATTGCACTAACTGAAATCCGGTTTCAAATCAGAAATCAACACAATCAATCCCAAGAAGAAAAAATTGAATAGATTTTAATGAAAGAAAAATCCTATTAGTAGGATTCAAACCTTAAAAAGTCTAACAATCTGACTAAAGCTGTCATCAGAAATTTAATTAGTTTTGATATCAATTTTGCTTTCCATCAGATAGAAATACTTTAATTTTTATCACATTTTATGCCAACAAAATCATTTAAATGAGATTTTTTCTCAGTTTTAAACATGGGGAATAGACAGATAGAACATCAAAATAAAGCATAAGACAGCCAGAACTCTATATTGTGTAGAATACTCCGACATTCTGTGGTGAAGTTCTGAAATACCCCGGATGATTCTCATAAACCAGCTGATAAATCACGAACTATAGAGCTTACTATGGATATAATTCATTCCAGCTTATATAACAACAACGTCCGTCAATCGTTTTATCGTGAAGAGTCTCACTATTTGTACAAGCATGTCACGTCAAGCATATCCGCTACTTGAAACTGAAATAGTTAAGATGAAAAAAATCATAGAAACATCAAGAAATACTGCCTGAACTGACAGATCATTGCCCAGATCGAACATTCCGGTCCCGGAAACGACCGGTTCCGTGGTATTCCGGACAATTCCCGGTGGGTTCCGGCCGGAAACAGTGAGTTTCGTGCAGGTTTTCGCCGGAAATTCACGGAATACTGCTTCAGGAATCATTGTCCTGGGTGTCAATGCTACAGTGCAAAAGTGCTGCAATATCTGGTTACTGTATTGAACAACGGTAAGACTTGCTAGATACTAACACAATAACACTGAAATTTATTCAGAAATCAAAACTCTATATTCCACAATAATCTGAGAGCTCCTTTATTATTTCTATGATTTCTGCTTGTGATTTCTGACACATTTCCACGATTGTTCAGTCTTTCATCATTTATCAAAGAGAAATATCATAAATCATCTGTTTCCATCCTTAATAGAGCAACTGCGACAAAGCCTATCATTTACGGCTCACTTTCACTGAAAAACTCCAAAAGCAGGATTTCTGCACCTAGAACGTTATGGGTAAGGACAGAAGACATGCCATTACCAACTTTTAAGTAAATATTACTAAGTCCACGAAATCATTTATCAACCTCCCCAACTCTTCAGATTCATTTACATCTAGCTACTTCTCCTTCAATCCAGTATCGCGTTGGCTTTAAAGTTCCCCAAAACCGGTTTCCATCACAAACCAGACTTTCAGTAAAGCTGATTTCAGCAGCCGATCAGAAACTGCAGTGCCTGAATGTACAACATACAAGAATTCCTATACATCTTCACTACATATAGCAGTATAGATAGATTCCCTATAATCTGTAGAAGCCTTATATCTCGCAAACTTTGAAATTCCACTTGACCTTTTCCACTAAATCGAACAAAACATCGTTTTCCTTTGGAACCTAGTTAAACTTTGAAGCTAATTCATACCGAACATATTCCTATATCGAATTCCAGTTGAACGCTACTGAAGATATCCACTAAAATAAGAAAAAACCAATGTTAACAGGTACATCTACGATCGGAAAAATCCAATTCCGTAACAAACATAAAGAAGATTTCACTGATTCTTCTAAAATTTTCACCCATTTTTATGCATGCTATTACTTTTATTATCCTGTATCAGATTTTTGGTATTTTTTAACATCATCTTCACTAATCCTACCTTCAAAAGGTAATTTTAGCAGGATTTCTTTGATGCTCTTTGTATTTTCAAGATTTCTCATGATCCGTGCTTGAGGATACACGGAAAATCATATGGAGTCAACTGTAGGTGCTCGCGAGCGTGTTAGTATATAGAGAGTGCTCCGAAAAGATCTGTTGAAAGTGTGATTTGATGATTTTCGGTCTGATTCGGAGGAGGTTTCTGGACTGGTTGCATTGTTTAATGTGATCTGTATGAAAATGTAGTATAATTGATGTCTGTCGTGTGCTCACTATCGATCCGAGGGGTTTACGAATGCATTTGTTTTGTTCAGAGTTACGACCGTAAACGGTCGGTTACGATGTCGTTACGGTCGTATACGTTGCAGTGTTTGGTCGTTTCCTGTTGATGGTACGGCCGTATACGGCTGGACACGGCTGCTAAACGGTTGGTGTGTACTACCGTATACGACACGGTGGTATACGGCCGTAATACGGCGCATATCAAAACGTTAAAATACGATCCGTATATGATCGTTTACGGCCGTATCTAGTTGTCGTAATGCTCAACCTGAGTAATTAAAATATTTTCCATTTTACTCATAAAACAAATCGAATAATCATGTTTCTTCAAATAGAGCCAAAAGTATCAAGGTCGATCGTTCCGGCCACCGCATACTGCAGAAACCGGTAGGAAAGACGCGGAAAAATTCCCCGTATCCTGCAGGAAAACACCAGAATATGGAAACAGTATTCCTGTGGGATTTTTTTTTGATTTTCCTCCGATGATTCTAGCCGGTCCTGTCGGAAAGAACAGTAATTGTTTGGAATCTACTGGAAAAAAGTCCGACAATTTTCGGCCGGAATACTGCTTCGACTGTCAAGCAATTTCTCGTGCTTTCCGGTCGTTTCCCGCCGTACCTCCACGACCTGGGCGGTTGTATAACTCTTGAAAATGTCTATCGAATAATATAGATGAGAAAAGTCGATCATGCCAATTATTCCAATACATTTGTATCGAAAAGAGAATGGTGCTTTTAAACGAAGCAGTCAAATAGTAAACTTCTGTTTCATGTCCATAATCCTTTTGAAATTCTTTTTTTTCGTAGCGAATTTAGTGTCAAAATGCTTGTCTTAACGACAGCTTGCATTTCAGATGTAATTTGACTAGGCTGAATTGAAGAAATCATAATAGGCCAATTCGGCATCTTATACGCCCCTGCTTTTTGACCGTGATCGACGAATTGACTTGCGAAATCCGACGAATATATTCTTAATCTGTAAGAAAAGTTTTATTGAAATACATGACAAAGTAAATATTGAAATATTTCTAAATGAAAAAGTCTTTTTGACTAAAACTTTTAACAAGAGATAAAAACTAATAATAAGTTTCTCTTTCAACCCAACCACCTGGAGCTTGTCGAATAATATATTTACGAACTTCGTCATAAATTAAAATTAAGAAAAAATAAGGAATTGGTGTAAGCCACCAAAGAAATCTAAATTAACAAAATTTAATTAAAAATTAAATATAATCATTGCTTTTACTTCAGTGGATATGTATTAAGGGCTGTATCTAAGTAAGGTGTGTAAGAAATAATTGCAGCTAAAACAGTTTCAAAGACCAAACCAAAATTTAACATCCAGTTGCTATAAAAAAAAGAATAATCATTAATTATTTATTATCTTTTAAAAAGTAAAATGTACTTCATTCCTTGCTGAAAAATTGAATTTCTTCGTGTTTTACAAACAATTAATACAGCCCATTGACAAATAACAATGGTAACAAAAAAAGCTGTGTGACATGTATATTCAAGTTGTTTTCTTTGTTCAAATGTCTACATAAGAAGAGAGAAAAAAATCATAAAACTATGATAGAAAACAGAAACAAAAAAAATTCCAAACCCATTCTTGTCCATATGAATCTTGTAAATCATTTATCTCACTTGATTCCCATGATTTTCTTAGACCCAAAAGACGTGATGGTAAAAATCCATTTTCAGCCATTATAACCAGATAAGAAAAAAACCCAGCGCCAGCTTGAATAAGCCCAATTTGTCCATAGGCCATTGATATAAGACTACAGAAAAACAAATAAATCAATAATTCTATTGGCTTTTAGTTTTTATTGCATTGAAAATCACCGTTGATTAACAAGTCGATCATGTTGAGGATCTCTTGGTCGTCGTTTCATAATATCAGTTTCACCCTTTTCATACGCTAATGATATAGCTGGAATCATATCTGTACCCAAATCGATACACAATATTGTTATTGTCCCTAATGCTAATGGAGTATCAGTTGTTAAATAAATTAAAAATGGAGTTATTTCTGGAATATTTGATGTTAATGTATATGCTATCGATTTTTTTAAATTATCAAATATTAAACGACCTTCTTCAACACCTGTTACAATCGAAGCAAAGTTATCATCCAATAATATCATATCTGCAGCTTGTTTGCTCACATCGGAACCAGCGATACCTTAAAAAATAATCTTATATTATAATGAAAACAAAATTCATCGATAGATACGAAACCCATAGCTACTCCAATATCAGCTTTTTTCAATGCAGGTGAATCATTGACTCCATCTCCAGTTACAGCAACAATTGCACCTTGTCTTTGACATCCTAAAACATATGAAAACATTGATTTTACTCAATTGCTCTCAATCAATATCAATTGAACCTTCAACAATAATAAGTTTTTGTTGTGGTGATGTTCTTGCAAAAACGATTTCTGAATGAGTTTTCAAAATACCATCTAATTGTGCTGAAGTCATATCTTTTAAATCATCTCCATGAACAACACAAGCTTGAGCATCACGTGGATCAACATAGTCTATTGGCACACCTAATCTTTGAGCTATATCTTCAACTGTTTCAGATTCTTCAGATATTATTCCAACGGCACGTGCAATCGCTTTTGCTGTTATTGGATGATCACCTGTTATCATTATTACTTTTATTCCAGCTGAACGGCACTTTGCAACACTGAAAATAAAATAAAATAATAAAATAAATGAATTTTCAAAACGAAAATTTCATGAAAAAATAACGAACGCTTCGGGAACCGCTGCTCTTGGTGGATCAATCATTGACATAAGACCAAGAAAACGAAGATTTTCAAGAGGAAAATTCATTGTTTCAGCATCAAATTGATAACCTTTGGGATACTTATTAGTTGGTAAACGTAAATCACAAAAGCCTATAACACGTTCGCCTAAACTTCCTAATTCCATGTATGCATTTTGAAATGCATTTCGCCAAACTATTCAAATGTATTAATTAAAAACAAAAAACAATAATTGGAAAAAACGTCAGCTGCAACTTTACAATCGTTGATTTGAATATCTTTTCCATCAATAAAAATAGTTGAACATTTTTCAAGAATTGCTTCTGGTGCACCTTTCATCACCATTAAATAATAAAGGCGAGCATTTTCCGTATCATTTCGACTACACATTTCATGTATTGACAATTGATATTTATTTGTAGAATTAAATGGAATTTCAAAAACTTTACGATTTGATTCACGAAATTTAATTACATTACCTATCTAAAGAGATAATTTGGTAAAACGAAAACAAAAAATATTTAAAATAAATCAATGTATTACTGATAATTCAACACATTTAAGTAAAGCTGATTCAGATGCATCACCATTACATTCACGTTCTAAAACTGATTTTGATAAATTTTCTGGATCTTGTTTAAAGTCAGCTCGATTACATAACATTGCACAACGAGATAAAGCTAACCAACCAGTTGAATATCTATCGTATGTTACATCTTGATTTAAATATCAAATAACTCAAATAATCGAATAGAATATTCAAAACAACAACATTACTTTGTTGATATTCACTTGTATCAGCTTCAACTATTCTTCTATCAAACCACATATGAGCCACAGTCATTCGATTTTGTGTCAGTGTGCCTGTTTTGTCTGAACAAATAGTTGATGTTGATCCAAGTGTTTCTACAGCTTCTAAATTTTTGACTAAACAGTTTTTTTTTGCCATTCTTTTAGCTGTTAACGCAAGACACGCCTTTTGACAAAAAGAAAAAAAAATAAGAATTAAATTTTTGCTGGAAAAGACTAAATAATTAATTTTAGTCATTGCTTACGGTAACAGTAGCTAAAAGTCCTTCCGGTACATTTGCAACAATAATTCCGATTAAGAAGATAACAGCATCAATTATTGAATATCCAAGAACAATTCCAATGAAAAAAAAGGAAACGCCAAGAAAAACAGCAACACCCGTTATAATATGAATAAAATGAGCAATTTCTTTCGCTATGGGAGTTTCACCTGATGATAATCCCGATGCCAAATTAGCAATTCTACCCATAGCAGAACGATCACCTGTACGAATGACAACGCCTTTAGCTGTACCTATTTACAGATAATTTTTTCTTGATGTAAAAAAGTAATACGCTATATCAATTTTAATAAACCTTCAACAGCAAATGTACTTAAAAAAGCTAAATTTTTTGTTTCTAATGGATTTTCATGCGTCATTTCTTTTGTACGAATTTGAGGTTCAGATTCTCCAGTTAGCGAAGAGTTATCTACTTTAAATCCATGAGCTTCTAATATTCTTATATCGGCTATTTAATAGAAATCAAAACGAAAAACATACTGGAACATGCAAATAAGAAAAATATAAAATTCTAAAAAACAAACCTGGTACTCTATCACCAAATTTGATATCAACAATATCACCGACAACTAAATCTTCGGATTTCACATTTTTTCTTTCGCCATTTCGAATAACAATCGCTTGCTAATATTAATTATATAAACGCAATGCTTCATGCATAAAAATACTTACTAGAGGAACACTGGAACAAATAAATAAATCTTTTACTTATATTAATGAAAACTCGTCTTACAGATTTTTGAATGAATCCATGATTCTTGAACTTTTAGCTTCTTGATAATAAGAAAAACAGCCAGTAACAATAACTACAATAGTTAACGCAACACCAAGCCATAACTAAAAGAATTTCTATTACATTGCTAAATATGAAGTAAGATTTACTTAAAAAAAATACAAACATTATCATTAGGTGCTTCACCATGATGTGTAGCCACGGTAATACTGTGTGCAATAAAACAAAGAATCGCACCTATCCAGAGAAGTAAAGCAAAACCACCGAACATCTGCTTGCAGAATTTCATCCATTCAGGTGTTGTTTTAGGTGGAGTTAATGCATTTGGACCATCACGATTCAGAAATTCTTTTATTTTTGCATCTGTTAATCCCTGAGAAATTGTTTTTAAGATTATTTTCATTTTCATCTAAGTTTATTTGTTTAAGCTTACAAATTGAGGATCTGTTTCATATCGTTGAAGAAGCTCTTCTAAACTTAATCTGTGATCATCCTAAAATTAAATTATATAGAAACGTTTCAAAGCAATTATAAAAAAACAAAAATCATTAAATATAATTAGTAGAAGTAAAAACAGTATATAATAATCAATTTGTTTTTTTTCAATAGAAAATAGATAATAGAAAAAAATATATTAAATAAAAAATATCAAGGATTATACGCCTATGATTGGCACTGATGCTTAAAAGACATATTACAATGAATCTCTAGCTACTATTGAACTTGCCATAATCAGAATTTATTTTAAATAATTTTCTCTTTTCTCACACATCTTTGTGTGTTTTGTTCGATATAATCGGAACTATTCTTATATGTAGGTAATGGTTTGAAAAATTTTAAAGATTTTGTTGATTGCTTCATAGGGAACTCTAATAATAATCATTCGTTCATGAGATAACAGCTTAAAAGTAGGAGTAAAATATTTGAAAGGTCTATCGCAAAATTTAAGTAAGCTTAACGCGACTGTTAGATAGAATATAATCTCATGTATGCTTTATTTTATAGTCACTTATATTTTAGATTTAGCTGCAGTGCAACATATGAAAAACATTTGTCATTGAATTTCTGTGTTCAGTCTACAAGAGAGCTTTTTCTAAAATGCAGACAAGCATTCAACTAGATCTCTTATCGAGCTATTTATTTTACCAGTTAAAATTTCGATAAGACCTTATCATATACATCGTACAAAGCAGTAGTTTTTTCTTCAAACATTATTCATAATTGACTGCATGATAAAATTTGTTCTATAACTTCACCGAATATAAAAGAACATGAACAGATTTTGCATAATTTAAACAATATCTATGAGCTGCCTTGTATATTATTGTATGATTTTCGAGAGTTATGTCTCGTATTAGCTACTTTTTTTACTATTTAAAACTTGTAGATGTTGAAATGAAGTATGAAATCTAGTTTTTTAAATATTTGAAAAAGAGAGACAATGTAGGAATTCTATAAAATTATATCATTTTGTGGCCGATTTTTGTAGCTATTCTAACTGAATCAAAGTCATTTTTGAATTCTTAATGATGGAAAATACTGTACTGAGATATTGCTCTACGTGAAAATCGAAATGTCTAAAAACTTCACTTCATTTATTAACTCAATGAGCTATCAAATGATTCGTAATGCTACAGAGAAAAACATTGAACACAATGAGAACACCAAACTCAGCAATTATTTCTTTTTTTCCTAGCGGTAAAATGTTCCCAAGGTGTCCAAAGTGTTAGAATGTCACTAAGATAAAAATATTGACAGACTCTTTAATGTTAGTTTTATTTGTTTTTTTCTTGATCTAATTTTACTATCAGCTGTCATTTTACGATTGGAAATAATTCATATTTGACTACTAATGAAATTATATTCATATTGACATTTATAGGCTAAATAATTTTATCTGAATCATACTCAATAAAATATCAATGAGTATTGAAAACAATGATAAAAGAAACACGGCAATAGTATGAGTCGATAAAGTATTATTTGAAACTTTATTTATCATCAGTCTTTTGGAATGTACTGAGTTTTATCTATGAATAAATATGTTGGATGATACTGTTAGATAAACTGTAACATGATACTAATGGAAGAATAGAAGTACTGATACTCACAATATCTAATTCTTTTTTAAGATCATCTATATCAGCTTCTTTTTTTTCTGCTTTAGCTTTTTTTTTCGAGATTTTCGATGATGTAGACTTTTTTTTCGCTGTTTCAGTAATATAATTTTCACCATAAAGATTCGTTAATGGTCGTCCTTCATCATCTTTAGAGGCCTAATGTAATTAACAATAGAAAAATATAGTTCAATTATTGAGATAAATATGTAACATACCATCATAGAATAATTCTATAAGTAAATTTATTGTACTCGACGTGTTCTCCTATTTGAATAATATACAGATATGTCAAAAAAAAAGTGGTCACATTTACCTATCTAATTTCATCATATTCTACTCGAGCATGTTTCACGCCTGAGTAGTCACTAGATATACACAAAATATGAAACCATGTGAACATACCAACTGCTGAAAGTCGCGAATATTTTGCTGTTCTGTATTGTTTTTGTAGGTAGATATTTATGTAATATGAATTTACGCGACTTCAATCAAGCTTTTCTTACTTGTCTGTATTCGTCGAATATAATGACTGCGTATATATTTATATGCATTTATTAGAGAATTTTTTCATAGAAAATTTCATATCAATAGAAAGATAATTAAAACTAGTGTAAGAGACTTTTGTTTAAAATAAACATTGTTTTCAATAGATTGAGTGATTGGTATGTAAATGGTGAAGTTATCAAACATGCCCTTCAAATGAAATGTGTGATAAACGAATAAAAATTCGATTCTCGTTCAAACCTATATACAACGTGCTGCATTTTTCATTTCACTATCCTTGCATTCTTTAGTAAATTAGGATATTGTTCTATGCCTAAAAACAATAAGAAACAGCAAATTTGGGATGGGTCAGAACTATTGTCTTATGTTAGTTGCACAAGAAATAAAAAGAACATTCATAAATGTCACCATTAAAATGAGCAAAATGCTAGATGTCAACTATCAGTTTTTACATTAGTTTTGATTTAATATCAAGCATAAAAACAATTCACTATTGTGTGTTTAAATCCATTTCTACAGGTAATATAGGCTTCTGTTTTTTAGCCCACAGTATTTGGAGCATGTTTAATTAACGAGTCTACTTTTATTATCATTTTACACAATGTGCAATTAAAAAAATCAAATAATCAGAATTGTCTTTTTTATTTTTAGATGTTCATTAAAAAAACTAACTAAATAAATATTATTAATCAGCAATGCAAATATTTATATTCGAAAAGTGTGGGCAATATTCGCTGTATGCTTATCAAATTTCTAATTTTTGAAAGAAAAAATATCAAAGAAATAGACAAAATTTGAATACTACGCGCTAATGAAGTGTCATTCTTTGAAATCTTGATTGTCCAATATCATATAGTTGTTTTTTGATGAATTCAAGTGATTTTAAGTGTTCTGCTAGCACAAATAAGTTTCTTGCAAATGACTTGTTTGTCCCTACAGCGAATGCATGCATAGAACAATCTTTGTGATACATATACTTGATAATCTTTCATATCAATATGCTATTACTCATCCGGGATTTTAATGAGATTGGTATTTTCTTTCACGCATGGTCCTTTGTACAACCACTACTGAACACAGTAAACTCCAATCAAGTTGAGACTACACAACTCATCAACTTAGTTTCCGTGTAGATCTCATTGGCAATCGACCTACTGTGTGAGCTATACAACAATGGAATGATAGAAAATATTTTGATTTGACTCTTTCACAACGACAGAATTGCATAAGAAAAAACCTATCATAGTTTAGATAGGTCAGATGAATGTATATTGAAATTAGAGAATTCGAATTCGTAATCAATTTTTCAGAATTTCATCCTAACTTTGATACATTAGAAAATCGATTGTAAGAGAGTATACCATGAAATGAAATCGCACATACAAATATCTTGTAGATATGCAGCAATGATTCCGAAAAGAACACGAAGAACTTATGAGAATGATCGGTGTATTAACCATACGGATGTATCTTAACAGAGCGGCATCTGAATAATAGAAAAGGTCAATCAACACCGTATGTATTTTATGATGCTACAAAGTTCATTCTTCGTAAATACGATTGTCAATTTGAATCGATAACTCAATCTAAGATATATCGATGAATGATCGTGGCTGTTACACCGCTAGTAATAATATCATCATTAGGTTTTCGTGAGACTTTGTTTATGAATGAGATTTATATTATTGTATATTTTTATTTTATCTTTTTTCATAGAGAATTTTATTTATATCTGTTTAAATTTGAGATCATAAATAATTAGATGTTTGCTTTATTTCAATAAAAAGATCGAGAAAAATGCACACATGATCATAGAGACAAAAGAAACATATCAGCTGACCAGTAGCATAAAATATTTATCTGGATAAAATGTTTATTATATACATACAGATTACAAATTATGATTCCCAAAGAATAAGATGTGAAAAAGCATCATCTCTTCCTAAATTTTCATCATTATTCGTATAATCTTCAAAGCCATCTCCAATAGTAATAACAAATGTCTTAATAATTGTTCCTTCGTCAGTTGTTGAGAGAAAGCTTTTATCAGTTGAAATAATAAAACGAACGGGTCCAGCGTAACCAAATGGTAAACATTTTAACTGCATAGAATTTAATGTTAACTTATTATTTCCGCTTGTTGATATTGTATCAATCAATTGAGGTATTGTTAAATTAATAATAATACCAGCACTTGTTCCAATCCATAATGTTTCTTTGCAAACATGAAGTGTACTTACATGAAGACACCCTAGCTTATGAGCACGAACTATATCATCACATACTAAAACAAAATGACTTTTATTTATTTATTTTTCAAATGAAAAATCAATTAACCTTGTAACTTTTGTGTAACTACTGTTCTTATACTTGTTTCGAGTAAACAAACAAAATGTGTTGCATGATAGAGACGAATTTCATGTGAACCTTGTGATGCTATCCATACATGATGGATTGATGATCCACCTGTTGCTATACAAGACACATGACGATGACAATCATCAACAACAAATGAATGCTTCAATTAAAATAATATGATTTTTAAAGAAAAATACATAAAAATAAGAAAATAAAATTTTACTTCAACATTAAATGTATTTGGGCAAACAACGAATATTCGATCTTTTATAGCGCACCATAATCTTCCAGCTACGAATGTCATAACTGATATTGGATCAGCATTTTCTCCATTATCGAATTTTCCATTTTCATTTTCATTTTTTGTAGAATTTCCTTCAATTGACTTAATTATTGGATTCTCTAAATCCCAACGATTATCTTAAAAGAAAATAACAAAAAACTGTTTAAAATAATAATCAAATCAATCATATTTACTTGTATCTCTACTAAAAACACATAGTTGTCCATAGTTTAAAGCAAGAAATACTTTATTATCAGTGTATCTAATAGAAAAAAAAATGTTCTTTAAGATAAAATAATGAGAACAATTAAAAAACAAACATAATTGAATGAATTGAACAAGTTAGCTGTTTAAATATACTTCTTCGTCCGATTGTTTTCATTGTTTGTGAACATTCATATATAAATAAACTAAATTTTTTCAAGTAAATATAAAAGAAAAAGAAAAACAGAAGAAATTTATTACCCTCCATTTTGTGTTCCAATCCACATCGTAGCTTGTACTGTATCTTGTTGTTCATTATTTGAATGATTCTCAAGAAAATCAATTGATGAATCATTTAACGATACATCATCTTGATTATTAATATCATCATCATCATCGCTCGAGTCGCTTTCAAGTAACGAATCAATGGCTATTGATTTAAAATAATTATTTGATTGTTCTTGAGAAATAAAATGATGTTTACGTTGATGATAACCTTTAGTAATAATGCTTGTTGTTTGTCGACCTTTATTAGATGGAATATATCCGATAGAATTTAATCCTGATGATGGAATTCTATTAGCACTTTTTAATGTTAAATTCGATTCGATATTAATTAAATATAAATCACCGTCGGTATAACATAAACATAAATCATCTGAATAAGAACGAATAACACCCGATGAAAACTAAATAATAAAAGAATAACATAGGGATATTGATTTTTGACTAAAAAAAACGAACCTGATTTCCAGGTCGAATATTTGGAAGAATAAGAACATGTTGGAAGCTAATATTTCTTCTTCCAGCAGCAGTTTCAACTTAAAATAAATAAAAAATCAACTTGAGAAATGTCCAAATTACAATTGAAACATACAGAGAATATTTTTAGCTTCAAGAAAATTTTTTTCCCATGCTATTTTATCTTCGGATGATGAAAAAAAAACATCAATTGTCTCTGTACGTTCTCTATATAAAGAATAATTATTATATTAAACATTTCATTAATGAAAAAATGTATTTCTTAAATACGTTGTATTTATTATTAATTGAATATTATTTGATTTTTGTTGAATATTATCGGAAATAATAATTGATTCTGGATTTGTTCCTTGAATATTTGCCATAGATGTTGTTTCATTAATTAAATTTTTATTTACGATATTAAGAGTTTCTATTAGTGAATCATCTAAATGCTAAAAAGAGAAAAGAAAGAAAAGACTCATGAAATATTATTTTCAAAATCAATTATAATGAAAACAACCTGATGAGGTACAGTTATTGATTTGGCTAAATCCGTCATTTGTCCAAGAAGAAGAACATCTTCTTCGAGATGTCGATGTCTATCTGAAGTAGTACTTGCATTTGAGTGAGATTTTATTAATGATGGAGGAGTTGATACCGAAGATTTTGTTTTCTTCAAATGATCTATTTTAATCAAAATCATAAAAGAGTGTAGTTAAGTTAGTTCCATATTCTTTCAATTAATATTGATGATATTGCTTACTAAAACGAAGTCGTTTGACTGTATGTTTCGTTACTCATTTACGAATTAATGTTCCTAGTTAAGAATATCAACAAGTTTTTCGGATATATTTTCTCCGAATTTCGAACAGAAATCAACCGGTCAGCATAGAGCCATAATTCAAACAAATTAATATTTTTAATATCGATTACTAGTACACATAATTCGAAATTTCCCCAAGTTATTAGAAATATCATGCTACGTGCTTTAATTCTATTATTTGATGAATGATTTCTCAGCCCTATACTAATCGATAGAAGATAAGTCAACTAGATTTTGTTGAATCTACATCGTGAGTTTCATAATTAAGAAGCAAAGTACTATAGTTTATTCAGAACGTGGTGTTAATTAAAGAAAATATAACTTATTTTCAACATTGTATTTCACATAGAAAAATAACCTGCAGTAAGATTGACACTTTCAAGTGAAATTTTCATAATTAATTTATATTTGGCATTATCAATATATTGTTTTCCAGATGGAGAATTTCTAAATCAATCAAATACGAGAAGAAAAAATGGTACTCTATGAAACAAATCAAAATTTAACGTACACAATAACTGAATTCGTTGTTTTTTTAGCTGAATTGCTACTTCTTCGTTTACAAGCAGTGATTATAATGAGATCGTTAAATAAAAATATGCATCGATCTTTCTTTAATCCTAATGATGATTGAAGTGTAACAATATCATGACGAATATAATAACGATCGGCATTGGTTAACTATCAAATAAAATAATGAAGATGATTTTTAACTTTTCATCAGATGGAAAAAACAAACAAACATCAGTTAAATTTTCAATCATATCTTGTACAGCATCTAGCGAATTATTGGTCACATTCAATTCTGTTGAACCGACTTCTTCGTGTACTTGATCAATTTGTTCGGCTAAAGAATGAATTTCTGATTGAGCTTTCATTAATAATTGATAATCAGGATGATTTAAATTTGTACATTTGAGAAAATCTTTTATATATAATTCATATCTTGGTATCCTTTGTACTGGTTGAATTATTAAATCTCTTAATGTTAATTTACCATGATGGTCACGTGCTTGTTGTTCGAGAAATTTATTAAATGATGAAAAATCTCGACATAAACGAATTGCAATTTGAGCTGTTTTATAATTATTAACGAAACTTGTATAAGTTTCAATTATGGATGTTCGAGTAAACTATTTTTATCAAATTATAAATAAATTCTTTTTTTTAACAAATTCTTTATTTACCATCTGTAATATAAGATCACCAACTGTTTGTTTATTATCCCATTGAGTTAATTTTTGCGAGAGAGATAATAAAAATGCCTATTAATATATTAAAATTTTTTAATAAGAATAAACAAATTCAAAACTTTTCTATTTATTATCAGCGATTTTCATATTTCATAAAAAACATATGTTCAACATCGAAATCATGATCAAAAGAATATAACATACTAAGTTAAAGTCTCGTACATGCTTAACTATCTAATATCGATTACACTAAGCGTATGAAAAAACTGCATTAAATCTATTGAAAGGGTGGGACATCTCTCAGTCTATTCTCATTTTGTTTTTGTATTGGAGTTTATACTGAATCTAATCTTATAATACCGTATGATGAATATGAATTTCTGGTATTTTATAAAATATATCATTGATAAGATCATCAGCAACCAAATCTTTATCTTTCATTGGTAAATAATATTTCTAAAAAGAAAAGAATTATTTTTTTCGCGCATAAAAAAATTTATATTAAAACAATTTACTGTAACAAGATTTTTAAGTGCTTCAACATACGATTTTTCTGTATCATACATTTGCGAAGCAATTGCTTGACGTTTAGCCTAAAATAATCAAATAAAAATTATTAATTAAAACTGAAAAGAATAAAAAAAAACATGAAACTTGATAGCAATGAAATTCATACTGAGATTTTTTCTGGCGACTTTTTATCGTGTAGAAATTCCAAGTTTTATTTACTATCTCATTATTTAATACACAAATTAATGTGTGGATAAAATTTAATACTATCGATCTATTTACCTTTGACATAAGATGCAGATCGAATTGATGAATTTTTCTTTTTCTTTTTATCAGAAAGCGAATAGAAGATAGAGAGATATGACAGTAGTCATTTTGTTTCTAATTTAATCATGAATTCATTTATTTTTTGTGATCGTATGTTATAATAAAGCCATAAAGGGGAAAAATCAAGAAGTAAATACCTCATTTTTTTCATCAATACTTCCACTAGACGCCGGAGCAGCAACTGCATTCGATGTGCCAGTTAAACTATTAGCACTTGTTGATAACAGTGAATTAGGTTCTGCATTAATAACAGCTGGTATCAATGATTGACTTGAAGTAGTTAATTCAGGTGTTGATTGACATGTTGCTGTATTAACTGAAGATATTTCATTAGAATTAGAATTTATATCAGTTGGTGTGGTAAATGTATGACTTCTCATAACTCCATTGCGACTATTACGATGAGTAAATGATGAATGTGATGAAGAAGAATCTTCGCTATTATCGACACAATCAAAAACTCCAATTGGCTGCTAAATCTCATACAATAAATATAAAAAACGATTATGTATAAGAATAAAATAAACCTGATATTTTCTATGAACAATAACAGGTGTGAAAGTGGGTAATTGTTTTGGTGGTACAATACGCAATGGTGATGGTAATAAACTTTTAATATTATCACCAAGATTTGGTACATATTGTACATGTGTTGATGTATTATGTTGATTCAGTTCATGAATCAGATCAAGAAGTGGTCGACGGTTGAATGAATCTTCTTTATTGTTCAAGTTTATTTGTTCATCAAGATTTCCTCGAATAAAATTTGATATCATTGATGAATAAGTTGGACTTTCCGTATAATTAGACGAGGACAGTTCTGATGTAGCTGAAGTTGATTCTGTATGTATCGTAGAAATAGAATCTTCTTGTTTCGTTTTAACTTGAATTTTTCTATTAAAAGTATTTGTTTTAACTTCAAATGTGACTTGTTTTTGACTAGATTTTGAAGGAAAGCTTTCAACATTTGAGTCTATTTCTGACGCATATATTGTTGTGATTGAATGTCGTCGTCTATCAGCCATTGACAATAATCGAACAGATGATTCAACTAGTGACAAAAACCATTGCGATTTAATTTAACATATTCTTATATGTAGCATAGTTTTGATTTCACTCACGAAAACGTTTTTGATTGATAATTGTGAATAATTATTAATACGACTAGTTTTTGTTTTAGGACAACAGCTAAAATATAAACAAACTGATTCAATGATTAAAATGACATTGAAAAAGATTAATTACTTTTTGTTCACATCAATAAACAATCGGAATACGAAATAATCTTTGCCCAATAGTCGTTTTCATTATTTACATTCGTAAGAAATCGTTGCTTGATGGTCGACTTTTTTGAAAATTAGCTTTTAATGATAATGAAGAATTTGTTTTTTTTTGTATAGAGTTCGATGATATTTTTTGATTACATTACTTTTCTTAGACTGTTTTACGTAGTTGACGTTCTAATTCAATTAATCTTTCAGTAAAATACTTTATATCAGTACAAGTCGTTTTGCAAAATAATAAAGAATAATATTTTCATGATTATTCTGACAACAGTGATAATAATTATTTCAAATCTGTTCAAATAAAAATTGTAAACAAATTTATATTAAAATTGATTTGTTGAATATTTCAAAAAATTCTTCAGAGAACAATTAGAATCTATATTTCGACGTCAATGAATTAAGTAATAATACAATTGATAATTTGATAGATGAAATCTTTAACAAACAAATTTTCATTCCAGTTTAAAACAAAAACCTATTAACATAAATTTATATTCTGAAAAAAGACAAAGGAAATAATTGTGCTAGTTGATGTTACACGAGCAGATAGATATAGAATAGAGAATCTTCATTAGTGTTACTAGTATAGGAAAAAGAAAGAAAACATGTATGTGTCTCTCTGTCTGATGATTCGTTCTTTAGCCATCACAGATTAACAAATGTCGATACATATGTTAAGCGAACAAGGGTTATAGCTTATCCACAAGCATTGTCAAAAAACGGACGATTGACGAAGAAGGACATAACATGATTCTTTTCTTCTTGATGCCATTTACAATGAGACTTACTCTTGTTCTTCATCTATCGAACGATATATATATATATTCTTCTTTGTCGATTAATGAGCTGCGAGAGAAGAAACAAGAAATTGCCGGTGGCATCAGTATGCTCTTTTGTTTTGCTCTTCATCCGAGTTGGCGATGTCATCGATGACTCTTCTCATTAAGAACAGATTCATTCAGCGAGAAAAATCATACAAATAAATACATACAAAGCGTTTATTGAGATGAATAAAATATGGTCTTATGCATTTTTGTTTAAAAAAAGTCTTGATTAGAAATCTCCCGATAGTTATGTAGTGTTGTTTGGTGCCAACGATACAGTAATAACCGAATAAAGAAACAGAAAATAAAAAATGAGTGGAAATAAGAAAAAAAAGGCGATGAGAAAGTGTTTTTGTCTGCTATTTTTGTGTCTATTGACGCACATAGCTTGACGACAGTAGAAATGAGTCAAGCCATAGATAGTATATGTCTTCCAAGAATATGATTAACGAGTACAAAAACGACTTCCTACTTTGCAAAAAAATATATTTTTCATGCTAATATCCTTCGACTATATAAAAAAGAATTGATATATGTTTTAAACAAAGCAAGCATATATACTATCATGATGGTGATCTTCGAAGGATTGTATAGAAAAAAGAATTAGCACATTATGGTCAAGTGTTGATGTGGCCATATGTTAAATGATGTCGCGTCATCACACAAATGTCACAAATAGTTTTTATTTTGTTACATTAAAGTTAAGCGTGGAAAGTTAATAATAGGAGAAAATTATTTTGACAACTGGTTTCTAATGAAAACTGTATCGCTATCAGATGAAGTGGCAGCGGCAAGTTAATAGTTATCGAATAAACAACTAAAGAAGAAACATCGAATAGTTGCTAGTAGAATTATTGATAATAGTAACTGATCACCAATACATACGAAAGAAGTTATCATTACTCTTCATAGTGAGTGCGACATGTTTTCATTCTTCATTCTTCATTCTCAATTATTCCAATAATTATAAGCTCTTCCGGATAAACCGAGATCGAATTTGACCAATCGATTATGACCAAGTAGACACTTTTTCGTAGGGACAAAAGTTTGTTGGTTTTCTACACAAGTCTTTTCAAATATAGTGTTCTATCCTTAATACGTTGAAATATTTCTAACAGTATCCTCGTCGGAAAATGATACTTTTCTATGACATCAATATCTCTTCAAAGGGTGAATCTATTTCGGTTGAAGATTTTGCTGTAAATCTATGCTAATTAGTATCAATTAATTTTTTCATGAAAGAAACGCAACTAAACAGATAAACCATATATGAGTTGATTCTAACCAACACGTCACTTTTTCTTACAACTAATTATCATATAAACTTGTTGCCATTCAGCCAACTTGTTCAACTAATGAGTTCTGTGTAGTAAAGCTCTCAGTTCACAAAAAGCTCTCTTTTCTTATTTAATGGCTCATAATTTAGCGATAGTTCAATGAATCAATAAAACGCGTTCAAAAACAACTAACTAGAGAGTTATATTCAACCCAACAATTTCATCTTAGACGTGTCGCAAGTTTGTCGAATGGGATTTAATATCGTGCAAAATAGGCTTCTAGCCAATTCCATATTTGATAAAGAAGTAGTGTCAATTGAAATGGGTAACATTGTTTAGATTTGCGAATGCAGAGCGAAAATTGATACTATTCAACTTCATTCTTTTTCATTTCAAGCGATTAAGATGCGAGAGGTTCCATTGAGAGACATCCACACTTGTAAGATAATAGTCCTTCAATTGACTGAAATTCGAAGCAAGCAAAATACTTGTTGTGTAGAATTATATATTCATGTGCTTTAAAAGAGGTTTAATGTTCAACGAATGAGTTATTTGCTATTTTCATAGAGTAGGCTGAATCATTTGCATATAGATTGATACTTACACTGTAAACATTACTGAAAAACTTGAATCACTTTTGTATTCAATTTTTCGGGGATCTCTTTTGTTCACTCAAAAATATTTGAGTCAAATTTCAATTTAATTCTGCTTAAAATATTATGTATAGACTAAAATAAAAAGGAAAATTTGACGTTCTCTACTTAAGCAAACTTTTCTGAAGAACAGAAAAAAAAAATTATAAATCTGTCAGTTTGTTCCGTATCTCTTTGTAATTAAATTAGAAATGAATTGACAAAATCTAGAGATAAACCTTAGTTAAGATAGGTTTGCTCAACTTTTTTAAGTAAGTAAATCGATAGTGATTGAAAGCGTTCCTATTAAATCTATTTATAATCATTTATCAATAATAGATCAAAATAAAATACGGCAGAAGAAACAGTAAGAAAACATTTAAAACTACGGTAAACTATTCGGAATAGTGTAAAGAACTCTATGAAATCATGATATATCAAACAGAAATCATTTTCTCAGCATGCGTTTGAATTATGTGATAAACGAAGAATTTAATATTATTAGCAGTTTATCTTTCATATGTGAATGAGACAAAAAGAAAATTCATCTCAGTAGTATGATCCCTATTGAATAAATAAATACAATTCATGAACTAATTAATTGATATATGAATGTTGTTCTTTATTAAAATACAAAAGACAATTGAGAAAAATCTCGACTGATAATTTATCTTTCTAAGAAGCATACAAGTTCAACCAATTTAGTCAAATTTGAATTTGATGCCGCCGAAGTATTATCTATATAACGGGAGAGAAACAAAGGTCGGAAATATTTTTAAAAAAATACACAACTGAACAAACCATTGTGTTTAGGAAGAACATAAACTCCTGCAGAATCCATTTGCCAAGCACGATCATTACAGATCTGTTGAACCATTTTTGTATTGAGACCAAACAATTTTTGAAGGTCATCGAATGAAATAGACTTATATGCAAGTTCAATTAATTCAACATTTTGTATTGTTACTCGAGCTAAAATTAATAAAAATTAATTATTGAAAAAATCTTTTTTTTCTATGAAACAAACAAATCAATTTTTGCAGATATTGATTCATTTGTGGCGATAAATCATATGAGGAATTATTTTCAAGTGCTGTTTGACATAATCTATAAAAATCTTCATATTGTTTTAAATTCAGCGATGAAACCAATGATGCTAAAAATTGAAATTCTTTATCCTAATCAATAAGAATAGAGTTGCTTTAAAATTATTTCATGTGTCTTTCATACCGTTTTCATATGAGCTGGAAGATTTTCCCATAAAAACTTCGCTTCATTACTAGTTTAATTTTTGAAAAAGAGATTAGGACGAAAAATAAATAGGGTCAAACTTACATTTTCGATAAACACAGGTAAGTGGTCATCAGTTCCTTGTAAACGTCTATTGGAATAGTATCTATTGGACTCTAGTTTATTTTTATTAAATGAACAATAAGAAATAAAGAAATTGGATTAAATTTTAGATTACTGTTAAAAGACGATTCTGTAATTGTAATAAGTGTTCGCATTGTTGTCGAAACATGCTCGTTAATGAGTCCGTCATTATTGCCTTGAACAAGATATTTCACAATATAGAATAAAATAATAACTTCATTTCATTTCACTTCATCGTGTGTGTGCAAAACAACAGACTACAGAAATCAAGCCAATCATAAAACAGTTTTTACTTGAAATTCGTCAACCAGAGACATCTTTTTATCATACTGGTCCTGATCTCGATATTAATATTTATTTTTCAGTTTGTATATAACTGAAAGAAACGAATAGATATCATTCATGAGTGAGTATATGTGAGTAACTAATAAGAATAGATGGTAGGATCAGTGGCGGAGTCAGGGGGCTAGGGGTGGGGGGGGGGGGGGGGGGGGGCGGGGGGGGGGGGGGGGGGGGGGGGGGGGGGGGGGGGGGGGGGGGGGGGGGGGGGGGGGGGGTGTGGGGGGGGGGGGGGGGGGGGG